CCCTGGGTCGTTCAAGAACTTCAGTGATTCCAAACTGGTTTTTTTTGTCTCCTCAGTGATTTCACCAAGCTGTGCTGGGTTCAGTTCCCCCTCTAAAACCTCCTTCTCTCCTCAGATCCGTCGAGTCTCTTTTGCAAACCCCATTTTTCAGGAGGGCCTGGCAGACGACATCGACAGGAGGAGCCCTGTCGTCAGATCCCATTCCTCACCCTCCTCCAGAAGCCTTAAAATCCTCTCTAACATGCAGGTCAGGGGAAAATCCTGGTACACTGTTCTGTGTGTCCCAAGTATTTGTGTGTTTATCATAAATAGCATGGCTTAGTGCATGTTTGTAGTCACTTACACACAGTTGTAAGGGCTGAGGATCAGAAGTGTAAGAAACAAAACTGCTTTAGCCTGACTCATTCTGTTACTCTGAACTCCAGTGAACTCTGAGGTTTCAGGGGCTAAAATCTCACTGTTAACTGAATTCCTACTGTTAACTGAATTCCTACCATTGACTAAATTCCTACCACCCTGAGATATTTTTTTCCTCTTTTTCTATCCAGCACATTACCACTCCAACCAAAGGATTTCTGTCCCCAGGATCTCGTTCCCTTAAATTTAAGAGCTCAAAGAAGTGTTTAGTAAGAAGTGCTTTGGTTCATGTTTCTCTATTATTTTTTCCCTGTATTCAGTGTGTGACAGTTAATTTAATACTTTTTCCTGTGTTATCCCAGATCACAGAGATGGCCAAGGAGTCTCTGCCGTGCCTTTCGGAGTTCGTGTACCCTGCCTTGGCTGGCTGCAAAGCCCCTGTGGATGTCATTTTACCTCAGATCACATCCAACATCTGGTCAGTGGCTTCTTGCTTTTGGAGGTGACATTTCAGCTCTTATGAACCTACCAAACCACAGTTTCAGCCAGGATTCTTTAAAGGGACTGGGGTTGGGTGGGTGAGGAAGAGACTTGACTATTTTGGCATTCTTGAAGTACTTTTTTGATGACTGAAAAGTTCCACAATGATGGGGAGTTTGTGCAGGGCCAGGAGTTGGGATTGGTGATCCTGTGGGTCCCTTCCAGCTCAGGATATTCCCTGATTGTGTACCAACAACCCGTTTTCCCTCCCCTGCTGCAGTGCCAGGGGCCTGGGGCAGCTCATCCGGGCCAAGAACATCAAGACCGTGGGAGACCTGAGCACTCTGACGGCTCTGGAGATCAAAACTCTCCCCATCCGCTCCCCCAAAGTCTCCAATGTCAAAAGGGCTCTGAAAGGATACCATGAGCAACAGGTAAAGTTGAATTTTAGCACCCAGGAAGCCACTGTTGATCTCATTTACTGCAGCAGGAATGATGTGATTGATTGTATAATGAATGATTATTTCCTTCATTAAAAACAGCACTTTGAAACCTAATCCCTGCCTGCCTCAGTACCATGAATTCAAGATACAGATGACTTGGTTAAACTATTAACAGGAAAAACGATTGGATTTATTATGAGGCTAAAATATATCTCACCACATAATTTAAATTTTTTTTTTCCCAATCTGAAAATGTTTTCTCTCCCCAAAATTGCCCAGGTGAAATCTCGAGTGTTGGAGGAAAGCACAGCTCTTGAAGATGCAGAGAAGCCTGGGAATGATGTGGAGGAGAAATCTCTGAGTGGAGATGAGGAAAAACTTGCAGCAGGTACCTGCTGGTGGCTTTTTGCTTTGGATTTGGAGGGTTCTGCTGTCCTGTCTTCATTCTCTCCTGGTGGGAACACCTCATCCTTTTGTTTTTATTTTGGGTTTAGTTCTATCATTCCAATCGTGATCAAGCCCCGAGGACGGGCAGGGTGCAGTGCCTTTGCTGGGAATGTTTCCCACTGAATAAATCCATTGCAGGCCGCTCAGAGCTGTGATTTTGCACAAAACCAGCTGGAACTCTGCTCGGATTTTCCTGCACTCATCTCCTTTCCCTCCTTTCAGATCTGGCGGACGCGGGCGGCAGCGGCGAGCAGCCCCCCGTGGATCTCATGGGGCAGATCCAGGCTCTGGCAGCCCAGCTGAGCTCCGAGGATCTGCACGGCTACTCCGGCAGGCAGCTCCTGGAGATGCAGGAGAAGCTGCTGGGGATGGCCTCGAGCGTCACCAGGAGCCTGCGGGCGCGCTGGCCCTGCCCTCCCCTCCCGGGCCCCGAGTAGCGCCGCTCCCGCTCCGCTCCGGGGCCGGGCCAGCGCCGCTCCCGCTCCGCTCCGGGGCCGGGCCAGCGCCGCTCCTTTGCCTTCCTGCTGCCCCTCCTTCCGTCTGCATCTTGGCCTAGAGGATGCTTTTTAATAGCTTCATAAGGGTTTTTTTCCCCTTTGTTTTTCTCTTTTTTTTCCCCTTTTTTTCCCCTTTTTTTTCCTTTTTTTTTCCTTTTTTTTTCCTTGTTTTTTTTCCTTTTTTTTCCCCTTTGTTTTTCTCCTTTTTTCCCCTTTTTTTTCCTTTCTTTTTTCCTTTTTTTTTTCCCTTTTTTTCCTTTTTTTTTCTTTTTTTTTCCTTTTTTTCCCTTTTTTCCTTTTTTTCCTTTTTTTTCCTTTTTTTTCCTTTTTCTTCCTTTTTCTTCCTTCTTTTTCCTTCTTTTTCCTTTCTTTTTCCTTGTTTTCCTTTTTTTTCAGTTTTTCCCCTTTGTTCTCCTCCTTTTCTCCTCCTTTTCTCCTCCTTTCCTCCTCCTTTCCTCCTCCTTTCCTCCTCCTTTCCTTTTTTCTCCTTTTCCTTTTTTTCTTTTCCCTTCTTTTCACTTTGCCTTTTTTCTCGCCTTTTTTTCCGCCCCCTTTTTTTTTTTCTTTTTTTTCCTTCTTTTCACTTTGCCTTTTTTTTCTCGCCTTTTTTTCCGCCCCCTTTTTTTTTTCCTTTTTTTTCCCCTTTTTCTTTTTTTGCCTTTATTTTTTGCTGGTTCCTCCCCCCCCTCCCAAATCTGTGGGGCTGTTTCCTCCCTGGCAGAGGTGTTCCTATGGGATTGCTATGCATCTTTCTTTCGGGCCGTGAAAGAAAACCTGACAAAGCTGTGCAATAGCAGAGACTGTGAAAAACCAAACCAACAGAGAAATTAAATTATTTTTTCAAACCCAAAGTGTTCTTACTGCTGCAAACTCCTGCTGAGAGTGGGCTGAGAGCTGCAGCTGCCAGCTCTGCCCCAGCTGCTCCCTCTGGAGCTCCGGCAGCACGTGTGAGGTGAGCTGGCTTCATTCCTTCCAGCAGGAGCCTGGGATTTGTACTGGATCTATTTTTCCATGTATTTTTGTACGACTCAAGCTCAGAGGAAATGTGCTTGTCCGGGAGAGAGACTCTGCAAAGCCTCCCAGGCTTTGCCCCGTGGCCTTTGCTGGCAGCAGTTCTCCTTGTGGGAAGACTTTTTTTTTCCGTGAGGAAATGATGGATTGGACAAGAGCTCTTTGTATATTGTGTACAGACTCACAGCGGATGTTGGGTAGTAATTTATGGAGTTTTAATTGCATGGACTGCATTGCTGCTTCTTGGAGACCTTCAGCCAGAATTCCCAGGTTTTCCCTCTGGAATTCTGATCTGTATATATTGTACTGTAGCTATCCAGATGGGTGCTTATTGAAAGGAACTGCTGCAGGTGGTTTTCCAACTTTTACGTGGGCAAATAAAAGAGCTGATGATAGTTCCCAGACTTGGTCTTGTCCTCGTGGTTTGGTGGCCTCTGGGCTCTTTCTCTCTTCAGCTTCCCCTCAGATTTGGATTCCCGAGGCTGGGAGGGGCCTTGGAATGTCACCAGTGCTGGTGTAAGGCAGGAGCAGGTTCTCAAGGACAGGGTGGGATCTGCTCTGCAAAACTCTTGAATGTTTTTTGCCCTGTGTGTGTCTCGTGGAGAAAAGGGACAGGACTAACAGCCTGGAGCTACAAGGGGAAGCTCTCTGCCTTTTCTTGCTTTTCTCAGCAGTTGTTTTGGTTCCAGATCTGCCTCCTTGGGAGAGTTCAGCTTTCCATCCCACTCCCTGGGCAGGTAAGGATGTTCCTGACACATGGAAAGGGTTTTGATCCCAGCTCCCAGTGCTGCCAGTCCTGGACCCTGCCTTGGGAAGGACATTTCCCTTCCAGGCTGCCTCTGCTGGGAATTCCCTCTGGACTCTGAATTCCTCAAGGGTGATGCTACAACCCCTGCTGTTAGTTTGGATTTATTCTATGGGGGACACAATATCCAGGGATTTTCATTCCCTTCTTTCCTGTGGAGTGGCTGCTGCCAGGTGCTGCAGTAGATGAAGCAAAAACTGATGTTCAGGTGTGGAATAACCCCAGATCTGGGTCCTCCCTCAGTACAGTTTGTGGGGTGAATTCCCTTTTCCAGCACCACAGCATCCATCCATCCATACTGCAGAAACCTCAGCTTTATTCATCACTAATTTACAAGAAATCACAGCTTTTGCCCCCAGAACAGTTGCAGGAGAACACGAGAGCTCAGCAAGCAGGAGAGGGGTGGTTGCTTTTCCCTCCCCAAATAAATTGGGTTGAAATACAAAGCTTAAATGGAAAAGGAAATTAAGGGATTGAAACGTTTTAGAACAGCCCAGAAAAATTCTCTTTGTGGGAGAATGAATCCTATAATGTGTGTGTTAGTCTTTGGCAATGGAATTTTGGAGATGATGTGTCTGTGTGTGATGAAACATTTGACATTCCAGACAGCAACTGGGAGTGTTTGGCACTGGGAGAAAGGCAGGGTGTGCTTGGAGGTTGTGTGAAATATTCCCGGTGGGTTTTGCTCTGCACTTATTTCTGTGCTGGCTGAGGGGGCCAGGATGTCCCATCCCTGGGGAAGCTGTCCCATCCCTGGGGGAGGTGTCCCATCCCCGGGGAAGGTGTCTCAGCTCCGGGGGAGGTGTCCCATCCCTCGGGGGAGGTGTCCCATCCCCGGGGGAGGTGTCCCAGCCCCGGGGGAGGTGTCCCATCCCCGGGGGAGGTGTCCCATCCCCGGGGGAGCTGTCCCATCCTCGGGGGAGGTGTCCCATCCCTGGGGAAGGTGTCTCAGCTCCGGGGAAGGTGTCCCATCCCCGGGGAAGGTGTCCCATCCCTTGGGGGAGGTGTCCCATCCCTGGGGATGGTGTCCCATCCCCAGGGGAGCTGTCCCAGCCCCAGGGAGCTGTCCCAGCCCGGGGCAGGCTGGGCTCACACGGCCTCCAAGGTATCTCAGCTCCGGGGGAGGTGTCCCATCCCTGGGGAAGGTGTCCCATTCCTCGGGGGAGGTGTCCCATCCCCAGGGGAGCTGTCCCAGCCCCAGGGAGCTGTCCCAGCCCGGGGCAGGCTGGGCTCACACGGCCTCCACGTAGTTGGCGGGCAGCATTCCCGTCTTTCCGGTTCTCTGCACGGTGCCGTACATCCAGCCCTCGTCGATGGCCTGCACGTTGACAATGGTGTCCCCGTCCTTGAAGGACACCTCGTCCGCGTCCGCCGCCGTGTAGTCGTACATGGCCCGGAACGTCTTCTGCAGGGACACAAGGGACAGGGTCAGAGCCTTACAGGGGACACAGGGGATACGGTAACGCCCTGACATGGCCTGGAATGGCTTCTGAAGGGACACAAGGGACATGGTCACACCCTGACATGGCCCGGAATGTCTTCTGCAGGGACGCAAGGGACGTGGTCAGAGCCTTACAGGGCACATGGTCACACCCTGACATGGCCTGGAATGGCTTCTGAAGGGACACAAGGGACAGGGTCGCACCCTGACGTGGCTCAGAACCTCTTCTGAAGGGGCACAAGGGACAGAAGGGACACGGTCACACCATAACATGGCCTGGAACGTCTTCTGCAGGGCCGTGGGACAAAAAGGGACATGGTGATATCCTGACATAGGACAGAAGGGATGTAGTCACACCCTGACACGGCCTGGAACATCTGCAGGGACACAGGACAGAAGGGACATGGCCAAACCCTTAGAGGGGACAGAAGGGACAGGGTCACACTCTGACATGGCCCAAACCCTTGACAGAAGGGACAGAAGGGACATGGTCAGAGCCTTACAGGGGACAGAATGTCTTCAGGGACACCAAGGGACATGGTCAAACCCCAGGGGCTGGAACTGGTGCCATGGCAGGGTCTGGCTGCTCCTTCAAATCCTGCTGTGGATTCTTCTCCCTTCCTGAGCCCCTTGGGTCCCTGAGTGCCACAGCCCCGGGTGTGCTGGTGACACTGAGCCTGAGCAAGGTCAAGTGTCACTTTGAAGTTGTTGCCTCCCAGCAGTTTTTGGAGGCACATTCCCACTGTCCTTTACTCCAGAGGCAATCTCTGAATGAGCACTTCCTCCCACTCCTCAGTTTTCAAGGGTTGAGTAGGAAGAAGAGCTCATTCCAGGTTTCCAGGTGCTAATTCCAAGTTTCCAAATGCTCATTCCAGGTTTCCAGGTGCTAATTCCAGGTTTCCACGTGCTAATTCCAAATTTCCAGGCACAGGGAAGGCTCTGTCCCACTTAAGTCCCTGTCACACCTGGTTTCATACAGAGCTTCAGCCCCACAGACTGGAATGTCACCAACTCAGTCTTGGATTAACTCTATGAATTAGTGTTAATTAATTATTAATTAGTGGCTGTGACCCCTGCAGGTCCCCCGGGGTTACTCACCCCAGCAGTGGAGGGGTGGGAAGGCACCGAGGACACCGTGGTTTGCTGCGTGGCCACCGAGGACGAGCGTTGCTGTGGCAGCTCAATGGTCTTGACCTGCTTGTAGCCCACTGCAAGAGAGGGTGGGGTTATTATGGGATGGAGAAAGATCATTGTTATTATGGGATTGTGATGGAGCTGATCTGGAGAAGGATCATTGTGTGGGGTTATTATGGGATTGTGATGGTGCTGATCTGGACAGAGATCATTGTGTGGGGGTTATTTATTATGGGATTGTGATGGAGCTGGTTGGGATAAGGATCGTTGTGTGGGGTTATTATGGGATTGTGATGGAGCTGGTCTGGATAAAGATCATTGTGTGGGGATTATGGGATTGTGATGGTGCTGGCTGGGATAAAGATCAGGGGCAGGCCACTGGGACAGGTCAAAATCAGTTTAAAATGCACGTTAACAGCTGTTGCTTGTGCACAAGTCAGCATTTTGGAGATGTGTTTTTCCCTGGCTGTGGGGATTGCTGCACACGGTGGGCTGTGGCTGTACCTGTGGCCGTGGTGGTGAAGAAGCCCCCGTTGCTGTAGTAGGACAGGCGCTGGTCGGTGCCGTCCGAGGGCTCGGATTTCTCGTCGGCCGCGCCGCTGATGCTCAGGGCGCTGGCGGAGCGCGAGTGCTCCCGGCTGCGGCGCTGCGCCTGGACTGGGGGCAGCAGGGATGTCACCACCCCGGGGCTCAGAGCCACCACCCCGGGGCTCAGAGCCACCAGCCCTGGGGCTCTCAGAGCCACCAACTCCAGGGCTCAGAGCCACCAGCCCTGGGGCGCTCAGAGCCACCAACTCCAGGGCTCAGAGCCACCAACTCCAGTGCTCAGAGCCACCACCCCTGGGGCGCTCAGAGCCACCAACCCCAGGGCTCAGAGCCACCACCCCTGGGGCTTAGAGCCACCAACCCTGGGGCTTAGAGCCACCAACTCCAGGGCTCAGAGCCACCAACTCCAGGGCTCAGAGCCACCAGCCCTGGTGCTCTCAGAGCCACCAACCCCGGGGCTCAGAGCCACCAGCCCTGGGGCGCTCAGAGCCACCACCCCTGGGGCGCTCAGAGCCACCACCCCTGGGGCGCTCAGAGCCACCACCCCTGGGGCGCTCAGAGCCACCACCCCTGGGGCGCTCAGAGCCACCACCCCTGGGGCGCTCAGAGCCACCACCCCTGGGGCGCTCAGAGCCACCACCCCTGGGGCGCTCAGAGCCACCACCCCTGGGGCGCTCAGAGCCACCACCCCTGGGGCGCTCAGAGCCACCACCCCTGGGGCGCTCAGAGCCACCACCCCTGGGGCGCTCAGAGCCACCAACTCCAGGGCTCAGAGCCACCAGCCCTGGGGCTCTCAGTAATCACTCCTGGGACTCTTGGAGTCACCACCCTGGGGCTCTCAGAGCCACCAGTCCTCAGGCTCTCAGAGTTACCAACCCTAGAGCCCAGACCTCACAGAACCCAGCCCTTGTAAATTCAACTATCCCACGATCCCAGTGTAGTTTTATAGTTCCATAGTGGGATTTCCCAGTGCTTTTTTGAATATTCCATGCTGCAGTTCTGCTCTTCAATATTCACAGTATTTTATCCTTTCTCCAGCCTCTTTCCCCTTAGTCCTGGCTGCTTCTAGAATTTTTATTCTAATTATCCTGTGATTTTCTTCCTGACACAGCACTGGGCCATCCCCATGATTTTCTACCATCCAGGTATTTTTACTCTCAGACAGGAGTTTAAAAAAGGTCACTGAGGACAGCCTGTTCAGTAATTCCAAAAGGAAGCACAGGTAGCTTTGTATCATGGCAGCTGTGAATCACATAAACAATCCTCCTCTTACCTCTGTTGGATCCTTTTATGATAGGAAGATTAATAATGTACTTTTTGACCATTAGTTATGCTGGTGAGGAGCAGCTACAGCCAAATTCTCCTCTGTCCCCTGTGTCCCTTGGGGTCTCTCGGCTCTGTTTGGCACCCAGACCCCACCCCTGCAGGAGTTCAAATCCCATTTTTCGCGTGGAGCCCCTGGGACACACCTGAGATCATGTGCAGGCTCCGGGACTGGATGTTGTCCTCGGCGGGGTCGTAGTCGAAGACGGAGCCGGGGTTGGTTCTCCACACCCGGAGCCCTGCAGGAAAAAGGACAATTCCTGAGGAGAGGCCGAGCAGCACAGCCTGGCAGGACAGGAATTGTGCCTTCCCCAGCCCTGGGAGTGGCTGAGGCCAGGCTGGATGAGGCTTGGAGCACCCTGGGATAGTGGAAGGTGTCCTGCTCATGGCAGGGTGGGACTGGATGAGCTTTAATGTCCCTGCACCCCAAAGCAGTCTGGAATTCTTTGAAATATCACCCTTATTTTATAAATCAGTGTTTCTCAATTCTATAGCACAAATTTGGCTTTTTTACAATCAATCTACAGCGGGGTATTTCTCTAATGGATAGAGATGGAGTTCTTCTCAAGAGAGAAGAACCATAAATGCAGTGTGACATTATCAAGGTGGGGACAGCAGGTCATAGGTCATTTACAGCTGTTGGGAAAGAGTATTTCCAAAAAAGGACTTGGACAAGAACACCTCCAGGTGATGATGAATTGGAATTGATGTGGCTGAGCTTAAACTAAACCCCTCCTGTAGCAGATGTGCCCAGGTCTCCTGACCTGTGAGGTTCTCCTGGTCCTGGTCCACGCGTTTCCGCTCCATCTCCACCACCCTCCTCTGGATGCCCCTGTAGCTGATGTCACTGAAGTCCTGCATGTTCTTCTTCACGCGCTCCGTGATGGGGTCGGTCACCACGGGCGTGAAGCTCCCTTTGCTCTTCTCAAAGTCCTCGTGGTACTTCACCTGCAATTCCAAAGGATTGCGATTCCTGCTTCCCTCAGGGGCATTTCCAGCTCCTGAACTTTGGCTTCCCCAATCCTAATCCCAGACTTGCTTTAGCATTAAAGCCTTGGCCACCCAAACCTGGTAGGACACGTCGTCCTTGCTGCCAGGCAGGGTTATTTTTACCCTGAACTCCCTTCCCAGGGGAAGGACACCTCTGGAAGTGCTCTTACAGTGGAAATGTGTTTCTGGGTCTCCCGCACGCGCCGCATCTCCGGCGTGTCCAGGACGTAGGCGGCTTTTCCTTGGACTTGCTTGCGGAAACTGTCAGAGTAAAGGACCTGCCAGGGGAGGAGGAGCACAGGAGTTACCTCTGGAGCACCAGGCTGCCAAAGAAGGGCCAGTCCCAGATTTTTAAAATTTTTTTATAAGTGACTCTTACTGAAGAACCATAATTTTATACGTCACAGAATATTTGAAATTTAACTGTTTAAAACCCCTAAGAGAACCCAACTCATGGCAGAAATACTTGAGTGCACCAGAAAGCTTTAAGGAATTCCGTATCCTTCCAAACCCCTCCTGTCTGAGTGAGGATTTCAGGGATGAAGTGTTCCTTTGCTGTGTTGCACCCACCGAGCTGATGTTCTCCTGGTTGCGTTTGGCTCTCTCCATCTCTGGGGTCAACGGGGTCGGGGTTCCCTTGGCCATGTGCTCCTTGTACAGCACCTGCAGGGCACAAACACAGCTTGGGCTGGAAGAATTCCAGCTTTAATTCCAGCTTTTCCTGGCACTGGGGTTAAAGTTCAAGCAAACTCAGCCCTGCAGAGTGGAAAAGATCTCAGGAAACAAAGCAGCTGAAACGTTATTGGCAAAAGGTAAAAATAAAAATAAAGAATTAAAAGATCAAAGGGAAAATAGGCAAAAATAAGGAAAACTGGGAAAATAAGGCTGAATTAGGTGGAGTTTGGCTGAGGATGGTTATTTTTGGCACAAGGTGCTTGGCTGTGCTTGCAGTACCGAGCTGATTTGTTCTTGGTTCCGCTTGACTCTCTCCATCTCCGGAGTGAGCGGGCTGGGAGTGGCCTTCCCTAAACCTTCCCTGTATGCAACCTACAGACCACAAAGGAACTCAGTCACAGGGCAGAACTCCACACCTGGGGTGTTACTGGGTTTCACTCAACACCAGCCGTTAGGAGAGGGGAAAAACAAAAACAAAAAAATTAAGGAAAAATCGTATTAACAAGTTAAACAACAAAAAAATCCTTTAAAATTAGGAAAGGGGGGAAAAAAACGTCAGGAAAATCGTATTAACAAGTTAAATGACAAAAAGATCCTTTAGAATTACGGTACTTAAGAGGTGACTTATGAAAGAAAAAATTAGAGGGTTAAATAAAACCAGGCCGAGTGAGGTTATTCAGAAGAGCTCTGTGCCCTCCTCTGGTTGTTAAGCACTGCAGTGGGAGGTTTGGGAAGCTTTTCCTGCGGGAATACCGAGCTAATCTGCTCCTGGTTGCGTTTGACTCGCTCCATCTCGGGAGTGACGGGCGTGGGGGTCGCCTGCCCCACGTTCTCTTTGTACAACACCTGCGGGACAAACAGCGAGCCGGGCTCTTAAACAGCCCCAAAAAAAAGCCTTAAAAAACTAAAATTATTACTTGGTTACCAGAGTTCAAAACCTCAAACGTTTAGTGCTGCCGGGAGGGGTGAGGAACAGGGAGGGGAAAACTGGGATTATTTGGGATTAAGGGCTCTATCCAGGTGGCTCCAGGGGCTCAGGAAGTGCCTCTGGCTCTAAGCTGTGTAAAAAATGCTTTATCTGCTTTTTTTACATCTATATTTGAAGCAATTCCTGGTGTTTTTGGGAGGGAGGTGGAAGTTTTGTTGCCACACTGCCCCAGTAATGATGTCAGGGATGGGTGCTTTTCCCTGAAGTCAAATCCACCTGAAAATCCAATGAAAGGTGAAACACTGAACACAGAGAGAAGCCTAAATATCCCTGGAAAACCTGGGCTAGTAAGGGAATGAAATGAGCTCTGTGTCCCTTCCAACCCAAACATTCCCTGATCCCCACCAAGAGATCTGAACTCCTGAGATGCTCTGGATAGAACCCACAAATTCACAAACAAAGCTGTAAAAAAGGCCTAAAATTCTGGATCACACCGTTAACACCGAAGTAATTTGGGTTTAGAAGGAGCAATTAATGTGCAGAAAAAAAGAAGTACATCTGTTTTTAAATGAAAACCAGCACTGAGTGGGAGTTAGGCTGTTACTTGATTAAGCTGAAGCACAAAGGAAACCAGAAAATTCTGGGAAGGTACCGAGCTAATGATCTCTTGATTGCGTTTGACTCTCTCCATCTCGGGGGTGATGGGGGTCGGGGTCACCTTCCCCACATTTTCCTTGTACAAAACCTACAGGATACAAGGGAGTACCCAAATGTCATTGAAAAGAAAAACAAGGAAAAAAACCACCCAAAAAGCAGAACAAAGAGCTTTGGAGCCGTCCCACCGAGTTAGGGCTGGGGCACGGGAGGAGGAGTTGGAGCTTTGCCATTGATTAATTTGGGATGCAGGAACGGGCCCCGGCTGGAATCATCGGCGGCAAAGCACAGGGGGAGTAAGAAAGGTTAAAAAAATTCAATCAGGACAACACCATCCATCCCAAAAAAAGGATTTTTTTTTTTTTTTCCTAGTAAAACCCTGGCTGGGGCAGCGTTGAAGAGAAGCCGGTGCGGTTTGTGCGCGCCTCGGGGCAGAGGCATTTCAGGGGTTAACAAGCACAGCCGGGTTAAACACCGCAATCGGGTTTTTAGGGACTTTTCCCGTGCAAGTACCGAGCTAATGATCTCCTGGTTGCGCTTGACTCTCTCCATCTCGGGGGTGACGGGCGTGGGGGTGGCTTTGCCTATGTTCTCCTTGTACAACACCTGCGGGGCAGAGAGGAGCGGAGAAAGGACGGTCAGTGACAGCTCTGCTTTTCCCCTGGGATTCAGTCCGCAGGAGGTTTTTAAGCAGCTCCTGGCACTGTTTTAGTAGAGGGGTAGTTTGGCAGCCTGGCTTGAGCTGCTGCTGATAAATGGGGTAAGCACTGCACCGAGGAGCACAAACCCCCCCGAGGGGCAGAGCACGGCAGAAAACCCAATTAACCGCTTGAAAAGGAACGGCAGCACTGCAGAGAAAAGGAGAGGGGTTTGAGAGGGTTTAGGATTAGAACACGACATTAAAATCACTCTTAAAACCAAGATCGAGTTAACATTTCAACCGGAGGAAGCCACGAGTGAGGAGCGAGCCCTGCTCTGAGCTGCGTTATTTTGGGACAAATCCTTCTCCAAACGGTTAAAAAAGGGCTTGGAAAGAGTTAAAAGGTTTCAGCTCTGGGTTTAAAGAGTTAAAGGGAAGTTTTGCTCTTGGCAAAGTACCGAGCTGCAAATCTCCTGGTTGCGTTTGACCCTCTCCATCTCGGGGGTGACAGGAGTGGGGGTCCCTGTCCCCACGCTCTCCTTGTACAACACCTGCGCAACAAGAAACCATCCAAAGCCATCAGCACTCGTCAAACCCGAATTTTCCTGCGGAACGGGAGCTTTCCAAGCCCCAGCGCAGCCTCCTCAGAAGTCACACCCTCCCTCCTCTGCCGGGGTTAAAACAACGCACGAAGAATTTTAGATATAAAAAAACCACACGTAATAAAGGGAAGATGGAACAGGGAACAAAACGGTTAAAAACACTTAGAATAACGCAGATATTTGTAAATAACTCCGAACAACGTAAATATTTGTGAATAATTCCATCAGTGAAGAAGTGCCAGGTCAGTAACACAGTGAGGAAGAGAGGATTGATTATGAGGATGTGTTTGTGGGGATGTGTTTGTGGGGATGTGTTTGTGGAGTTTGTGGGGATGTGTTTGTGGAGTTTGTGGGGATGTGTTTTTGGTGTTTGTGGGGATGTGTTTGTGGAGTTTGTGGGGATGTGTTTGTGGAGTTTGTGGGGATGTGTTTGTGGAGTTTGTGGGGATGTGCTTGTGGAGTTTGTGGTGTTCATGAGGATGTGTTTAGGGGGATGTGTTTTTGGTGTTTGTGGGGATGTGCTTGTGGTGTTTGTGAGGATGCATTTATGGGGATGTGTTTGTCAGGATGTGTTTGTGGTGTTTGTGAGGATGTGTTTGTGGAGTTTGTGGGGATTCGTTTGTGGGGATGTGTTTGTGGGGATGTGTTTATGAGGATGTGTTTATGGGGATGCGTTTGTGGTGCTTGTGAGGATGTCTTTGTGAGGATGTTTGTGGGGATGCATTTGTGGAGTTTGTGGGAATTCGTTTGTGGGGATGTGTTGTGGGGATGCATTTGTGGAGTTTGTGGGGATGTATTTCTGTGGATGTGCTTGTGGAGTTTCTGGGGATGTGTTTGTGGGGATTGTGGGGGTTGTTTGTGAGGATGTGTTTGTGAGGATTGTTTGTGAGGATTGTTCATGAGGATGTGTTTGTGGGAATGCATTTGTGGAGTTTCTGGGGATGTGTTTGTGGGGATTGTTTGTGAGGATGCATTCGTGGGGATGTGTTTGTGGTGTTTATGAGGATGTGTTTGTGAGGATGTATTTATGGGGATGTGTTTGTGAGGATGTGTTTGTGGTGTTTGTGAGGATATGTTTGTGGAGTTTGTGGGGATGTGTTTGTGAGGATGCATTTATGAGGATGTGTTTGTGGGGATGCATTTGTGGTGTTTGTGAGGATGCGTTTGTGGTGTTTGTGGGGATGTGTTTGTGGTGTTTGTGGGGACGTGTCTGTGAGTTGGTTAAGCAGCAGGAGGAGAGGAGCAGAGTTTTTCGGGCAGCTGAAGGAGCCGCCGCCGGCACGGTACCGAGCTCAGGTGCTCCTGGTTGCGCCTGACCCGCTCCAGCTCGGGAGTGACCGGGATGGGGGTGCCCGAGCCCAGCTGCTCCCGGTACAGAACCTGCGGGGGAACAGCGACAGAAATCCGGGATGAGGGAGAAAAGATGGGATCCTGCTCCAGACAGCTGCACCGCTCACGCCTGGACGCAAAACCGGGCAGAAAAAGCTGTGAAAGCACCAAAAATCCCAAATAAAGCGGCTCCGGATCCTCGCCCAGCCCAGCCCAGCCCGTCCAGGCACGGTTTAGTTCTCCAGGGTAAAATCAGGAAAATCGGGAAAATTCACTCCATGGAACAAAACTGAAGGGGGGATTAAATAAGGAAAAGAGGGTGGGTTTTTATGAGTGAAAAAAAAAAATTGTTGGGGCTAAATAAGGAAAGGAGGCAGGGTTTTAAGAGTTAAAAAAAAGAATTGTGGAGATTAAATTAGGAAAACAGGGTGGGATTTTAAGAGTTAAAAAAAAATACTTGTGGGGACTAAATAAGGAAAGAGGGTGGGTTTTTATGAGTGAAAAAAACCCAGGATGGCTGGGGCTAAATAAAGGAAACAGGGTGGGTTTTAAGAGTCAAAAAAGAAAAAATCGTAAGACTAAATAAGGAAAACACAATGGGTTTTTAAGAATTAAAATAGAATTGTTGGTATTAAAAAAGGAAAACAGGGTGGTTTTTCAGTTAAAAAAAAAAAAACCAGAATTGTTGGGACTAAATAAGGAAAACAGGGTGGATTTTATGAGTTAAAAACAAAAAAAGGATTGTTGACACTAAATAAAATAAATAGGGTGGGATTTTAATAGTTTTAATAGACTCTTGGGACCAAGTAAGGACAGCAGTGTGGGATTTTAAGAGTTAAAAAAAGGATTTTTGGGACTAATTAAGGAAAACAGAGTGGGTTTTTAAGAGTTAAAAAAAAAGGCAATCACAATCCAAAAGGTGAGATTCAATTACTAAAATGATGTAATTAAAAGTCAAGGGAATAAGAACAATGTAAGTAATAATTATGAAGGAAAAAAGAATTCTGAGAGGGCCAAGGATGTTATTTTTGGGGTAAGTCAATTATAAGGAAACAAGAATATTGTTTGGTTGGTTAAAAAGTCTTTTAAAATCGATTAAAGGGGATTTTTTTGGCTTTTGGAGTTCAAAACTACCGAGCTAATGTGTTCTTGATTGCGTTTGACCCTCTCAATCTCGGGGGTGACAGGGGTGGGGGTTCCTGTCCCCAGCTCCTCCTTGTACAACACCTGTGGGGCAAGGGGCAAGAAACAGAATCAAAGCAGCACCAAAAACTCCCCGAGCATCAGAGAGGGGCTTCTGACACGTCCTGGGGTAAAAATCCCTCAGGAGGAAAAACTCTTTTAAAACTCTGCAGTGACTGAGGCTGAATTTAGGTGGGATATTGAGAAAAAGGATAGAATTATACATAAATAATATAGTATATATTAGAAATTATTATGTATAACATATTAATATATGTTAATTAATATAATTTTTCTATTATATATTTTTAATACATTATGTATTATATACGTATAATTTCTAGTGCTCTCCTGGTTTCAGTGGCACTTCCCTCACATTTCCACACATTCCAACACCCCCAGAACACTTCCAGTGCATCCCTGCCACATTTCCTAAAGGAAAAGGCACCAAACCCAAAAGAAAAGGCACCAAATACAAAGGAAAAGGCTCAAATCCAAAGGAAATGCTCGAATTCAAAGGAAAATGCTCAAACCCAAAGGAAAAGGCTCAAACCCAAAGGAAATGCTCAAACCCAAAGGAAAAGGCTCAAACACAAAGAAAATGGTTCAAACACAAACAAAAGTACTGACTACCAAAGAAAAGGCACCAAACCCAAAGGAAGAGGCACCAAACCCACAGGAAAAGGCACCAAACACAAAGGAAAAGGCTCCAAACCCAAATAAAAGGCTCAAACCCAAATAAAAGGCTCAAAGCCAAGGCAGGAGGAATGCAGGCACCAATCCCAGCTGATTTCCCATCCCACCCCCATCACAGCAGGCTCAGGGATCACAGCCACGGATCTGGGTCAGGTAGGGAATAGCTTGGATTTTATACATGGCAAAACCAAAAAATCAAAAAAAAAAAAAAAAAGGATTGAAGTAAATGTACTAGAAAGCAGGAAAAATTAGGGAGCATAAATCAGTTATTAATTGTGATAAATTCAGCTGGGAGTACAAATCCAACTGCCTGGATAGGCTCCAGCAGAGGAACAAAGTATTACAGGAAGAGAATTCAGCAAATTATTTTAAAAAATAGGTTTAAAAATGCAAATAGCTTAAACTTCAGGAAAAAAATAATGCACATGAAACACCCAGTGTTAAATGATAGGAAAAATATTTTTAAAAACAAGTACTTAAAAATGCTGCTAAAAATGTAAGAGCAAAAGGAGGATTTTTTAATGAGTTAATTTGAGGGCATTTAAAGTTTGCAGGTGTTACATAGCCACATAAAACTGAGTTTTTTCCTGTAATGATAAAAAGATACCGAGCTAAAATTCTCCTGGTTGCGTTTGACCCTCTCCATCTCAGGAGTGACAGGAACTGGGGTGCCAACACCCAGCCCCTCCTTGTACAACACCTGTGGGCAGCAGGAGTGTGGAAATTCAAATAAAATAAAATAACAAATTAAAATAAAAGAAAATGGAAGGAAAGGGGAGGACATGGAGGTCAGGGAGGAAAGAGAGAGAAGAGAAATAATTTAATATTAGGAAACTGCAAAGTGTGGGAAAAAAAAATAGTTTTGCTTTGGTCAAGGCTCAGTACAAAACCCTCAAGGACAAGAATCAGGTGATGATGCTGTCACCTCAGCCAGGGCCAGAGCTGCTGGAATGTTCCAAGGCACCTGGAAATTCCCTGGCAAAGGTTTTTCCCTACTCCAGCTCCAGATGTTCTGCCAGGATTGCAGCCAGGCTGAGGTGCCTGTGCCTGTCCCAGGGATCTCTGCCAGGATTGAATTTCAGGTGGGATTTGGGCAGAGTGACCCCAAAATGTCACAAATTCAACCAGGACTGCAGAACAAAGTGGTGGCATGGTGCTCTTTCAAGTGGATGTGTCAGGAGGGGGAATTCCAGACAGGAATTCACTCCTGCAGCACTTTCCCATCTCCACTGGATGTTTCTGGTGTTCCTTCACTGCCATGAGCTGGGAATGTCACCTGGGCTCCTCACCAAGCCCTGGAGACACAGCAGAGCCCCAGCAGGGCAGGGACAAGGCTCTCGTGCTTCCAACCCAAGCCATTCCCTGTCCCGTGACTCAGGAAGGGCTGGGAGTCCATTTCCCTTTGGCAGGAGGTGCTGGAAGGGTGGGCTCAGCTCCTGAGGAGCAGTGGCACCATTCCCACAAGGAATATTTCCTTGGGAAGCAAAGGAAGGCCCTGCTCCAGGGCTTTAATTCCTGAGGTTAAAACCTTCCATCTGCAACAGCGGCACGAGTTAAATCGAGGGGAAAATGAAAACTTCAGGATCCTGCCAGGGCTTCAGGGGTTTGATAAGGAAAGGGCTGCTCCCAACACACCCAAGGATGTGACATGGAGGAGTTACAGGGACTGGGTTTGGGGTTGGAAGGGGGCAGGGGTGGAGATCCCTCAGTACCGAGCTGATGTGCTCCTGGTTCCGTCGGACCCGCTCCATCTCCGGCGTCACCGGCGTGGCAGTGCCAGCCCCTAAACCCTCCTTGTACAACACCTGTGAGGGACAACAGCAGCGCCACAAAAACCCCCCTCAGCACGGGCCAGACCCACCAGATCCCACTGTTATGGGATGGTGTTTAGAGTTAGGATCACTTGGGATTCACCGCACGAGGATTAAGGAAGAGGCTGTGGGGGATTATTCTGTGAATGCATCACTGCAGAGAGGAGATAAAGGCTCAGGGTGAAACAAACGTGGGGAGAAACACCACAACTCCATGGGGATGTTCTGCTGCCCAGCTTAGCTCAGGAAATGGCAGGATTATTTTCAGGCAGGTTTGTTCTTAGAAGAAAAGCGCGTGAAGGTGTAAATCCCCCAAAAAGCACAAACAGTGGAAGATCAATGAGTTAAAACCCAGCCAGGGCACAGCCAGGACTACACCCCTGAGGAAGAACAAGGTTAGGGTGTTAGGAGCACAGGATTATAACAACAGCCCGTTGTTATAAGTCCTGCAGGGTGGAAATACCGAGCTAATCTGCTCCTGGTTGCGTTTGACCCGCTCCATCTCGGGGGTGACAGGGGTGGGGGTTCCTGTCCCCAGCTCCTCCTTGTACAACACCTGTGGGACACAAGCAGGGTCAGAGCACCCCTGGGACATCCCTGACCTGCTCACTGCCACTGCAGACTGGGATTGTACACAAAAGAAAACACAGCTCACACCCCTCAGCATCTTTATCAGCACCAGCGCAGAGTAATTTCCCTTCAGTTCTTCATTTAAAGGACACAAATTCAAATATTCTGCTGACCCCACCCTGAGAGGGATATTTTACTTTTCATCTTAGCTTAGGAAATAGGACAGAATTACTTTTTAGGCAGTCAGCATTTCTTTATGGGATTAATAAACAGCTTGACCTTTTCTGGAATTGTTCAGTGTACAAAGACTTCATTGTGGGCTTCACTAATTTTCACTTCTGTTTGTTTGCACCACTACTTTACTTTGGGTTAAATCTCTAGGAAATAAAAACAACTGAGTACCACCACTCATGTTATGAGGTTTAATTTAACCTGTAGTTATTTGATTTTTAAAAATGGTCTTTTTCATGAAAGGAGATGTTTGTGGAATAACCCCAACCACGTGGGAATACCTGACTAGAGTATTGGCACATTTTGACTCACAGCTCCTCTTGCAAGTAGGAAAATCCTTGTACCAAAACAAAACTTGTATCAAAACAAACTAACAAAAAAAAATCCACTGCTTGGTGTCATTGAAAGAAATAAATCAATTACAGCAAGGAAAAACAAGTTGTGGTGAAGGTTAGAAAAAATGAAGAATTATTTGGAAAAACCTCAGTTGTCCATAAGTGAGATGTCATACAACTGTCATACAAAAAGGCTCCATTTGGGATTTTTCCCTCAAATTCTGTCTTCCTGATCCTTTTTCCCCAGTCAAACTTCAGCACACAACCTGGCTCATTTTTGTTCCAAGCTCTGTGTTCAGAAAAGGCCACGGAAGAAACACAGGCAGTGACTGATGGGGGTAATTCCTGTAAAACTCGGGTATTTCAATTTCCTGCTGCTGGCCACGGGGATTTGGGAGAGCTGGAGCTTTCCCAAGAGGAAAAGGCCCTGGAGAGGGCAGAGAGCAGGGAATTCCTGGGCTGATGTGCTGGGGACAGGAACATTCCAGGGAACAGGGACATTACTGAGCTGATGTGCAGGGAACAGGGACATTCCCGGGTTGATGTGCAGGGAACAGGGACATTCCAGGGAACAGGGACATTCCCGGGTTGATGTGCTGGGAACAAGGACATTCCAGGGAACAGGGACATTCCAGGGAACAGGGACATTCCCAAGCTGATGTGCTGGGAACAAGGACACTCCAGGGAACAGGGACATTCCAGGGAACAGGGACATTACTGAGCTGATGTGCAGGGAACAGGGACATTCCAGGGAACAGGGACATTCCAGAGAACAGGGACATTACTGAGCCGATGTGCAGGGAACAGGGACATTCCAGGGAACAGGGACATTCCCAAGCTGATGTGCTGGGAAAGCTGATGTGCTGGGAACAGGGACATTCCAGGAACAGGGACATTAATTACCGAGCTGATGTGCTTCTGGGTCTCCTTGACGCGCTTCACCTCGGGCAGGTCAGGAATGGGAGTTCCTTTGCCAATGCTCTCCTTGTACTTCACCTGCAAAGGAATGGGAATTAGGGGAGGGAAAAGGATCTACAGGAAAGCTTTCAAAGGTTCATAAAAGAGCTTTGTCCTGATCTGTGCAGAGGGGAAGTTTAAAGGACTTCAACACCATCCCAAGGGATCCATGGCAAGGCAATTCAGCTGTTGAGTCACTGGGAATGGCACTGAAAAGGTTTTATAAAACCAGAAGAATTCCTTTAAACCTGACACTATTTTGCCTTTCTACCAGCCAAAGGAGAATTTGGGATGTGTAAGAATCCCTCCTATTTAACAAAAGTCAGAATCATCACACAAGTTTCAGCAGTGACGGTGCCATTGCATTTCTGCTTTGCTAACAACAAAAAAAGCCTTTCACAAAAACATTTTTAACATTTTTAACACATTATGAGTGAGCAAACTGGCTGCAGTGTTAGTGTATGACACTAAATGACACCACCATTCAAAAAAAGGCATGGAGGAGATTTAGGAGCTTTGAAATAAAATTAATAGGTAAAATAGAAGGCTGTGACCTTTTAGATAACATCCAAGTTTGCCAGGACAAAACAAACCAAAAAATTCTCGACCAGAAAATTCAGTCTGAGCAGAGTAAAACAGATTTTCCTGGGAGATGGTCCCACCCTGGAACAGGTTGTGGAATCTTCATCCTGTGGGATACTCAAAACTCATCCTAAAGCTGAGCCACAGGGTTGGAATAGATGATTTCAACACATCCCTTCCCACCTAAATATTTCTTTTTTTCTGTCCAAACTATATCTGGGATGAGATCAAATTGAAAGCAAAATCTTTCGTGGTTTAGAAATGGGTTGTGAGTAAGAAATAGAATGTTAATCATTAGAGAGGTTACTGTTAAAGTAACAAGGATAGGCAAAAACTTCCAGAAAGTCACCCTTGACTGGGTGGGTTATTGCCAAACCACTGTTAGCAAGATGTAAAGAAAAGAAAAATAGAAAAAAAAAATTATTTCAAGTTGAATTAGCAGCAGTAGAGTGAGTATTAAAAACCAATCCTTGTGTACCGAGCTGATATTATCCTGGGTTCGTTTAACTCTCTGCATCTCTGGGGTCTTTTCAATTGTGGTTCCAGTTCCAATGTCTTCTTTATACAAAATCTTAACATTTAGAATGAAGACAACAAGGTTAAGCATCCAAAACACAACATTCTTGCTCCCAGACACTGAATTTGGACACAAAGGAGCAGCTGAAAGCCCAGAGGATCCACTCTGGTCACTGCCTCTCTGAAGGTGTCCAAAGTGAGCACCATTTGGGGAAAAAAAAAGCTGATCTTTTCTATTTAATGCTTTTTATGTAGGAGATAATTTATACAATAAATCAAAATAGCAAATGTATTTCAGTAGAATATTCCTGGGCTAGTGGAAGGAGTCCCTGCCCGTGGCAGGATGGAAGAAGATGAGCTTTAGGTCCCTTCCACCCGTTCCATAATTCCATAATCAAAACATTTGGAGGCTAATTTTAGGACTGAAGATCATTATTTGCTCTTATTTGATTTATACAAATATTTTCCACTTTGTTAATGGTGCTGGAGGCAAAATGCCACAGGAGACTTGATGGCAACAGGAACTGGGCAACAATGCAGGCACACAGAGCACGAGGGGCAGCAGGACAGGGAGGGACTGGCATGGGAACAGCACAAAGGAAAGGGACAATAATTATATTAATTTAAGGAGGGATTGTTTGACCCTATCACAGCTGTGCCTGTGAAAGAGGGCAATCACCCCACAAAAAGAGCAGGGAAAACACTTTATAAAGCCCAGCTAAACCTACTGTACCTGTAGGAGGAGCACCCAAAAATTGAAATGTTATTAAAGACATTAAAGTGTATTTTTTGGGCTGAGGAGTGAAGACAGAGGTGACCATACCGAGCTGAAATTCTTCTGGTTTTCCTTCACCCTCAGGATTTCTGGGGTGTCCTGAACCACTGTGACTTTTCCTTTACTGTTCTGTAGGTCTGACTGATACTGAAGCTGTGAAAATGGAAAATGGAAAGTGTTAACTCTGTGCTGTACAAATTGCCCCACAGTTTTCTTCAAAAACTGAGATGAATATGGGAGGTTTTTTTACTTATTTCTGGACTTACCATGCTAAAGTTCTTCTGATTCTCTCGGACCCTCTGCATTTCTGGTGTGTCAGCCACGGGCACATAGTAGGGCATGCTCTTCTCTGCATCTTCCTTGTATTTTTTCTGATGGAAAGCCCCAAATGGATTAAAATAGAAAACACAAAAGCAGCAAGAAACCAACTGGAGTTATTGATTGTTGAGTAGTGCCCATCTTTGTGGAGATGTGAGTTCTTCTCTGTCTGACAGAAACTGAGATTATGCCTCTGTGCAAGATTTATTTTAGACAGCAGGTTATTGAGGGGTAGAAAATTAAGAAGAATCTGCTTAAAGAAGAATTAGCTTTGCAAAGCAAGAGAAATTATTGTGCCACTTGACACAGCAGTAAAATTAATTTGATTATTGCCATAGAATTCCAGAACTCTGAAAAGAATTATTCCCTGGTGCCTCCTGAAGGTAGTGAGAGGTGGTTATTTGGGTGTTTCATTAGTATTTCCTGGAGTTCCCACATGAGCAGGATTAATTGCTGCACTCAAGATACCTGGCTGGAAAGGTTCTTGACCTGCTGGGCATGAATAATCTCTGGAGTATCAACAACACTGGTGTAGTTGGCTTTCTCCATTTCTGCCAATTGTTTGTATTTGATCTGTCGGGCAAAGCTCACGTTTAGGGCCCTCGGTCGTCTCTGCACAACAGCTCACACTGGGTTTACCCAGAAAAATCTGAATTTTCCTTTCTAAGGAGCTCAGAGAGTCAGGGTGGCACAGACCTGGCTGGCGATGTCGGTGGCGTTCCTGGCGCGCACGAAATCCGGCGTCTCCAGCGCCAGCTCGGTCAGGCCCTTCCCGCGGATCTCCTGCTCCAGGGCTCGCTTGTACTCCTTCTGCAGGGAGCCAGGGGTGGGCAGGGAAAAGGGGTCAGGTTCACAGCCACACACCAGGAACAGGGCCAGTCCCAGCCAGGAGCACAGCCCATCCCAACAGGAATATCACAATCCCAAACCAGGCACAGTGCCCATCCGAAAGAGGAATAGCACAAATTCCAAACCAGGAACAGAGCCCATCCCAACCAGGAGCAGTGCCCATCCCAACCAGGAACAGTGCCCATCCCAACCAGGAACAATGACCATCCCAACCAGGAACAGTGCCCATCCCAAATAAGAACAGTGCCCATCCCAAACCAGGAACAGTGCCCATCCGAAAGAGGAATAGCACAAATCCCAAACCAGGAACAGAGCCCATCCCAACCAGGAACAATGACCATCCCAACCAGGAGCAGTGCCCATCCCTACCAGGAACAGTGCCCATCCCAACCAGGCACAGTGCCCATCCCAACCAGGAACAGTGCCCATCCCAAACCAGGCACAGTGCCCATCCCAAACAAGGAGCAGTGCCCATCCCAACCAGGAATAGTGTCCATCCCAACCAGGGAACAATGCTCATCCCAACCAGGAACAGTGCCCAGCCCAGCCAGGGAAGAATGCCCATCCCAACCAGGAACAGTGCCCATCCCAACCAGGGAACAATGCCCATCCCAACCATGAACAGTGCCCATCCCAACCATGAACAGAGCCAATCCCAACCAGGAACAGTGCCCATCCCAAAGAGGAATAGCACAAATCCCAAACAAGGAAGAGAGCCAATATCAAACCAGGAATAGTGTCCATCCTAACCAGGAACAGTGCCTGTCCCAAACCAGGAATACCTCTAATATTAACTCATAATGATGCACACAAATGATATAATTTCAGATTATTTCAGGTTGTGCTTCATTACTTAAATCTTGGTTTAGTTCATTGATAAATTAACTAATGAGTCCCCTGAGTGACTGTTGATCCCAGTTCCTGTTTCCTATCTGAATTCCTGACAGTGACTGTGAATCTAGGAAAGAGCTCTCTTAGAAGTCCACTTTGACCCTTACTCCCTCATCCATGTTCTTTCCTGGCCTCTACTCAAGAGTTTCCAGGGAATGGTGAAGTTCACACCAGTCAAAGGGCAGGGATGGATGGGATATTGGGAAGGAATTCCTGGCTGGGAGGATGGGGAGGGATGGGATGGATTCCCAGAGAAGCTGTGGCTGCCCCTGGATCCCTGGCAGTGTCCCAGGCCAGGCTGGACACTGGGGCTTGGAGCAGCCTGGGATGGTGCAAGGTGTCCCTGCCATGGCAGGAAAACATTCCATCCACTCAGGCATTTTCCAAGAAGCTCTCCCATACCTCGTTCAGGATCTGAGTGGCATTCTTGGCTCTCAGCATGTCTGGAGTCTCCTCTAAGGCTGTCAGTCCTTTCCCTTTGACTCCTTCCTCCAGATCCTTCCTATACTCTTTCTGCAGGAGAAGGAGAAGGAAAAACACTGCAAAGCCAGACCAAAGGGAGTTTTACACTCTGCCAACTTTGTTGCAAAAAAATTAAAGAAAATGAAAGAAAAAGAAGTTCCAAAAGCTCCAAAAGAAAAGAAAAAAAAAAAAAGGAAATTTGAAAAACAAGAATGAATATTGTAGAGGGTTATGGAAGAAGTACTCCAACAAAAGATAGGGATTATTGTGGAAGATAAATTGCCAAGGCACACACATATGGACCAGTTAGGCTGAGGGAAGTCAGAGAGGGGCAGCACATGGGAATATGGTTAAGGGACAAGGAAGAAATGTCCATGGCAAATTAGCTGACAGCACAAAATGGATGTAAACATGCTCAGTGTGGGTGAGGAGAGTGGGGAAGAAGAAGTGGGAATGCTGGAGGTGCTGCAGGAGGCAGAGGAAGGAAGCCCAGAGGAGCTGGTACCTCGCTCGCTATTTTGGTGGCGTATTTGACATGCAAGAGGGATGGTGTGACCTCCAGGCCAGTGAGGTTCCTGCCCTTCATGGACTCTTCAAAGTCCTTCTTATATTCTTTCTAATGAGAGCAAGAAGAAGAAGAAAAAAAAAAAAAAGAAAAAAGAAAAAGAAAAAGCAAAACAGCAAGTATTTATTACAATATTTTCATAATGTGCAAAGCTGGGAGGGTGTCAAAATCACTTGGGTATAGTTGATGTTAAATCCTCTTCCCACTAAAATTTGTGAAGCAGCTCATTGCTTTCTATGGAAATAGGATCTGATCCTGGGTTTATTTTTTATTTTTCTACTCATTTATCTATGCAGAGAAAGCATTCAAAGGTACCACAAGGACTAATGGCCTTATACAGCTGCTTTGCAGCCTCCATCTGGGCCAGAAGAGGAATAAATTTCAAATAAACACAAAAAAGCTGCTCAGGAAAAGAAAATGACAGGTCAGGGGAGAACCTGTGACAGCAGAGACATGACATGCAGGGAATAAAAGAGTTTCTCAAAAATGGAGTTTTGAGGTAAAAAAAAAGAAGCAGACCACTTTCTGTGTCTTGTGATAACACACAGTGAAAAAAGAAGCAGACCACTTTCTGTGTCTTGTGATAACACACAAACACTGTGTTGTGTTGTAAAAGTAAAATTAATTTTGTACCACATTCCTTAGTCAAAGACTTGTTTAAGCTTCATTTTAAAAAAAATTACAGATAAACTCATTTCATGACAGGAAAGTGTCATGAATGCTCAATGCAGCATTTAACAACCATCATAAAGAAATATGAAATTACTATAATTTTTCAGTCTATCAGCCTGCACAAGGTGCAAGTACAATTGCCTGTCAAATCCCTAAGTTTAATATAAAATAGAAATTTTAAACTTTTCAGCCCATCAGTATTGATTTTACCTCACTCTGCATGAGCTGAGATTCCTTTGCAGTCAGGTATGTGGGAGTTTCAAAGTCCAACATGGGCTTTCCTTTTTCCTTCTCATACTTTTCTCTGTATTTCACCTGAGAAGAAAAGACAGAGTCACTCTCCTAAATAACCAAAGACCTAATTAATCAAGTAGTATGTGCCTATTATCAACACTTCTGGGATAAAAACTGAATGTCTAATGCAGTTTGCCTTTCTGAAATGTGTATTATTGATCAGCAAATGTAAAATTCGGTGTCCAGGAGTTAAAATGTCCATGCAGATGATTCCTGCTTCGAGTTCTAGTCTCCAGATTTTCAGAGTGCTCAGTGAGGGAATGCTGTGGCCAAGTCAGAGCCTGATCCCAGACTGGAGAAACAAGGATTGACTTAAAAATCAATTACATTAACAACCATTTCTTTGTGGTCCTTGGCTGTGGGACCTCTTTGCCTTTCCATGCCTTGAACACCCCTGGAAGTGCCCAAGGCCAGGCTGGAGCAGCCTGGGATGGTGGGAGGTGTCCCTCTCCAAGGCAGGGGTGGGTGTGATAATCCCAAATGTCCCCAGACCCTTCTGGAATTCTGTGCCAAGCACAGAACAATCAGCTGTGGCCCTTGGTGTTCTTGCAGTAATTCCTCTCTTGCTTTACAGCCAATAAATACATGAAACAGAGAGGATCAGAGACCAAATGAGACTCTGAATTTCTCTGGAGTGATCCACTGTTTTATTCCAGAGGGGAAAACTCCAGCCATGTTGATAGTTTTGGTTAAAGCTGTTTTGGATGCAGGAGAGGTCAGCAGAGCTCTCCTTTGGATCATGGAATGGATGAAGCAGTTGGAAATCCACTGTCAGCAACAACCCTAATTCCTTCAGTTCCCGGTTTCTGTGATTCCCAGGTCCTTTTTTCTCCAGAGATAAATCCCCCTGATAAATGTATTAACCTGTGTAAAAAGATCCATGTAGAGCAGAGGTGGGCAACAGGGATTGGCTCTGGAATGAAGGAATCACAGGGAGATTTTATCTGTGTATTTTATGTGTTCTGCACTTGGAACTGGCAGGTTCTGCTCCCTGGATCCTTCCCCAGGGGTGCAGTGCTGGTGGGGCAGAGAGGGACAGGGAATGTCCCAGCCTGGAGGATTCACTGGGAGGATTTTGATGGAATTTGGAGCTCAGTGAGTTGGGATAGGGACAAACACACGTCCAACTTACGTGGCTCTGGAGCTCTGAGGCCTCCCTGAGATGAACCTGTTCAAGATTATCTGGCACCACATGGTAGTGACCCTTACTCTTCTCATATTGCTTCTTGTACTGGTACTGAAGGGAAGGTGTCAAAAATCATCTCAATCAAAAAAAAAAAACCTCAGCAAATTTACTTCTTAGGTCCAATCAAAGCAACACTTCAACGGAATATCAGAGAGAAATTAGAAATGCAAGAAGTAAAACAAAAACCAAGAAGTTTAGAATTGATATTGGGGGTTAAAGATGTGAGGGAATAGTTATATTTTATGGTCATTTGGATTGCAACAAAAGTTTTTTTCCAAACCAGGATTAAAAGAAGAAAAAGAAAGAGAAGAGAGAAAACACAGCGGGTAAGGAAAAGGCTGTACTAGGCAATAAAGGTTTTGCCTTTTCTCTTTATCAATTATTTTGTTAGGCATAATTACGTGGATTTACAATAGGGGAGTGTTAAACAAACATCCAGTAAAAGTAAAAACAAGTAAAGTAAAAAAATCCAGATAAAAATTAAAAAATTAAATATAGTAATCAGCAAAGAAAAAAGGAAAAAAAAAAAAGGTATTTGTTAGTGTAGTGCAATCAGTTAAAAATGGGATCAAGAACCAATCCAGTAAAAATGATCAGAGGGTTTAAAACATGAGCAGTTCTGCAGTCAGTTAAAATGGGACCAAGAACCAACCCAGTAAAAGTGATCAGTGTTTACAACATTAGCAGTGCTACAGGAGATGAGGATTTCCCTTCCCAGGGCACACGCGCGGGGCAGCCGCCGGTTAAGGAGGCACCGTTGGGAAGCAGAGGAAGAGATCACTACCAGGTGATGCCCATGGAGGTACCCCAGGAGCAGCTGTTACAGCAGGAGTTAGCAGGGAATTCCCAAGGGAATTCCCACCCTGGGAGCTGTGGGATCACCCTGAGCTTACAGCACTGGCGAGCTGGCTCGTGCTCAGCACGTGGTTCATGAGCAGCGACTCCTTCATGTCCGTCACGGGCTTGTGCAGCTTCTTCAGGTCTGCCTTGTACTTCACCTGCAGGGAATAAGGGTCAATCCATCAGGAGAGGGCCCTGCTGGTCCAGCCTGGCCCGGGGGAGGTTCCAACCACACAAAGGAGGGATTTGGGAAAGCAGGATGGGGTCTCCTCCCAGGAAAAGCCAAGACGAACGTACCTCGCTGGCCATGTTGTGGGCATCCTTCAGGGTCTTGTAGATTTTGGCCTCCTTCAAATCATATTTGGGCTTTTTACCCAGCTCTTTGGCAAAGTTCTCCTTGTATTTCACCTAAACAGAGAACAACCAGGTGTCACAGCTGCTCACTCTGCAGAGGGGCCCTGTTTCAGTGGGGCTGGCTGGCAGAAGAAGGAAAGCGCGGGAACTTGAAGGTGTTCACTGGAAAAAGGATTACTTCAAAAATGATCTGAGATGGAAAGAAAATCTACATCTATCTGATATTCACAAGGTACCAGTTGCAAGTTTTCATCCAGTGCAGATGTCACACCTCCTCATTGTAAAAATAAAAGAGTCAAGAGAATTGTGGTGCCAAAATTCTGACCTTTGGAGGTGAAGAGTTTTTCACTTGATGGGAACAGTCCATTGAGTAAAGATGTTTCACAAAGACAAACAGAGACAGGTATAATAAAAGTAAAATACAAGAAAATTATATATTATATAACATTAATATATAATATATAAAATATAATAATGTAAGAGTATACGGAAGAGTGTTAAGAAGAAATTTTTATAAACTTCTTGGAGAAATAAGAGCTTTAAAAACCTCAAGACTTTAGAGCACTGAAGATGTCAATACATTAAATACTTTTCTACCTATTGTTATGCACACAGAGTGCTCTGTCTGGATTAAAAGAAGACATTAATCACAAACAGAGCAGTGACACAATTAATTACTAACGATAAATAATTAATTAGATTCTACAAGAATTTTAGTAACACTTCCAAACCACATCAGCTTCAGCCAAGTCAAACATAGCACTGTGAGCCATCAGAATCCAGCAGATCCAGCTTGGAGGCACAGGAATATTGACAGGAATGAGAGTTTTTTTAAACCCAAAAGGAGAGTTGCTGGGAGATCAATGCAAAATCAAAAGCAAGCAAGCCAGACAGACAAAATCCAACTAAAAAACACAACTGGACACACAAAGTGGACAGATGCTTTACTAAGTTTATGAGAAGAGACATCCAAGAGAAAAAACAACTGCTAAAGATGATGCCAACCATTCTTTGCTCACTCACTGCCCCTCCAGCAGCTCACTTTCCCTCAGAACCAAAACTATCTCAGCAAAGAATGTTTGAAAGACCAAGAGTGGAAAAAGAATGGAAAACCAGGATCTCATCACTGAAGTGGAACAAATAGAACTTCTTTTTCTTGTAGATCAGTTTAGAATGGTTGGTTCTCCTGAGGAGATCCTTGGTTTTCCTGCAGACATCGTGGTGGACATTCCAACATCCAAACATGGCAGCAGACACAGCCAGACATGGAAAAAACAAAATCCCTTTTTTTTTTTCATTTGGAAATACATGTGTAAAACTGAAATGGCACAGACCTGTCTGCTGCCACTCCCAAATGGACAATCCAGGCTCTGGTTTTCTGTTTTCCAAAGGTTTTGATATGGGAAGAAGTCTAAGAAACAATGAGCTCTCACACCAGTATGGGCTTCACTTCTCAGTGAGACTGATTCAGTCAGAGCCTGCTCTTCCATTAGGAAATTCCAGCCAATAAAACAGTTTCATTAAAGTTTAAATGAAGTTTTAATAGAAGTTTGAAGAGTTAAAATGAAGTTCTGGTGACTGTTCACTGAAAATTACCAGCACCATTGTTCAGGTTGGTCATACATATATATCTACACATGTATTTCCCTGTGGTTTGTTGGTTTTTTTTTTTTTTTTTCATTTTTACATCTTAACAGCTCAGATTTTAGATTTTTGGGTGAAAAAGGTGAGTTTTGACATTATGTGAGTGCACTTAAACCTTCCATAAACAACCTGGAAGCTCCAAAACCATTACGAAGGGCAGAATGACATGTAAAGCTTCACAGGGTGCTGCAGAATTGCAAGATAATTATGCCAGCAAGAGACAAATGCACAACAATGGCATGAAATGGCAGTTAATTAAATTCTCTTACATGACTACTTAGCATATTTGCTTTCTTAAAGGTTCTCATCCAGGGAGTGTCATAGGAAGCAGCTCCGTGGCCTCTCATGTGTTGTTTGAGATATTCTGCCTACAACCAGCAGCAAGAAAGCAAAGTCAGAAAGGCAAAAATCCAGAATTCAAACACAAAGAGGTGAGAAAGACCCAAGAGGGACTGAGGTCCTGGCACAAGATTCTTTTAAAGATACAAAGAAAAAAGAAAGTGGCTGAAAGAAACCAAGTGTCCATTCAAAGGATGGAAAATAAGAGTTGGGTGAAGGCTGGTTCTGGTAAAGCCAATACCCAAAGAGCTAAAAAAGAACAGGGCAAACACTTCAGCTTCAGCATTTATGTCACAGCATTATCCTAGGAAGGTTTTATATCTCCATTAATGACAGTAGAAAAGTTTAATAAAGAAATACTTTGTATTGGTATTTAATTTTTACTTCCCCGCATTCCCTTTCTTTCCCTTTTCCCTTAATTTGGAAATAATTTCAATTGCAATCATGACATCACTCTGTAAATTAATTTTTCATCTCATTTCTCTCACTGCTTTGAGTTTCACCAAGGTTTGATTTTGCCCTTACCTGGCTGGTCAGTTTGGACACCTCCTTGGCCAGCTCAATGTCTGGACGTCCCAGCATGGTCACACCCACACCTGCTGCTCCACGCTTCTTGTATTCAATCTAACCAAAGAAATAAATCCTTTAGGAGTCAGGAAACCCTCTTTTAATTAATCTACTGGATTTTGTAATTAAATTAAGGCTAAAGGATTATACAGAAAGCTTAAAACCACTCACATTGCTGATTAACTTGGCAGCCTGAGTTGCTTTCTTAATATCTGGTCGATCTGCTATAGGTGTGTAGTGGAGTTTGGATTTGGCATCTTTCTTGTATTCAATCTAATCCACGGAAGAAGACAGAGGAAAGAAAATTAATGAGAAAATTAAATGTATTCATTGTGAATACACCAATTAAGGATACAGCAACGTTGCTGAGAAAGCTCATGGGTTTGTTTTGGGAAACAATTCACAAGGCATGGATCTGGAAATCTGGTTTTGCAAGTTGTCTGCAAGTGAAGAAATAAATATGTGCCTGAAGGGTTGGAAAAAAATTATAAGATATGATTTACACCAGACTACTTGAAATCCTATAATGGGATTTAAATACAAATCCCTTCTTTCAGTGCAATTTTATATTTGTAAATATTTGTATATTTATCTTTCAAAATTACACCTGAACATGGAGGCTGGGAGGAGATTCAGAAATCCATAAATTTGGGTTTTTTCAGATGAATTTGCTACATGACCTACTAAATTAATGGAAAAAGAGGCAAACTTACTGTGCTCTGGTTTTTAGCAACTTCCATGGCATGTTTCACCTCAGGAGGCTCCAGCATGACAGAATAATTGGATTTGCCTTTCTCCTTCACAAACTTCTTCTTGTAGTTGGTCTGTCAAGAACAACAAGGGCCACGTGTGAGTTTTTAATGTCACACAGAGGGAAATGCTACAGAAACTTTGGAAAAAAGCTCCCTGAAACTTCTGTAGGTGGATAAAGAGGAATCACCTCATTCCCAAAATGTGCTGGCTGCAGCTTTTGGAGCTGGGATTAGAAAAGCTCAGCTTTGGAGATGCTGAGCTGAGTCTGAACTCACCTCGCTGACGTTCTTGGTCACCTCCTTGACGTGGACAGTGTCCCTGGTCTCGGGCAGGGTGGTGAAGGAGCCATGGGGCAGCTGCTTCTTGCTCTGCTCTTTGTACTTGTTCTGCCAGCACAGGGGAAAGCCAGGTCAAACCCAGCAGCTCCAGAATGGAATTCAATCCAGTTAAATGAAGAAGTAAATGAATGTTTTACCTCAGACACCAAAGAGCTGACGTTCTTAGCCAGCAGGATCTGAGGCGTGTCCGGAACAACGTGGTACGTCCCACGGGCTTTGTTGTGCTTCTCTTTGTATTTGATCTAGCAGGAAGGAAAGATATCAACTTAAATAATGTGCTTTTTGTCTTCTGGCAGAATAAAAAGCAATTGGTACAGTCATGTTTGCTTGTTAGTGCAAAATTTTGCAGAAAATCACATATTTTGACATCTTACAACCTAATCAATACATTCCTATGGCTCTCACTTGGATTTTTTTTAATATACTGAATACTAACATACTGTTAGTAATTATTAAAGATATTTTGTGTTATTATTAAAGGCATTTTGTGCTATTTTCTCCAGACACTTCAATTTAAATACCAGGAATGCAGAGATGGGTATAAGGTCTAGGGGTGTTCAGGCAATGTTGACTTTGAATACTAATTTAATCCATGAAGAATGGCTTTTACGAGACCAAATTTATTCAGTCAATTTGTTAATTAAATAAACCAAATAATGAAATGAGACTGAGAACAACTGTCCAAAGCTTCACTGCTAATCCAATCATATTTGCAACAGAACAGTTTAGTAGTGAGTAAAGTGGTAGTAGAGAACTTGGAGAGGAAAGGTGAATTCAGCCCTTACATCACTGGCCAGGATGGCATTGTTGAGGGCCAACACTGTGTTTTTATCATCTGTGACAGAGAGTTTGCACCCCTTGAGGAACTCCCGGTCCAGTTTGTATTCGTACTGCAGGAAGGAAAAAGAAAAGATTAAGTAAGAGAGTCTCTGATCTTCTCCAATTAAAAAATATTCTGAATAGGAGAGGTGGGGAAATGGAATATTCAGTGTATTCTGATTTGCTTACATCACTCTGCTGCAGAGAGGACTTGGCTGCTTGGACAAAGTCAGGCCTGTCAGCAATCAGGTGCCAGTGGGCTTTGGCTGCTTCGTATTTCTTCTTGTAATCCAGCTGTGTCCAGGGAAAAAGCAAACAGGGAGAGTTCATGAGAGTTCATGGGAAACTGGGGACTATGCACACAACATACAGAGGCCAGTTCTCTTTTGGCCTGTGAGAAGAGGTAGGAAAATGTATCTACACCAGATTAGGGCTTTTCTCTGGGTCAGGCACAGCCCAGCCACTGCAGGTTTTCCACTGCTGGGTGGAGAAAGGGATATGAAGGTGGAGAAAGGGATAAGGACTGAAATGATGTCCTGACTTTGGAGAAGAGGAAAGCTTTGAGATCCTTCCTACTGAAATGGGTGTTGGGCACCAATAACAGACAACACAGGAAAGTTTTCCATGGGGCTTTGCTTTGTGTCCAAGAGCATCATCCCATGGAATTCCTGGGACAGTTGTGTCTCTGCCAGGAAGACAGGGGAGAGCTGGAAGAATGGGATGTGTGACATACAAGAACCTCAAGGACAACTCACCAGAGTGAGCACTTCAGTATGAAATAAATTAAAACACATTTTCTTCCAGCAGTGTAAGGATTAGAAGCGATGCCCAAAAAATTCGGTGGAATTCAATTTCTTGTGGAATAATTTCTTGTGGAAATAATTCCTTGTGACTTTCACTGCCAGTTCCCACCACCTTCCAGAATAAAATTAAACCATGAACAGGACAGAACTCACGTTGCTGTTCAGTTTGTAGGCGTGCCTGGGAGTTTTGATGTGAACTGAATCTGCCACGACGTTGCAGCGAGATTTGCTCCTCTCATACATTTCTTTGTATTTCAGCTGAAGAAAGACAAAGATGTAAAAAATGTGTGCAAAGATCAGATCAGCATCAACAAGAAAAGCATCCAAATATGAAAAACTTAATTAAAATTGCTCCTGTCTGGATAAAATCTTAATAGGAGAAAATGACTGGAGGTGGCACTCAGTGCTCTGGGCTGGTGATGAGGGGGAAGTTGGGCACAGCTTTAACTTGATGGTCTTGAAGGCTTTTCCAACATAAATAATTCTGGGATTCTATGAAAAATAAATTCCGTTGATACAACTTGATATCAAGCACCTGCCTGAAGGAGGGTTTTCTCCAGCAGCACTTCTCTTTATAGAGAAAATGAGGCAGTTTTAACTCACCATGAGGCACAGACTAAGATGAAACAAAATCTATTTATGACCAGTAATTCTGAATAGTTCTAGATTTTTGCAGCCAAAAGAAATCTTTTGAAGAAACTTATTTACTGATAGTTACAATAATTGAAAACTCTTTCAGAAAATCTCAGCACTCAGTTTGGAGCTTAAAATATGTCCTTCAATTCACATCTCAGTCTCTCAATGATCCACTTTAGTATCTGGATAAAAATTATTATTTTTTCTCCTGGATATACTAATTATGTAGAAATCCATGGAGCATCTGGATGAGATTTAGGCTACTTATTCTGACAGTACTACACTGAATTTCAGAAGTTTCATATCCTCATTTATGGATACCTAAGGAACAATGAAACAAAGGACAGAGAGAAAGGTAGGAGAAGGAATTAGGAGTAGGAGTTCTAAATTCTGTATTATTCCTTCCTCCTTTCTATCTCTTTCTTACTTTTCTATTACCCTGGAATCAAAACATATTTATTTTAGATCAGACCATTTACCTTATGGATATTTTATTATTCTATCCATTCCTTCCTCCTTTCTCTACCTTTCTTACTTTTCTATTGCCCTAGAATCAAAACATATTTATTTTAGATCAGACCATTTACCTTATGGATATTCACAGTATCCATATAAGAAATTAATAAACACAGCAATACATGAAATATTTTATTCGAGCCTCAAAAAAAAAAAAAAAAAAGCCACTAGAGGAAGAAAAACCAGAAAAAGAAACCTCTCCAAATTAATGATTTAGAGACCACTTCCAGCTCATGGCTTTTATTTCTAGTGAGGGGTGGTTTGTCCCATCATAAAAATGTTCATGTTCTAGGAGCTCCAAAAGAAAATTCTACGTAAGACCTCCTGAAAAACTGGGTTTTGAAAGAGCACTGAATGCAGACAGAGTTTTACAGGCCAATATGGTCTAAGAAGGTGATGATTTCCACTGACAGCGTTACACAGGAGTGACAAACATTGGCTACCAAGCTAAAAAGTGAATTTTGGGTGGTTTTGATGCCACAGAGGATTCACTCACGTCACTGATCCTGTCCTTGACCTTGCGCACGTGCAGCAGCATCGGCGTGTCCTGGATGGTGGTGTAGCCCTTGGGCTTGGCTTTGTTGTACTCCAGCTTGTAAATAATCTGAAGGGACAAATTGGGGCTTGGGTTATTTCTTGGAATCCTTGGTGTCAGCTGGGAATTCCCTGGGGGTGATTGTCCCATCCCAAAGGATCCACACTTACGTCACTGATCTGCTTGTTGACCTTCGTGGTCCGTAAATACTCTGGAGTGTCCAGAACCGTGGTGTATTTGTCTTTCTTCTTCTCATAGTCCTTCTTGTACTGAATCTGGAGATGCAGAAAGGCTCTAAGTTAGCCACACAGAGCAGGGCAAAACCTCTCCCAGAGGTGGGATTATATCCATGGGCAAAATTGCAAAACCCTCCCACAAAGGCAAAGAAAGCAGAACATGCACCATGAGCTGAACTGCAAACCCCTTCCTGGCCCAGGAGGCTGCCTGTTTGATTGTCTGATTCATTTTATGGTTATTTCAAGCTAAAATCCCCAGGACTGAGCTAGAAAAAAATCAATCCTTGCAGACCAGATGCTTTAAAATTTCATAAAGGAAAATATGTAATTTTAAAATATTCATATCGGTTGAAATTTGGACTTGGTGATCTTGGAGGTAATTTCCAACCTTAATGATTCTGTGACCAGAGTGAAGAGAAATATAAATCATCTCACACAGCAGGAGATAAAAACATTACCAAATATATCCCAATGCCAGGATATTTTCAAGGCTTTGGCAGTAGGATTTGTGCCTTGGTAATGATTTTCTTAAGGATCAGCTTGCCCTGCTCAGGTTTCTAAACCTTTTCTCACAGAGTTCACCAAGTGAGAACAGGTTCACCAAGGATGGAAATTCATTGTAGGCAGCCTCAAGGCAGCTGGAAAAGGTTAGAATACATTTTTAAAAAAAGAATTTTCATGCTCTACCCTTTATCAGAAAATAAACCCATGCATTTGAAATGGAACTGCGACAGACAAAATATGAAAAATGATAAACAAATAATCAATGATAACACGGAGTGAACTCGGGGAACATGCAGGTCAGACACTTGTCTTTTAAATTCAAACATACTCAAAGTTACCTGCAAGGAGTTTGTAGTGAAAGAATATAAATCCACATTAAAATGGAACACAAATGTCTGAAAGACCTTCAGTAATTTATTACTGAAGAATGTCACTATTGGCACAGTGTAATAACAAATTACAATTCCCTCTGACAGAATTGTTTTCCACTGCTGCATTTCCAGTCTATCATTTATATTCCAATTCATGATCAGGAATGATTTTTCCTCTGCAAAGGGTGAGCTGATTGCCAGCAGCTGTGATTTCAGAGCAAAAATAACTGTTCTGTGTCTAACACCATTCTGGGCACAGCAGGAGATAAATGTTGGAATCTCCCTGGCAAATCCATCATGTGCTTCCTGAATTAAGGAACTGGGGTTATCAAAGGTGTCCAGGCCAAGAAATGGTGTCAGAATAAGAACTGGGTTAGGGAAATACCAGGAAGAGCTAACATCCAATATCTGAAATGTACAGAAATTTGCTTTTTTTTAATAGAAATACGTGAAATACATACCAATTGTTTATAATGAAGGAGAAAGTGGGGACAAGCTCAGCCTGAGCTGAGCCACGTCCAAGTGACAGCAAATATTGTTTCAGATATTCTGTTTTATTTTACCACAGCCAGCATGAAGCAGATGGAGGAAGCTTTGGGGTCTGGAGTCCATGGAAATAGAGGGAGCAGTAAATTTGCCAAGTCCAAGCAGCTACAGTGGCATCTAAGGTGTCCTAGAGCAGCAGCTCTGCAGATTACCTGGCTCCACAGGTATGTGTTGTAGAGTGCTGTCAGCATATCTGGCCTCAGAATTTCATTGCATCCGTGCTGCAGGAGCATCTTGGCAAAGGATTTATAGCTTTTCTGTCCATGCAAATGGCAACCAAGGACAAGAGAGACTCATGAACAACATGAACAACGACACAGCTCTAGATCCCAGGCACTTGGAGAGTGGAGAGATTTAGGCAAGGTGCTGTATGTATTCAGCCACATGTGCATACAATTCACATCTGGATAATTAACACTGCCAGGGGTAAATATGAACAAGTTTTCCTGCTCTCACTTTAAGGAAGTTATGAATTTTTTGGGGGAGATGAAAGTAAATTAGAGATTAAGCCCTGTTGCTTTATCTAGAAATGAGTAAGAAGATGTGAAAAGAGAGGTAATAAAACAATAAATGCTTGAATCTGCATTTTTAAGACCTCTCCAGTGGCTTCAGAAGATCCCTGATGTCCATTGATGCACAATAATGGAAGTACATACAGGACAGATGGACAGAGCAGCTCACACAAAAAGTGGCTCCTTTTTGGGTGGCAGGATGGAGATTGAGTGAAGAGTGAAGAAACATGACAAAAGCCACAGGGCTGTGACACTGCTGGGAGTGAGGGTGGCACACAGAGCTGCTCCAGTGCCCCCACAGTACCTGACTGCTCAGGGTGCTGCCCCACTTGGCCAGCAGGTTCCTGGGATCATCCACAATAACGCTGTACCTATCTTTGAGCTTCTCATAGGCTGCTTTATATAATTTCTGCTCAGAATAGCACATACAGTGTAACAAGAGAGGGTTAAGATACAGAGAGATCACTGGTGTAATCTCTTTACAGGCTGGGGTTGAAGGTCATGTTCAAAAGAGAAAAATACATTAAAATAATATAAAAAAACACCAAAAAACAATGAACAAATAAACTTTTTTTTTAAAAAACCAAAAGCCTCAAAACAACAACAAAAAACCCAAACAAAAAACCACAAAAATCCAAACAAACGAAAAACCAAATAAAAAAAGGAAAACAAAAATCAAACAAAAAAACCCACCAAAAACCCTCATAAAAATCCAAAACCAAAAATGCCCCAAAAATAAACAAACAAAAAAATCAACAAAAACCTCCAACAAACAAAAAAAACCCAAACAAAAAACTGAAACAAAAAAAAGAGCCCAAAAACCAAACCAAAACAAAAAAACCAAACTAAAAAAAAAAAAAAAAAAAGAAGAGGGAGAATATTTCCAAATGCTAATTGCATTTCTACATTGCCTCTGGGAGGCCTACAGGTTAAGGATGTCTCTATTCCACCCCATCAATTAGGAAATTTATGACTGATTTTCTCCATGAAAAGTAACTGCAGAAGCAACTCTGTGTTGTAGATTCCTGAGCTGAGTCCAAAGAGAACAATGAGATGTTATTAAAAAAAATCATTTATATAACAGAAGATATTTAGGCAAGCATTGCAATATATGGAGCTCCCATTGGTAAAATTTCACCTGTTTATGTTTCTGATATTAATTTTTTCCTTATTTGCCCTATGAACAGTACGAATAGCAAGACTGAACAATCTTCATAAAAATTCTGGTATTTGCTTTTCTTACCTAGAACAGGTAATGCAATAATCAACTTACTGACAGATAATGGTATGACACAATGGCTGGTGAAAAAGAATGAGATTTTAAGATATAAACCTAAATATCTGCTTCTTTGCTGAAAAGTATCAGATTTTGATGGGCTGTTCCAACTCTAAGCTGATGGGAATCAACCTGAACATGGTGTTTTCCATGGAATTTGTCCAGGGGTGTAGAGCACTAATCCTGCAAACTCCAGGAGAAATTTGAATTTTAAACCCAGGGGTGTTCATTAATTATTAGGTTGTGTCAATTGTTTCTCTAGCACTACTGGAGGAAAATAAGAAAAAGTTGAGTGGTAGAGTTGAAAAATTCCAGGCAGAATCACTGAAATGAAACGAGCTGTGGAAATTTCATCCATAACTCTGTCTTCCTAACACCAATAAAAACTTTATCAATGTTTTAGGAAAGCAATTGGAATTCTGCCCAGACCTTTTTGAGATGGAAACCAGCACTCAGGGTTACTGTACCAGCAGCATTATTTAAGTCAGCAAAGGAAAAGTTCCTTTGCCTCTTTGCTGAAAAATTAATGAACAGGGGTGGGGATTTCACTTTCTAGGCTCTGCAAACCTGTTCTCTCCTAACACCCAGAAAAACAACAACCTTGTCTTTCATGACTTTAGTCTGATCTTAAAGCACCTTTAAGCCTGATTTTAAGGAAGGACAACCTTCAACTCTGTATTTACCCACAGACCAGCTCCTTAAGGCTGAGCCTACAGAAATCTTTACTTACCATATCCACCAGCTGAGTTGCATATTTAAAATGTTCATTGCTTGGAGAGTCAGCCACGTACTTGAACTTGGACTTGGTCTTCTCAAAATTCTCCTTGTACTTACACTGCAGCCAAAGAAAAGCAAACACACCAAACCCAGCCCACGTTAGCCCAAAGAAGAGTAAGGCAACAAAAACTTGATTTTAGAGAGAACTTGTGGCAAAAAAAAAAAAAGGTGAAATTATTGCATTTGTGTTAACTTGTATTAACTTTTAATTTTAAATTGTATTAACTTTTCTACCAGCAACAAGTAGTTGTAAATGGACAGCAAATGTCCAAAAACACTCAGCAACAATTCAGAGTGTGTCACTCACCCCACTGTAGAGCACTTTATTCTTCTCTGCCAGGACAAAACTTGGAGTATCCCACACATAGCAGCCAGTGCCTTTGAGCCATTCCAGGTCTTCCTTGTATTTAACCTTTAGAAAAGAAGTAAAAGGACTCAGTTTTAAGCAGATAATCAGTGCTGAAATGAACCTCAGCACAGGGTGTTGCAAAGAGAGTTACATCCATTATTAAATAAATTAGTTTCTCCTATTTTTGTGATGGACTCAGTTTATTCACATACATAATCTGTCATTAGCTGTCACAGTTCCTGTGTGAATTAAAAATAAGCTACAGGTAAGGGGTTACTGTGTATGTACAGAAATGTACAATTATAGGTTGTTACAGGGCTAAACAAATCTAAGCAAATACAAATGAAATTAATTAAAACTGTCTGCTAATTTGACAAGGGGCTGTGCTGCAGTTTTAGCCATCAGATTCTGTCAGTTCCCAGGGAAAATTGTTAATCACTGAAAAACTTCAGCTGCTTTCCCTTTGTTGAGAAAGAAGGTGTGGGCTCATTCTGGAGACCACTTTGAACTCTCACTCTGGGCCATGCAGGAGTTGCTGGGACTCACATCACTGATGGCATCCGTGACCAGGCGGTGGTGGAAGTGCTCAGGTCGGTCTGGGATGGATCTCCAGATTCCCAGCTGGCTCATGTAATTCTCCTTATACTTCACCTGCAGAGAAAATAGAAGAATTAAGTAAAACAATCGAAGAGAACACTCCAGACAACACAAAAGATTCATTTCCCCCCCACCCTGAAACAGCAGAACTAAAAGAGTGGAAACGAGATTAACTTGTAACACCAAAGCAATCAATATTCCAGAGAAAGAAAGAAATCAACACTGATAATGCTGAGTTTTTCCTAATTATTTGACATATTGAAATGGAACAAAAGGCTAAGTGGCCTGTTTTAGGTTATTGAGTGTCAAACAGTAATTAGGAATGAAGGTGTACATACACTGCTGATGTCATCAGTGACCTTCCTGTGGTAGACAATGTCCAGAGCATCCTTCACGGTGTGGTATTTGCCCTTGGTGTTCTCAAAGGTTTCTTTGTAGCGCAGCTGGGAAGGAAAAAAAAACACAAAAGAAGGGATTAAGGTGCCAGGAACTGTTTCAGTTACATTCCTGACTTCTCAGGAATGATACCCAGGGATATGCTGCTGTCTGACATCCCAACGTAAGAGGAATTTTAGGAGGCTGCAATTGCCTACAATCAACTGCAATTTCATTGAGACTTGTGGTGAAAATTACAGGGAATTTCACCCAATTCACTTCCAGACTGAGGAACACACATGCCTGCATCACAGGAGTGCTCTCTAGAATAGCACAGGTGCCACTTCTGGCATAAAAATCTTCCCTGCCCTCCTCTAGAAGAAAGCAGGAAGATCATCCCAGACTTTCTCAGAGGAGAAGTGCCCATGTGCAGAAGAGCTGGAATGCTCCTTGGCAGTATATAAAAATCACTCTTGGAGCAGTAAGACTAAATAAACCCTACAAAAAAGCACCAGCCCTACACACATCCTTTCACATCCTGCTGGTTCTGAAATCTATGGAAAAGCTCTCACAAATGAGCATTTTTTAATTGCCTTAAATCACAAATAACCATTCCACGCTTGAAAAAATCAATTTCATCTCAACAACCTCCTGTGCAGCAGCTCAGGTAATTTTTCTCTCTAATCTACTTCTGAATTTAAAAAATGAACACATTCCCTGTGACAGGACAGTTTACTTCTAACAAAAAACTGAGATGAAAAAGCTGATAAAAGTTATTTTATCCTAGCTCCAGCATCAATCACTTCACTCCAGCCTGTTCTATTTGGAGACTTGATTAAGCAAATTATTTTAAATCTGTTTTTACTTTGCTGTACAGCCACTCTTCAGTGCAATGAGAAATGAAAATAAATTTTAAAAATTGGAAGAGAAAAAAAGGCACTGCAGAAGAATCCAATTAAAACTTAATAATGTTCCTAATTTCAAATGGAAATGGACATGTAAATAAGGGGACTTCCTTGGTGTGGGACACTGAGATATTCTGTGCTTTGCATGTTTCTTCCCCACTGACTTTTGCTGTTCTTTTCATGGAGAGTGCAAGGAAAAGCAGCAGGGGTTGTTCCTGGAGTACTCACATCACTGGCATTCAGGTAGGCTCTCTTGGCTCTGATCAGCACTGGGGTGTCAGGGACAGGGGTGTATTTGTCCTTCATCTTCTCATACTGGGTTTTGTACTTTTTCTAAGAGAGACAGCAAGAGGGAAGAGTCATCATTGCAATTTTAGAAGCATTTGCCAACCTGCATAAAAAGCTCGTCTTACAAAATCCTAAAACGTGTTTTCAGAATGTTTCATTTCACCAGAACTTACAAAGAAAATGTGGAACTTAAGCACAAGAGAGCAAAAAAATAAATGAAGGCTAAACAGATTTGAGCGTTGAAATTACCACTAAAATTAGAAATAAAACTTCTGAAAAGTTCAGCAGAGTGGCAGCAAATTAGAAAACAAGTTTTTACCTCACTGATCATGTCCTTGACATTCCTGGCATGTGCAAAGGCTGGAGTCTGACCATCAGCATGATGGTGAGGCCTCTCCTTCGTGGCAAGCTCCACGTACAAGTACTGCAGCAGGAAAAAAATAATAAAAAAAACCCACACTTCAACAAAATTCCACCTTATGTCTCTGAAAAACAGTTGTAAATTCACAATATAAACACAACCACCAATTTCTAGGAATTCTACATTGCTTTGAAAAGGCCTGGAAAGCTTTTGCTGTACTTTAACAATATGTTAAGAAGGATGCCCTGATTGATTTTCGTATCAGCACAATTTTTTCACCTGGCTCTGTATTTTTTGTCCTGTCTTGGCTCTTATGAAGTCAGGTGTATCAAGGATGGAAGTGTATTTTGTCTTCAGCTCATTGCCTGCAGCTCTGTAAACCAGCTGGAAAAAGACAGGTCCAGGAATTATTTCTTCTGCTATTGTTCAGAAGCTGCACAGTCACAGCTTTGCAATTATAACATCTCATCCATTCCAGTAAAAAAACACAGGGAGGGGTTAATTACAGTTACAAAATTGTGCAGAAATAACAGAATTTACCTCACTCAGATGGGTTTTTAGTTCCTGCACTGCTCTGTATCCAGGAGTATCCAACACCACCTGGACTTTAGGCCACATTTTCTTGGCAGTACTTGTATAGATATAATTAGACTGGAAAGGAAAAGCAGTATTAATAAAGGAAATTTTACAGTGCAACCCAACAGTGCTCTGAAACAGCAAACTGGCTGCACGGCACAAAATTCTCTCATTCCTTGCTCATTTTCATCTGTTTCACCTCCTGCGTGCACAGAAATAAATCCATTGTCGTCCTGCTCAATTCCCAGGGGAAAAGTCTTACCCAGAGCTTGCGGAGGTCACGGGCACGGACCATGTCAGGAGTGTCATAGAGGAAGCAGCCCAAGCCCTTCAGCCACCTCAGGTCCTCTTTGTATTTAATCTACGAGAGAAATTCAAATCAACGGCCGACCTTTGGGATAATTTCAACCTCCGGTCCTTAAACGCAGTGAGAAAGCATTTTTTTGTTACAGAGCAGAAAGGGAGTGAGGGAAAAAGCCAGCCCCACTCCCAGCAGAGAGGTTTGGAGCTCACTGCAGGCGCTGCTTACGTCACTGGTGATGTCCCCAACGTAGCGACAGTGCAGCACGTGAGGGGTGTAGGGCAGGGAGATCAGGTGGCCCTGCATCTTGAAGAAATCTGACTTGTAGATCAGCTGGAAAACAAGGAACAGAACAGCATTTCACCTGTTTGGTCAGGGGATAATCTCAGTTTCTTCAGTTGTTCTGCAAGGAAGGCACCTACATCGCTGACAGCCTCCTGGGTGGCTCTGACTTGGCGGATTTCGGGCGTGTCAGGGGTGGTGTGGATCTTGTCCTTGTTCTTGTGGTAGGTGGCCCTGTACAGCCTCTGTCACAAGAGACAACATTCTGCATTGGAACACAGCTCAAGACCTTGAAATGGCAAAGAAGTTCAGCGCAGTGTAAGCACTTCTTACACAAATTACTGTTTTCTATCCAGGCAAAGATTCCCCACTAATTGTTTTCAATAAATCTTGGAAATCTCAGACTGTAATCCTAAAAACCTGTAAATACATATACTTAATTTTCATGCTATTAAAGCCAGTGATTAAATAAGCAAGTAAATATATATAGCACTTAAAACTATTGCGACCCAATTTTATACAGACACAATAATTTCTATTCAGCTTTAATCACAGCTAATAAAATCAGGCTGCAGTTTTATATTATGGTAACAGTTTCAGCCTGGATCAATGTTCCCTCACTATTCTTGATGGACACTTCTCTAAATAATTAAAAAAGCCTCAAAGAAGAGAGATCCTACAACTCAGCAGTCACTATTCTCTCATTATGAATATTTTGGGCACTGCAAATACAACTGAAAGCAAATACATATATTTACTGTACCTCATTAATGACTTGATTGACTTTCCTCACATTTTCAAAGCCAACATCTTGAGGTCCCAGAGTGTAGCCCTTGGCTTTCATGTGTTCATAGGCTTCTTTATATTTCAGCTATAAGAAGTACAAAAACACACAGAAACTAAATTTGATCATGATTCTGGCTACACTGCAGCTCTGACAGCAATTTATGATGCATTAAGAGACAGATTTTTAGAGATAAACAAGTGAGATGTAGCTGTATCAGAGTTAAATACACCACACATCATAACTATTTTTCCCTTTATCCTACGGCCCAAAATTAATAATATAATACATTTTTCTTACATCTAATAAGGTATTTGCATAATGCTGAGAAAATTTCTATTTTGATAGCAAAGGCCCAAGCTGAGAGTCCCTTATCTGGGGCTGCTGATCATTGCCATGGTGTAGAAGGATGATTTGGAAGGATTTAGACCCTGACTTACATTACTGCCGATGCGCTGGGCGTGTTTGGCGTGCTGGAAGTTGGGAGTGTCCGTGGGAAGGCTGTAGCCAGTGGGCAGAGCATTCACACCAGCCCAGCGATACAAATTCTGCAAGAGCAGAGAGAAAGACCTTGTACAGCTGTCAGCAATACTTGAGGGGAAAATCCCTCCATCCCAGAAACCTCTCCATCACAACTGGCAAAAGATTTCCCCCATGCCTGGGGGAAAAAAGTATTAAAATGCATTTTTATAGCTTGAATGGAGATATTTTCCCACTCTCATTTCAGAGCAGTGACATGCAGCTTCACCTGAAAAGCTAAAAGCAGACAATTTGGTTTTTCAGTATCACAAACTCTGTGGAGCCTGAAGTTTTGTACTTACCTCACTCTGTATTTTGTTTGCATTGTACGCCCGCTCCAGATCCACTGTTTTATCAGTGGGGATCATCTTGCCTTGGACATTCTTCTTGTAATCACCCCTATAGACAGCCTGGGAAAGAGAAAAAGTCAAAATTGTCACATCTTCTCACAGTGTGTTTTGTTTGCATACAATGGGAATTGTTCCTTTAAAAAATGGATTAAAGTTTTTTGGCTTCAGGCAGTTAATGATTTTAGTGATTGTGTCTACAATGAGGGGTAGATAACCAACAATGATTAAAATTAAATTATTAAAAACATATTAAAAGTCCCATTTCTAAAGCTGCTGAGGTAACAGCATTTGGAATATTGGCTGGAAGGTGAGAGAAACACTTACTTCACTTAAATTCAAGGCACTGATCACATTCTGGACATAGACAGGAGTGTCTGTGACCACTGTGAAGTCCTTCTTCATTTTTTCTGCCTTAGATTTGTACTTAATCTGCAGAGAGAAAGCAAGAGTTCTAATTGTTAGGGCTAGTAATTGTTAATTTAATTTATTTATTATCATATTTACCATACTTACTATTCATTTCATCCCTGAGCTGTTTTATTAGTGAACCAGCATTGAAACAGAGAGTATATTGGAAACGTGGCTTGTTATTTAATGAATCCTTCAATCAAGAAGGAGAAATAACATTTATTCCACTTCACCTGGAGTGGAGTAAAGCCACAGTGGAGTGAAAGAGAAGACTAAGAAGCAAACCCAGGGTTATCCACTCACATCACTGCGAAGGTCATAGGCTTGCTTGGCATGGAGGATTTCAGGAGTGTCCCAGACAAAGCAGCCAATGCCTTTCAGCCAGTTCAGATCATCCTTGTAGATCACCTAAGGAAGCAGAGAAGGAACCTGTAAGAATTCCATCAGGACCTAATCCCTTATGTCTAAATCACTCCAAAACACAGGAAGGTTTCTACCACTTTGATTTGTTTGTTTGTTTGAGAAAATCAAAACAATTCTTTCTGGAATTTAAATAATTTTTGTTCTGTTTGCTTCAATTTGGGCAATAAATTTAAAATCCAATGATTTAAAAAAAAACAAAAAACAAACAAACTACCTCCACATCCTACTGGGCTCTGATTTACTGCCAGATCCTACTCCTGGGCTCACCTGCTCAAGGCAAGTGTGTAGAAGCTTTGCCCAACCAGGAATTTCTCAGACTTCCAAAGTTTCCACACCTCATGCAACCAAATAAAGGACAATTTACAGACAGGGTAGAACTGTAACGTTATGACTCAAATGCCTGCACTATTAACACTGAAATTATTGAAATTATTGAAATTATTGCAGAGAGGTTGTGGATTCCCCATCCCTGGAAGTGTCCAAGGCCAGGTTGGACAGGACTTGGAGCAACTTGGAACAGTGGAAGGTGTCCCATGGCAGGGAGTGGAACTGGATTTGCTTTAAGGTCCTTTCCAACCCAAACCATTCTGGGATTTTCTGATTCTGTTCAAACAAGCCCCATCTCAATGACCCATTTATTGCCAAGTGTCACAAAAATGAATTCAAGTGCCAACTTCAGAGTGCTCCGGCAACATTTTTGCTAAATCATTTCCTCCAACAGAGGGCAAATGAAGGAAAGGTCTCAAAAGTGAGCCAGGAATAAATGATTTGGGGACTTACATCACTGACTTGGTCGGTGACTCTTCTCACGTGGGTGTTGACCTGCAGGTCTGGCAGACACAGCCAGTCGTGGAGCCGCGTGCGGTAATCGACCTCGCTGATCTTCTTCTGGGCATCCTTGGCTGAGATGATGTCCACCATGTCCGGGACAATGTGCACCTTGGCTTTGGTCTTCTCATAGGCCTCTTTGTACAGACGCTGTGGAGTCAAAGCAGTGTTTAATAAAGCTGAAGAATAAACTGTAGATGAACTTGCAGGAAATCATTGCTATTTTCATGGGGTGGCAGTGGGAGAGAGATCACTTTGGCTCTGACTAAAATTTACATCTGGCCTGCTGTAGAAATAATTTTCAGAACGTCAGCAAGGGAGGTAAAATGTGATTTGTTCAATTTTCATTGTGCTGATGAGTTAAAAGAAGGCAGATGATGATTTTAACCATATTACACTAAAGGTTTGGCCATGCAGGCACTGCAGTAATTGAGTTAAAATTTTAATTTATGGTTGTATTCTAGAGTTTAGCAAATACTGCTCACCGCCAAGTGCACGTGGGAGTGGGATGTGTGGATCAAGGCAGGGGGATTCCTTGAGTGGCTGCTTCTGAGATGAGCATGGCTTTACCAGGAAAACACACATCCAGAACCAACACTTACATCAATGTTGAGCTTCCCAACTCTGAGGCACCTTTCCGTGTTGGGATCATCCTCAACACCTCTGGGGAGGGTGTACAGGGCTTTGAACTTGTCATATTCCTCACGGTATTTGACCTGAGCAGAAGTAAAGAAATGCAACCATTAACTGACTCCCATGAGTCACTTGTGGGCTTGGAACAAAATTCATCAGCATTAAGCAAAAAGTTGAGTCCAACAAGCAGAGAAAGGTTTTACAGCAGGATTTTAGTTTTCTGTTTTGTCTTAAATGGAGAAGAAAGCACATCATAACAATCACATTGCAAAACAACAGCTGAGTAGAGGATTAAAAAATAAATAGATGTAGAATAAGGCACTTATTTATTTTTCCAGCTGTTTCATTTAAAGAGATCTGTGGATCTCTTAATTCTAACTTCAATAAAGCTAGATGTTTCGATGTTTCCTATACTTTGTAAGCATCATTTAAAGTTTTTTGGGGCTTTTTCTGACCTGAATGGTCATGAAACTTAGACTAGAAAAACTCTAACGTTTTCAGTTTGGATTACTATAAAAACTGACTTTTTTTTCCATGACAAGAAGCCACAAAGGACTGTTACCCAAATGACTATCAGAGAAAAATCATTATCTACAGATACATATCATATCTCAAATAAAAAGGGAAGGAAAATAAAGTTTAAAAAATATTTATATCTATAGCAGATGCAAGGCATGAAGGATTTAACTGTTAGAATTTTTTAAATCACTGCAGTGATTTGAAAAAAATAATTTAATTCACTTACAATGCTTGCATTGTGCTTCAGTTCTTTGGCACGTGCCAAGGCCACAGTATCTGAGGGCAGTGCATAGCTGGTGGCCTTCACTTTATCCCAGGCCTTCTTGTAGAGATTCTGTGGGGAAATAGAAAGTTTGTGTGAGTGGAAAAATAGTTTTTGTAAATAATTACCAACAACAAATAGAAAGCAAAAGCCCTTCTGCATTTATTTAGACACCACCAATAGTAAAGTATTGTAAAGAAGACATCAAGTGGCACTTAATATCAAGTGCATGTAAAGGGTGACAAAAATCCTTTCTAACTAGTCATGTCTGTTGTCATACAAGGTTTTAATTTTGTTCAGGAAATCTATTTATTAATCCAGATGTTTTGCCAAGACTGGCATTACAATTGGAATGGCCCTTGCCTGAAATACAATATCTCCCCCAAGCTCAAGCAGTGCAGAGGGCCAGCACTGGCTTTGAGAAGCTCCTGGTTTGGATGTTTGTCTTCAAAGAGTGAACAAACAAAATAAAAAGATCCCACAATAAAGGTCCTTAAGAGAAAGAAAATTGTGTATAAACACTTACATCACTGTAGAGGTGTTTCAAACTCTGAACTCTTTCTGAATCCACTGTGTCAGTCACAGTTGTGTACTTGTCCTTAGTTTTGTGGAATTCCTCCTTGTATTTCACCTGGAGGATGAAAGCTGGGTTTAGTGAATTGTTTCAATGCTCAGCAGGACAACCCTGAGCAGGAAAGGTGGGGACTCACATCACTGGCATTGGCAGCACTTTGCAGAGCAGTCACATAGACAGGGGTGTCTGTAACCACGCTGAAGTTCTGGAAGTTCTCCTTCCCTGCAGAGGTGTATTTTATCTAAGGACACAAAACCAACAAAACACTCCTTAGTGCTGGAAATGACCTGGAAATCTCCTGCCAGCTTCCTTTAAAATCCCATCTGGACAGCTGAAATCACAGATTACAGCTCAGTTAAGATCAACTCTGAAAGTGACAGGTCATAAAATAGAAATACTTAATATACAGCCAGTATGGAGTAAGGAATAATGAAATTAAAAACCACAGCTGGCTTTACACTCTCCCAAGTTTTCTCCTCCTCCAATAACACAAGTGATGTCTATACAGAAGCAATTCCAAGACTGTATTTTCACATTTTAAACAAAATATTTCTGATGTTACAGGAATTACTTCTTTCAGCTCTGGACGAGGACATGTCAACTCCAGTGAATCACAAATGGAAGAAAAACCCACAAAAATATTTATTTATTTAAGGAAGACTTACCTGGCTCTGCAGGTCATAGGATTTCTTAGCCTGTAGGATTTGTGGAGTATCCCAGACATAACATCCAAGTCCCTTCAGCCAGTTTAAGTCATCTTTATACACAGACTGCATGGAAGTGAACAGAACATTAGGTTAGGTAGAAATTTGCCTTCCACCAATTGAACACAGGAATTCTGCATCCTACTAAGCCAGGCAATTCACACACCCTCAGATTTTATTGGGAAGGTTGGTTGGCCCAAGCTGGGACACCACCGACTGCAGAATATGATCACAATTCTCTCACCTTGGGGCTGCTAAAACCCCAACAAACAAGGGGAATTCTTTTGCAGACTTGGATCCAGAAGGATTGTGGATGCTGTCCTGGTCCCTGTGCTAATTCCAGCATTCCCAATTACAATAAATAAGGATCACTGCAGTGATTGGTACTAAGAGTCCAAGCCAGAGTTATTAATTTCATATTCAAATACTATGAAAGATACTTGGGGAAAATATGATGGGAAAGGCTGCTATAATGTCAGACAAATGGGGTCAGTAAGCTCATGTAAGTTTAAAAGGGTTTGGACAATGCCCTCAGGCTCCTGGTGGGATTTTTGGGGCGTGCTGGATGACTTTAATGGGTCCCTTCCAAGCCAGACTCATCTATGGCTCTGAATAAATGATAAACATACATCACTCAGGATCTCCTGGGCTTTCCTGGCGTGAATGACATCGTTCTCCTCAGGGGAGCAGCTCCACTGATGGAAGTAGGTGCGGTACTCCAGGTCACTGAGGATGTACTGGCACTTCTTGGCCAGGACGTGGTTCATCATGTCAGTTGGGATATGCACATTCTTCTTGGTGTCTTCATAGTTCTTTCTGTAGGCCAGCTGAAAAGCAAAGATTGGGGAAAAGGTGAGAGGAAGTCAGAGTGATTTTCTGTATAACTTTGGATTTTGGACTGAAAGGTGACAGCACAATCTGAGATGTGGTCTCTGGATTTAGTAGCTAAAATGCCATGGGATTCAACAGGAGAGAAATCTTAACTTGTATATTAATCACCTTTTATTTTGTCAAAGTTCTGCAAGGACAACAATTACCTTCACTTGCAGTTTTAACAGCTGATGAGAAAACTAGCAAGTCTTCAGGATTAAAAAACTCATGCTGCACAAATGGTTTTCATCTAATTAAAGATGTAATATTTGGGATTACACTGATTTTGTGCCCTGCATGACATGCTGTATGTGCAGTGCTGACAACAGCAACACATCAAATGTGCATTTACTTTTCCAGCTCTTAAATTCCTATTTCAACTCAACATCTACACTTTTATTTGTAAAGGAAATGAATCCCACATGGTATTTTTTACTGCTCAGACCCTTAGACTAAAAGGGAAAAAGGGGGTTTTTGCCTTACTGTAGTATTACAAATAGCTGAACAAACCCCTTCTCAATCTCCTAAGTAATTTTAAATTCAATTATTCAACCCACATATAAAATAAGCATTCAGGAAATATAAACCTGTTGAAATAATTTTTACTGATATTATTGTGGATTTATGTTAAGATTGGGCTTGATCTTGGAAGTCTTTTCCAACCTGAATGATCCTGTGATTCTACAGGTTGATTAAACTTTGCACTATTTATGTTTAAGCAATGAAATAGTGAATTTAATCAGTGAAATAAATGGTGAAACAAAGGAAATGGAAAATATTCCAGACTCGTTCATTGCTTACCGCACTCCTCATTTTCTGGAATTCCAGGGAGTGAATGACACTGGGGAAATCACTAATATCCTTCCCAGCCAGGTAATGGCCTTTCAGCTTCTCATATATTTCCTTATATTTACGCTGAAAAAATATTCATGTGGAAATTTTAATGTTCATTCTTGACAACATATTGGGGGGAAAAGGGAAAGAATGGGAAATCCCTCCTGACCTCACTGTTGATGTGGTTTGCATGTTTGGCTCCCACAAGTGGAACGTATTTCTCATCCAGAGAGTATCCAATGGGCTTGCTCAGCTCCCAAGCCTTCTTGTAATGTTTCTAGACAAGAAAAAGCATATACACATTTAATGGAAAAATCAGTTATATTTCCCATTTATACACGCATGGGATATAACATGGAATGCAGGATATTTTTACAGAGTGGTTCCCAATAAATTAAATGGACAATGTTCATTTTGAACAGTCATTCAGTAGAAGGCAAATAGGACAAGTGTTCACTTTAGGTAGCTACCTGAGCACAAATTTGAGCTGATTTCTGCTTTAGTTATTACATTTATACCAGAAGGGCAATAAAAATATCCAAAGTATAGATATGAGCTGTGGTATAAAAGTGCAGTATAGAATTGAGATTGATAATTTTATAGATTATCAAAATTGTGAAAAATCTTCAAGAACTATTGGTGCTTATTAAAGAAATATTAGTCTCAATGTCACTGTCCTAATACTTATTTTGTTAAATATTAAATATATTCACCTTCAGATTAAATTATGAAATGCCTACTCATATGAATGAGTAATTACTTATATTTTTAAAAAATTGAGGTTTCTCATTAAAATCAGTGAGACTACTCAAAAGTAACTGCTTGATTATGTAAATCATCTACAGTTTTCATTTCTTACACAAAAAGTAAATGTAAAATTTATCAGTAATCTCCAAAGATATTATTGGATGGAGTTATATTTGGTTTTGTCACACCATGACAAAACCACATGACTTCAAAGCACCACACAGCTGTCCTTTGAGATCACTTCAATAAGGAAAGAAATCATCCTGATTCCAGTGATCCAAACAGGAAAGATGAAGAAAAAAGTGTTTAAATAACTTCCCTAGTGCCACTACTGAGAGTAGAACAGTTCCTCAAGTCCACCCCACACACTTCAAAGGTTGATATTTATGGGATCTCACCTCACTGTGGAGCAAGGCCATGTCTTTGGCGTGGTGCAGAGCAGGAGTATCATCAGACCCAATGTATTGGCCTTTCTCCTGGTTAAATGTTTCTTTGTATTTTAGCTACAAAAAGAAATCAAACGCGGCGTTAATTCCACAGGAGAAATACATTATTCCCATTAGTCCATCTATTAGTAGTAGACATTAATTTTCTTGTGTCATAATGTAATAAGGTTGTGTAGGACATTCTACCCATTGTAATACACAGGCAAACGTTACTGTGTCACCTCAAAATACACAAGGTATTCTTGAAAAATTTAAGCTACTGCTCAGCAAATACAGTTTAGCAACACCAGGAACTCCATGAACTGCTCATCAAGAACAGGACTCAGTCTTCTGTGCCAGCTCTAAGTCAGGGACATGCCATATTCTTCTACACGAAAATGTTAAATTATTTGGACAGCAATATTGTGTTGTTCATTCATATCACTTCTTACTAAACTTTTTCACCCCAGGAAAGCCTGTTATTAATGAGGTGCACACAAAAATATATAAGGCTAAAACTAGCATAGTCAGCAAAAGCAATTAAATAATCTCCTAATCCTTCTATATGAAATTTATTTTAAAAAAAGGTACATACATCACTCTGATTGACAGAGTTCATCTTTGCCAAAGTGATCTCAGGAGTGTCAACCACACTGGTGTATTTGGAAAAGTTCTCCAGGGCTTCTTTTGTGTATGCTCTCTGCAAAGAGGTGAAATAATGTCACAAACACTGTGCAAGAGAAAGAAGTGCCAATTGTGGAACTGCTGAAATATTTTCTCTTACCTTGTTTATCAGTTCTTGTGCATTCTTAACCTTCTTATGCTCCACTGAATCGAGAGGGATCCAACCACAGCCACGGAGCCACTCCAAATCAGCTTTGTAGATGTTCTAAACCAGAAAGACAATGCAAAAGGACAGAAATTACTGAACTCAGGATGGATTATGTGCCATGGGCAATATCCTTAGGCCAAACATCATGTGGAAAGACCTCGCAGAGCTGCACCATCACTCACATCACTCTGCAGGTCGTAGGCCTGCCGAGCGTGGATCACATCGTTCTGGTCAGGGTGGCAGGTCCACTGGTGCAGGTACTGGCGATACTCAACATCACTGACCAAGTTCTGGCACTCCTTTGCTGCCACAACTGCCATGGCATCCGAAGGCATGTGGATTTTGGACTTGGTTTTGTTGTAGTCTGACTTGTAGAGCCTGTCGTTCTGGATCTCGCCCGCGTGCTCGTACCACACCAGCTTGGGGTCATCCCTCATCTTGGCAACTCCCACGTAGTGACCTCTCTGCTTGACATACTCAGCTTTGTATTTCAGCTGGTGGGAGAGGGCAGAAATACAGAGAAAATCAGCACTGGCTGTACCCACTCTGGTTTTAACCTGGGAACAGCTTCAGCTTTGTCAACACAAAGGGCAGATGAGACAGGGAGTTGTCAAATGCAGCTTTAGGTTTTCAGCACATGACGAGATAAAAATCTGGTCACAAACAATAATATTACTTTGTATAAGCCTTCCTGTTCAAAATACAGCATTTTCTGGTCTAATATACTCCCCATTTTCAGTAAAAGATTATTGTTAACATAAGAGGAAAGACTTGCTAGAAAACGTTTTTTAACAAGCACATTTAGTCTTATTTTGGAAACAAATTATGTGAGATTGTCTGAAGAGTGGATGCTTACTTATGGTATTTACATCACACTGTTTTGACAAAATGTATATTCCAAATAAGAGTCACCCAATAATTTCAAGACCCATTATGTAAATGTTAAGAATTAAAAGTGTGTACTGGCCTAGAGGTTTTGATATGCCAAAAAGTGAAATCAGAGCCATACATGTTATAATCATAGTATCACTCCAAATTTTACACTTTTTTTAAAATTTAACACTTATAAAGTATGGAAGTCCAGCTCAGATGATTTTGAAAGGACTGTTTCTGGAGAGAGGGAATGTGGAAGGAGTCTGACCTTCAGCACTAATATCTCCAAACCCCATAATCACAAAGATAATTGAATTATTTGGAGGACACAGTGGAATTCACAGGCCATGAAAAGTCTGGATGTTATCCCAGATGGAAAGCTTCTTAAGTCTGTTTGGGAATTTTCAAGGCCTTTAACATTTCAGGCTTCCAAGCACTCATCTTCCTAATGAGAAGAATCGTTACCTCACTTTGGACATCACTGGAGTGCTTGGCATGAATGATCTGCACTGTGTCAGGAGGCAGGAGGTAACCAGTGGCTTTTTCTTTCTCCCAGCTCTCCTTGTATAAATTCTGTGGGAAATAAAAGTGATGAGGAATTCAACACCACCACAGCGATAACGATTACCATATGTACGTAATTTATTTAGAAGTATAAGGATAACAAATCCTTCCTTCAGGTTGTTATCAATAAGGCAGGTTTTCTAAATACCTCAAAAATGTGAGTAGAAGCTGTCAAGGAGAGGCCACGCACCTGATTTAGAATTCTGGCTGCCTCTCGGGCCATGTCCAGCTGTGGTGTATCTGTGAGAGTATAATTTGTCTTGGCCTCATTCCATTCTTTGCGGTATTTAATCTAGGACACAGAAAGAAATTACTGCCTTGTAGCATCCCCATAGAACTGGGAAAACACCATAATTTACACATAAAATAACAAACCAACCCCTGAACTGGCAAGGCTCGTAGACAAAGCACATTGAATGCAGAAGCACAGAAGTCAAACGTAGCCCAGACAATGAGAGCAAACTTACATCATTGAGGATTTCAGTGCTATTCTTTGCTGTGACATAATCAACTCTGTCAGCCACGGGAGTGAACGGGAGAGTTTCAGCCTTTGTGCGGTACTTCCTCTGTACAAGAAAGAGAAGAACAGATTACCCTGGAATATCTGATGCCTATTACAGCAATTCTGAATAGATACACAAGACAAGGAAGTACTCATGGAGAAAAACCTCTCCATACACAATAAATGTTGTGAAAATACTGCAGCTGCATTTTTCATTTGAAAAAACCCCCCTCATTGTTTAAACTATTTAAAATATTTTGAGTGACAAATACCCCTGAAGAAAATTTTAGTATTGAAAACATTTGGTTACCTCACTCAGGAGATCTCCAGCATATTTGACATGCTTGACTCCCAGGGAATCATTTGGCAACCATCCAATTCCCCGCAGCCATTCCAAATCAGCTTTATAAACAGCCTGGGAAAACAAAAGAGGGTCCATACTCTTAGCTACACCTGTCCATGCTCTTAGCTACACTGCCCTGGACAATCCAGCAAGATTCATAAATAACAGAATATAATCCAGTGGTTAAAAAGGGGAGCAGTAATTCCAACATGAGCACTACATCTGAATTTATCATCTTTCAACCATTTATAAGTGGACTACACTTTGCAACTCTAACAAACAGCAAGGTGAGCTCCCTGAATTCAGGAACAGATTCCCACCCCTTAGAGCTGAAGCAGAATAAGAAGAGGCAATGCAGGACTAAGTTAAGGGGTGTTTCCAGGTGAACTTACATCGCTCTGGAGGTCGTAGGCTTGCCTGGCATGAATGACATCGTTCTGGTCGGGGAGGCAAATCCACTGGTGCAGGTAGTGCCGGTAGTCGGCGTCGCTCACCAGGGCCTGCCCGTGCTTGGCTGACACGATGGACATCATGTCCACTGGCAGGTGGCACTGGGTCTTCTGCTTGGCAAAGAACTTCTTGTACTCTCGTTCGCTCTGAACTTTGGCCACGTCCAGGGCAAACTGGATTTTGGAATCTCCCTTTGCGTTCGGCACTCCCACGTAGTGTCCTTTCTGCTTCTCGTGCTCCAGCTTGTATTTGTACTGGGGGAAGAGCAGAGGTCACCATCAGTAACAGCTAGAAAGAGCTCTTGGAGCATGGGATTTGCCTCTTTTGGCACTTACATCACTGGCAATCTCTCTAGAAGCCTTGGCTGTCTTGATTGGAATTGCATCTGCTCTCAAATCGTAGTTCATCTTCAACTCGTCCCAAGCTCCTTTATATTGTTTCTGAAGAGACAGATAAAACACCACACACATGCTGAATGCTCTGGCATTTGCCATTACAGAAACAGAGTTTCCAGCCATTTATTTCCTGAAATACCACGAAATTTTTTGAGCAGTACTCCTGCTCCTAACTATAAATGCAGCTGCCTCTGAAACATGTAACAGCAGTTGTGCAACCTATAAAGCACAAAAGTGTGTTTGTAAAAGTGTAGAAAATATTTACATGCCTTGGATTCTCATCCTTTTTAATAAAATACTCCCTCAGTGGGGCATGATATTAATATTTTTTAAATAGCTGAACACAAATATTTATTTTAAAATGGCCAAATACTTTAAGGATATTCAGTAGAGAGAAGGGAATGCCACAAGCCCTGTATGAGGATAGACTTCGATGAGATTCACAGAGATTCATCATCTTAGAATGATATAATCCACAAACTATTTTACAGAAAACAGAATGATAAACGTACCTGGCTGTAATTAACAGCATTAGCCTTGGCTAGGTTGATTTCAGGGGTGTCTGGCATGATGTGGATCATAGTCTTGTCCTTTTCCCAGGCTTCTTTATATTTTTGCTGTTAAAACAGTCATTTAATAATATCATCAGACTTATGGAAATTCACATATCAATAACAAAAAATCCCATAAATGTCTCCTGAACTATCATCTCTAAAGAGTAAAATGTTTTGAAAAGCATTACACATAAAACACCACAGATCAGTTTTACATTTTAGCAGTGAGATTTCTCTTTAGCTTTAGCTTCTAGTGCAGCTTTGAGGAGTTTGGAACATACAGTGCTGATCTGTTCAGCGTTGGTTTTGGCCAGAACAACATCTGGGGAATCCACAACACTGGTGTACTTCACACTGTCAATAGGGGTCCGATACACGTTGTCACTCAGGAGATCCTGGGCATTCTTCACCCTCTTAATTTCTGGAGAGTCATTGGGCAACCACCCAATTCCACGGAGCCACTCCAGGTCTGACCTGTACACAGCCTGAATGAGATGGTCAGAAAAGGAAAACATTGTTTAAAATGATTGTCTTAATTATTTTAAGCTATGCAAAGTAGATTATATATAAACCTAGCCAGAGTCACATTAATCCTTTTTGTAGACAGGAGATGTTCATTGTTGCAAGTAAAATTAAACCTGGCCACAAGTTTTAAGTAGTTCAGCTCTTAAACAACACATTCTAAACTATGTAAGGAGAAACAACTGAAAGGTGTTGCAGTTAAAGATAATTAATATTAAAAGCTTACAAAAGTCTTCCTGTCCCTTCCAAAACACTTATTCCTCTAATCATTACAACAATTTACAAGTCCTAAGAAAACCCCAAGCTGCCTACCAGGAAAACTGACAAACAGTAAGAAACAGGAACCTCATCTCCAAAGCTTGTAATTGAAACAGTGAAAGAGGAACTGATAAGCAGCAAAGCCAGGTCAGGAAATCTGCTGCACTGACTCCTGCTTTGCATTCAGCCTCTAAAACCTCTCACTGGCTACCTCACAGAGTTTTCTTCCAATTAAATAAATTTCCAAGCTTACTCAAGCAAACAGAAGTAACAAAAGCCACCTGATTCCAAGGCAGCAAACAACTGTTATTCCTAAACCCCATCAAAGCAAGAGAGATAAATCCTTCAGCCTCTCCAAATCACACCTGTCCAAAAGCATTATGCAACACATCATCAACTAAAGTTCTACAAAATTAAGAGATAAAACCAATACTTTTTAAGAGTCTAAAAGAGCACATAAAAGCAGTAACAAAAATTTAAGAAGTCAGTCTAAATATAAATCTGTTGTGCCTGTATAGCATTGAACAATCAGAATAAGGTTATAATCTATTGAATAATAAAACTACACATCTCTGTGGATACTCACATCGCTCTGGAGGTCGTAGGCCTGCCGGGCATGGATCACGTCGTTCTGGTCAGGAAGGCAGGTCCACTGGTGCAGGTACTGCCTGTAGTCAATGTCACTGACCAGGGTCTGGCACTCCTTGGCTGCCTGCACCGACAGGGCATCCACAGGGATGTGGATCTGGGTCTTGGAATCGTTGTAGGCCTTCTTGTAGAGGCGGTCGTTCTGGAGGGCCATGGCGCGCGCGGCCTGCGCCAGCCTGGGGTCCTCCTTGGCACTGGGGCACCCGATGTAGTGGCCTTTCTCCTTCTCGTGGGTTTCTTTGTACTTGTACTGGAAATGCAGAGAGAACAGAAGGTGTGTTCCTCACCTGGACACAGGCACCAGGCTCAGGCTGCCAGCCTGAGCTCTACTCAGTTCTGCTGAGACACAAGCACCACACGAAGAGAAGGCTGTACCTCACTGGCAATGTCTCTGGAGGCCTTGGCTTGTTTGATGGGAATGGCATCAGCTCTTAGGTCGTAGCTTTTTGCCTTGACCTCATCCCAGGCTTTCTGATAATGTTTCTGTAAAGAAAATTAATCACCTTTGTTAAACATAGTGAAATGCCTTCTCTAAAAACCTGCCTGCTGGGAATGACCAGCTTGGGAGCCCTGTGTGCTTCCTGTAACTGGCAGAGTGACAATAATGATCCTGGCAAGTGTCTCAACAGAAAACTCATGACTTAAAGTAGGTGCAAGATTAAAACTCAAAGAGGCAGCAGAAATATTCCTGAAGACAGACCACTATGTCTGCAGACTCCAACTGGACGTCATGTAATATATTTGGCAGGTTTTGCCAAAGGGAGTAGAAGTTGTGTGGAATTGCACATTGAGCTTGGGAGTTTGTTCATGAACACACAACCTGTTGATAGGCTGAGAGGTGATAAAAAGCCTCTGGATGTAATGTCCTGTTTACAAGCACATTAGAAAGTGAGTTTGTGCACCACCATTTACAGCAAAAACTGGAAGAACAATTGCCAGCCTTCACTTTCTAACACTTCACAAATATTCCATGTTATTCTCTTACATTGCTGATGTTGAGAGCATTGACTTTGGACTGCAGCATGACAGGAGTGTCTGAAGGGAGGGAAATCTGGGTCTTGTCTTTATCCCAGGCCTCACGATACAGACGCTGAGGAGAAAGGAAGAACAATTGCAATTCAGTATGGTGAGAAAAAAAACACCAAGAGGAATTCTTCAGTAATTCCAACTTGCAAAACTTCCCAACTCATCATTCCCACCGTAGAAATTCTACTCCCTACCAGAAAGAAATGAAATGTCATCCCACAAGTGAAAGGGGAGCTTACATCACTGAGCTGCATGGCATTGGTCTTGGCCAGGACAACGTCTGGGGAGTCGGTGATGCTGGTGAACTTCAGCTGCTCCGGCCGCGTGCGGTACAGGCGCTCGTTGAGGAGCTCCTGGGCCTTCTTGGCTTTGACCACATCCACAGACCCTTCTGTCAGCCAGCCAATGCCTCGCAGCCATTCCAGGTCGGACTTGTACACGTTCTACAAACAAACCAAGGGTTACTGGCATTGCAGAGGTAACTCTTAGCCCAGAGAGCTGGTGCACTCTCAGTTCCTGGAGAAGTTAAGACCAGTCTGGATGTGGCTCTGAATAACCAAGACTACTAGAAGGTGTCCCTTGCCCATGGCAGGGGACTGGAATAAGATGGTCTTTCCCAACCCAAACCATTTTGGGATTCTGTAGCTCTAAGTTCAAGAAGGTTTTTTATAAGCCGTTCCCCAACTTATACTCTTTACACAGCAAGCAGCCAGTGATGCTCTGTTGTATCAGGTCCTTTCTAGAAAGAGCAAACCTGATTTGCAAAGAAACAATACTTTTAAGACACTGCATTCAAAGCAGGGGCATAATCTGCAAGTAGTCTGAAAGCAAACATTCTAGAGCAGAGGAAGAAAACATGGCTTCCTTATGAACTGCCCCAAATATTTCCGGCACACAGGCTGAAACCCTTTGGAAAGGATAAAATAAACATACCAGAACCAACTGCAGGCCCATGAAAATGCATTTGAAAGTATATTTGCCAGTCACTAACAAACAGAGCTTCACACAGCAGCCCTAAAGCTTTCCTACACTGATTGTCACTCACATCGCTCTGGAGGTCATAGGCCTGCCGGGCATGGATCACGTCGTTCTGGTCAGGAAGGCAGGTCCACTGGTGCAGGTACTGCCTGTAGTCAATGTCACTGACCAGGGTCTGGCACTCCTTGGCTGCCTGCACCGACAGGGCATCCACAGGGATGTGGATCTGGGTCTTGGAATCGTTGTAGGCCTTCTTGTAGAGGCGGTCGTTCTGGAGGGCCATGGCGCGCGCGGCCTGCGCCAGCCTGGGGTCCTCCTTGGCACTGGGGCACCCGATGTAGTGGCCTTTCTCCTTCTCGTGGGTTTCTTTGTACTTGTACTGGAAATACAAAAAGAAGTGAATCTGGGATGCAGGTCCCATCATCTCCTATTGCTACTGATCACAAAAATATATATCCTTGTTTCTAAAGGAAATGAAAATAAACGTAAAAAATAACATACATCACTCGCGATATCTCTTGATGCTTTTGCAGTTTTGATTGGAATTGCATCAGCTCTCATGTCATAACCCTTCTTTTTGGCCTCTTCCCACGCTTGTACATAAAGTTTCTACACAAGAGAAGACAGAAAATGGCTTATGAATATTCTGAAAGTTGGGATTTCTGCATTTTATAATTGTCTCTCAAATTTTTCATGAATGCGTGCTTCAGAACATCTTTATGATTAAAGAAATGCTGACTTAACTCTGAATTTCCACTAATTCAGTAAATGTTTAAATCTCCTTACATTGCTAACGTTGGCTGCGTTGGCCTTTGCTAACAGAATGTCTGGTGTGTCAGGCATGACATGGATGGACTTCTTGTCTGCATCCCAGGCTTCCGTGTACAAGCGCTGCAAGACAGGAAAACGGCCCTTTACAAACAGTTCTTTAAGAAATTATTTTACAATTACAATTTTTTTACAAACTGTTAGGGGTAGTTCTAGTAAGCTCTAATACTCTGACACAGCAAAGTTTCTCTCTGAACAGTTCAAGAAGGAAAACTTTGTCCCTCTTCATTATTTCTCAGGTTAAGCTGGTGCAGCAACTGATAGATTTGGATTGTGGAGAAACAGCCATAGGAGGAAAAGTGTATTAATTATTCTGTATAATTGTTTGATTATGCTTGTTAGAAAGGAGGAGGTACTTAGTGACTTTCACCCTCCAGATCTGAGATATGTTGCACAAGTTTCACATCCAGAGAACTTCAGGTATTTCCTCATCACTTGTTCATCGTGCAGTATTACTCTTGGAAAAATCTTTGATTTAAGGGACTTTTGTCTGTAGATTTTTGCCAACTACTCACTTCAGACTGAGCCCTGTGAGAACAGCTTTCCTGTACAACGGCTGAATTTGGACATCAACTTTCTCTTAAATCCACAAATTTTTGGGTTTACTTTGAATTTTGGATTTTTCACCTCATGAACAAGTTCTACTAACTGGCAGTACCAGCCTCACCTTGTTCATGATCTCAGCATTTTGCTTGGCTAAGACCATGGCCAAGGAATCGGTCACACTGGTAAATTTGATTTTGTCTGCAGGCTGCCGATACTTCCTGTCACTGAGGATTTCTCCAGCTTTCTTGGCTTTCTCAACTTCCAAGGAACCAATAGGAACCCATCCAATGCCTCTCAGCCATTCCAGGTCTGATTTGTAAACAGCCTGAAAAAATGTGAAAGTTTGTTACACATGGGCAAGTGTGATCAAATATTAGAATTAATATAAACAAGCACATAATTTATGAACAACTGAGTATGTTTCTGAGGATATGGTTCTGAAAATAATTGTTTTTTAAGATGAAACTGAAAACAGTTTTTTAAGATGAAGTAAAATAATTATTAAAAAGAAAAAATAAAAGAGGTATTGAAGCACAATGATAGTATCAGAGTAACACACAAATTATACCTCAAGTTAAGGACTAAAAAAATAGGATTAAATACATATTTGATGAAAGAATTGAAGGAATGAAAGAATGAAAACATTTCAACAAGTCTGATGCAAGTGACTAGAGGCTTATCATCCATATTTTAAAAATTAGATTGTGCAAGACAATTCTGTATTACAAAATTACTGCATTACAGAATTACAGTACTACAGAAATACTGTGTTACAAATTTAAAGATTTGCTCACATCACTCTGGAGGTCGTAGGCCTGCTTGGCGTGGATCACGTCGTTCTGGTCGGGCAGACAGATCCACTGGTGCAGGTAGTGACGGTAGTCAACGTCACTGACCAACCCTTGGCACTTCTTGGCCAACACAATTCCCAGCATGTCCACAGGGCTGCTGAACCTTGTCTTGGACTTCTCAAAGTCTTTCTTGTACTCCCTGTCACTCTGGATCTTGGCCACGTGCATTGACCACATCATCTTGGGGTCATCCTCGATGTTCCTGGCCCCAATGTGGTGGCCCAGCTGCTTCCGATACCCTTCCTTGTACTTGTACTGCAGGAAAAAAAGTCCACATAGATATTCATATATTTTATACTTTTTTAACACAAAGCATTTAAATAGATTTCTTGGTAGAAAATGAAGGAGCATAAAAATCTGTTATCCTCTGTCTCTTAGTGATATTGCCTCATCCTTGAAACAAAAATTGTCCCAGTCATTGCAGAGCTTTTTTCCTGGTGCTGTGTTTTGGGTTTCAATGTGATACTGCAACAGAATTACTTCTTTCCTCCATAAAAGACAAGCATTTACACTTTTAGAATTTATTTGCTTACATATTTCTTTTAGAGACAGATTTTAAAGTACTTCCTATTTTTAATCAGAAATTATCTTGACAAACTCTAGCACAGACTCCTACATCTTTTTGTTCATCCTACTTTAACATCCATGGATAGCAATGGTGGGCATATAAATAATCTTCATGTTATTGTATTTATTCATAATTGTGATACATAACTCACAGAAAAAATACTGGCTATCCATTTTTTTGGTGCACTTAAAGCATGTGGTAGGATCACTAAGAAAACATATTTCTATATTATCTATTTTGTGAAATGTGACATGAGTAAAAAAGTGAACAAAGATTCTGATTATTTTCCATTACCAAATCCATAGAGAAGTGAGAACAAAGCCTGCTCACCTCACTGGCAATCTCCCTGGAGGCTTTGGCAGACTGGATGGGAATGGCATCAAAACGCAAATCATAGCCCTTCTTCTTTGACTCCTCCAAGGCCAGTTTGTACATTTTCTGCGAGAAAAAAATTCACAATTCAGTTTCAAAAACAAAATTGAAAATTACATTTCAGTTCAGTACAACTGTGCAACAAAACAAATAAAGTCCCTAAACTATATTGTACATCTTCAGACAATTTAAATACTTTTCTGTAGAAAAAAAAAAAAAAGATTTCAAAGACCTCGTAATTTTATTGCAGATGTTTGGAAAATGGAAATCATTTAGGGAAGGCAAATACTGGAACATTTAAAGAGCTAAATTACCTATTTCCACAACTTGCTATAGAAATGATTTCTCATTTATGAGGGATGATATATTTTAAAGGTATATTTTTGTGGAAGAACAACGCTGATTTCAGCACTGAAAGAGGCCATGTAGGAAAATAAACAACCTGACAATATTTTACCATTAATAAAAAATCAAAGGTGACAACAGTGTACTTATGGGAAACCCTTTAACTCTCTCAGCTCTCCAGTTGCACCCACCTCACTGTAGTTCACTCGGTTCTGTTTGGCCAGCAGGATTTCTGGGGTGTCAGGCATGACATGAATCGTGGTCTTGTCTTTGTTCCACGCTTCAGTGTACAAACGCTAAAAAAGAAATCAGGAAGAGATTGATAGGGCACTCAAAACAAGGTTAATATCCCAATAAACAGGGAAAACACATTAATTAAAATGATAGGAACCTGGTCTAGGGGAAATTTTCCCTTCCCATGGCGGGAGGTTGGAACAAAATGATCTTTAATGTCCCTTCTAACCCAAACCATTTTATGCCAATATAAAATGGATATACAGTTATGTGTTTATCTGGTAAAAGTAACATCAACAAAAGGAGAATTTATCTGAGAGCGTTTAAAAACATTTAAAAAACCACCACATTGTTTCGGAATAATGAATAAACCAAAGCATTATTAGTGCCCAATGCACACACACGCCAAAGAAAATATTTAAATACAAAATGGAGAATATTACACAAATTTGAGACTTCCTTACCTAATCTTAGAGTTTTGAGTGAAATAACAAGAGCACGCTGATTGAAAATGCATCATGCCTGAACTGCAGCACTGCTTGTGCTCAATTCATTCCCAGTCCTGTCTCCAGGGATGAGGCAGAGACCTCTGATGTGTCACCCAGAGGGATCGAAGAGATTTAAAGTTACTTGGTGTATTGAAAAATTAATAAGTAATTCTAACAGTTTAACATACTCATTATTTTATAAAGATAAAAATATTATATATGTCTTTCTACTCTGGGATTAATTTTCATGTAAGAAGCTTTTTTATTAGATATAATTACCTAAGACTTTTTATATCACATGCTTTCAATTCACTAAACATTTAATGTCAATATTCTAACAAGTTTGGTACTTCACATCCTTTTACTATTAAGATCCAATTGTAAATATTAACTTACTTTGCAAACTTTCAACCAAACTCCTTGAATAAGACCATATGATTTGTTCTTAACACAAAGAGTTGAAATATCAAAATTGAGAGTAAACAAAGAGCACAAAAATCTGTTATCCTCCATCTCTAAACGATGCTTCCTTACCAGAAGCACAAGCTATCATAGTCATTGCATAGTTCATTCCTGTTTTCATGTTCACACATCTTGAATTTCATTATGACACTTGAACAGAAATATTGTTTGAATCAGAAATTAACCTGACAAACTCTACCATTGGTTCATACACATTTTTGATCATGCTGCTTGAATATCCATGGGCATCAACAGAAGTATTGCAAGGGGCATACCAATAATCTTCACATTATTATATTTATTTATTACAGGGATATATTGCTCAAGATAAAAATACTGACTCCCCCTGTCTTCCATGCACTAAAGGCAATGTAGTGGAGCATTAAAAAGAATCACTACCAAAATATAGTTCAAGATTATCTATTCTATGAAGTATGACAGTAGCAAACATTCTGATTCTTTTCCATCACCAAATCCATAGAGAAATGAGAACAAAGCCTGCTCACCTCACTGGCAATCTCCCTGGAGGCTTTGGCAGACTGGATGGGAATGGCATCAAAACGCAAATCATAGCCCTTCTTCTTTGACTCCTCCAAGGCCAGTTTGTACATTTTCTGCGAGAAAAAAATTCAAAATTCAGTTTAAAAAACAAAATAGCATTTCAGTTAAACACATCTGGGTAATAAAACTATTCAAGTCCCTAAACAATATTGTTGTCTTTCAGGCAACTTAAACATCTTCAGCCCAGCTCTACATTTACAAGAAAATAAAAAAATGCAGACTTCAAAGACCTTGTAATTTTATTGTAGATGCTTGGAAAATAGAAATCATTTAGGGAAAGCTTAGCAAAACTAGTTATTTCCACACCTTGCTGTAGAAATTATTTCTCATTTATGGGGGATAATATATTTTAATAGCCCAATTAGATATCCAGGAGTCAATTTCTGGAACAACTCTGATTTCAGCATGGGAACAGACCACTTGTGAAAATAACACCCTGACAAAGTTTTAATATTAAATAAAAGCAGGGATGACAAAAGCGTACTTGTCAGAAGTACAAGTTAATTGTCTCAGATTTCAGTTGCACTCACCTCACTGTAGTTCACTCGGTTCTGTTTGGCCAGCAGGATTTCTGGGGTGTCAGGCATGACATGAATCGTGGTCTTGTCTTTGTTCCACGCTTCAGTGTACAAACGCTAAAAAAGAAAACAGGAAGAGATTGATAGGGCACTCAAAACAAGGTTAATATCCCAATAATCAGGGAAAACATAGACCATACCAGATAAAAATACAGGAAATGTAACAGGGATAATCAGTTAGGTAATTAGGAAGAGATAGTATTAATGAAAGGAGGATTGACTTGTGGAAATGTAACAATACTTAAAAAACATCACACTGATTAAGGAGAAGGAATAAAAAAATCAGCACTGCTTGTGCTTAGTTCATTCCCAGTCCCGTCTCCAGGGATGAGGCAGAGACCTCTGATGTGTCACCCAGAGGGATCAGGACTCACCTTGTTCATGGTGTCTGCGTTCTGCTTGGCCAACACCATCTCCAGGGAATCCGTGACACTGGTGAACTTGATGGTGTCCGGACGCTGGCGGTAAATTTTATCACTCAGGATCTCTCCTGCTCTCTTGGCTTTCTCAACTTCCAAGGAACCAATTGGGACCCAGCCAATGCCCCGCAGCCATTCCAGGTCAGATTTGTAGCAGTTCTGTTACAAAAAATAGAAAAAAAATCATCCACATGGGTTAATCTACCATTAGTAATAATAATAATCATCATCATCATCATGCAACTTACATGGTGAATAGTTCACTAATAAGTAATCTCACTATCAAATTAACAATTAATTTAAATAAATTCAAAGCACAAGATAAAATATACAAAAAAAAAGTGCATTCCCACTACATTAAGGGTGAAACCATTATCCAACTTTCACAGAATAGTAAATGATAGATAGAAATTCTGGAGCTAGAGGATTTCATTGAAGCATCAATTAGTTAACACATCCTGTTGGAGAGCTCAGTTTCGATCAGCCACAAAATTTAAAAATATACCTCAAAATGTTGGTTCTACAACATCAGAACAAGATGGCCTGATCCAACTATGTAAAATAAACTCATTCCTCAGGAAAAATCAAATGCCAGAGGACTCACATCACTCTGGAGGTCATAGGCCTGCTTGGCGTGGATCACGTCGTTCTGGTCGGGCAGACAGATCCACTGGTGCAGGTAGTGCCGGTAGTCAACGTCACTGACCAGCCCTTGGCACTTCTTGGCCAACACAATTCCCAGCATGTCCACGGGGCTGCTGAACCTTGTCTTGGACTTCTCAAAGTCCTTCTTGTACTCCCTGTCACTCTGGATCTTGGCCACGTGCATTGACCACATCATCTTGGGGTCATCCTCGATGTTCCTGGCCCCAATGTGGTGGCCCAGCTGCTTCCGATACCCTTCCTTGTACTTGTACTGAAACACAAACCAAGATATTATATTTCTCTGTCACCCATAAATGTCAGTTACTCATATTAAATATTTCTTACAATAACCTTTCCAAACTCATCTATAACCCACCATTAAAAAAAGCCCAAACAGTCAAATAAATTCTCATGCTAATAATATTCTAGGACTAAAGTTTTTTGCTGTTAAAGTTAGAACCCTAAACAGAAATTTTTTATCATTTTCCTTTTTGAAGAAATGTGCTTTACTAATATTAGTGAGAAATAATCCTGGTCTTATTAAATGCATTTAATCCTTATTTCGTATAATGATACACATACTGTGTATAAATACTTATCCACACATACAGGGTTATGAGCTATACAGCTATCATGAAAGCAGCATTATATTGTTCTTATAATTATCAACATTTATTTTTTTAAACATACATGATAATTTACTTGCAAAAATCTACTACTTAAGGTCACAGTTTAACTCCAGTGCCTTTACAGGGTCCAGATGATAATTTGCAGGTTGCAGAGGAGAGATGTCAACATAGAAAGAAACAAAAAGTTAGATCCTTACATCACTGGCAATTTGCCTGGATGCTTTGGCTGCTTGGATGGGGATGGCATCAGCTCTCAAATCATAGCCTTTCTTCTTTGAATCTTCCATGGCCTGCCTGTATTGTTTCTAGATGAAGAATTAAACAATGGGATTCATGTAAGTTCCATATGGTATAGTCTATGCAAAACAAATTGCTTGGAAGTAGATCTAATAATTGTGTTTAGATTTATTACACCCAGTTTTATCTACCTTTAACTCAAAACCTCAGATCAGTAGCTGGTACAAATTCATATCAAAGGAAGACCTTTGCTAAATACATTTGTTAATTAATTTTTATTTTACTGCTTTAAGTAATGTAATATTGACTTCAATTAAGACTTAACTTTTCTTCTATACAAACGGAGTAAAACTTTTTAAAACCACTGATGTGGCTTACTGATGTGAACTTGTTTGCCTAAAATAATGTTGAACTCTGGCATCACACCTTTTCAGAATTATGCTAGTAACTACCTTTCTGGTATTAATTTTTGCCTTCCCAACATTATGCACACTGCCAGAAATTACTCCCCAAAAATTCAGTGGAAACACACAACTTGTGTGGAATTTATGGAATTTCTTCTCACCAGTGCTCGCTGTTCTATGTAGGCACTACTACAAATATACAAACAATGCTTTTAAAGTCAAAATCTTTGAATAAATATGGGAGTTACTTTAGGAAACTGATAGTGCCATCTCTAGAAGGTTTCCCAGAAAATTCCTGATCCAGCCATGACACAGAGAAGTTACATTTGGAGAGCTCCCTCACTCACCAGACTGTAGTTTTTCTTGTTCTCTCTTGCCAGTGTGATTTCAGGTGTGTCAGGCATGATGTGGATTTGTGTCTTGTCTTTATCCCAGGCCTCAGTGTACAAACGCTGCAGGAGAAACACAGCAGAGTATTTGGAGACATTCACAATTGCTAATTGTGACAAATTACCTTACTAATTCTCTACGAAGATATTATTAAATCAGCTCTTGATGAAAACAAGTTTCCCATTGATTATCAAAAATGGAACTTACATTTTTACAGCCTTAGAGTGGTGACATCTCACAGCACAGGCACAGGTCTGTGGTCCCAATCCTGTCTCAGGGGTTTTGGCAGAGACTGTTGATGAGTTACCTGGTCAAATCCAGACTCACCTTGTTCATGGTGTCAGCGTTCTGCTTGGCCAACACCATTGGGAGAGAATCTGGGATGCTGGTGAACTTGATGGTGTCCGGATGCTGGCGGTAAATTTTATCACTCAGGATCTCCCCTGCCTTCTTGGCCTTCTCAACTTCCAAGGACCCAATTGGGACCCAGCCAATGCCCCGCAGCCACTCAAGGTCAGACTTGTAGCAGTTCTGTTCCAAAACATAAAGGCAGCAGTTAAAAATTTCTCCTTTATTTGTTAATCAGCATTTAAATGTATACAAATTCACTATTATGAAGGATAAGAGGGAGCCAATTCTGCTATTTGGCTGTACATAAACCTTCATGAAGCTCTTACATTCAGATTCCTTCGCTCCTCAAATTATAATGGCCTTGCTTGGAAGAGGGATAAAAAACCACAAAGTGAAAAAATACTATATGAGAGCAACTACACCAGATTATATTCCAAGGAAATTACAAACATTTCAGTAGTTTCAGTAGTTCAGTTTATCAGCATATACTCACATCACTCTGGAGGTCATAGGCTTGCTTAGCATGGATCACATCATTCTGGTCTGGCAGGCAGGTCCATTCATGGAGGTAGTGACGGTAGTCGATGTCACTGACCAGTTCCTGGCATTTCTTGGCCAACACCACTCCCAGCATGTCCACAGGGCTGCTGAAGTTGGTCTTGGACTTCTCAAAGGCTTTCTTGTACTCCCTGTCACTCTGGATCTTGGCCACATGCATTGACCACATCATCTTGGGGTCATCCTCAATGTTCCTGGCCCCAATGTGGTGGCCCAGCTGCTTGCGATACCCTTCCTTGTACTTGTACTATGGACAAAAAAATGTTCAATGAGTGTTAGTTTAGGGCTTTTTATGTGGCCAAAACCCCTGCAACACCACTCCCAGAAAATATAAGCTGAAACCAGAGACTTTAAAGTGAGAAAAGACTCAGCCCCAGTGTGTGCCACGAGGGCTGCTGTGCACTCACATCACTGGCGATGTCCCGGGAAGCTTTGGCAGACTTGATGGGAATGGCATCTGCCCGCATGTCGTAGCCCTTCTTCTTCTCCTCCTCCATCGCCTGCTTGTACAGTTTCTGGAACAGACACCACCAGGCCCTCAGACAACGCTGCTGCCCGGACAGCGCCCAGGGACACACACTGCACCCTCAGCAACCACCCACCTCGCTGAAGTTCACTTTGTTCTGCTGGGCCAGCAGGATCCCAGGGGTGTCTGGCATGATGTGAATGCTGGTTTTGTCCTTCTCCCAGGCTGAGATGTACGAGCGCTGGGAAAGGAGGACAAGAGGAAACAAGAACACAAAGGTTTAGGGAAACAAACTCAATGAGAAAATCAGCTCTGTGAACCAAACAAGAGGCCTCTACTTTGAACTGATTCAGGAACTCCTGCCCTTTCACCAAAACTTTCTAATGCTCCACCCCTTTCTTTTCCACACTGTATCCCATTACTACTCCAACCACGCAAACAAAACTTTAATCTCATGCAAGGAATACAAATCCCTGAGGCAAGAGGGATTTCCTCCCCTTGTACAATCTGGGCTTTGGAAGGGCATAGAACAACACCCTGAGAAAAGAAGGTGCTCATTTCCCTCAGCAATGATGCAAACAGAAGGAAATCTCACTTGGTCCATGATTTGGGAGTTGTGCTTTGCCAGCACCATGGGCATGGAGTCAGGAAGGCTGGTGAATTTGATGGTGTCTGGGTGCTGACGATACTTCTTGTCACTCAGGATCTCGCTCGCCCTCTTGTTCTTCTCAGCATCCAATGATCCAAGTGGGGACCAGCCAATGCCCCTCAGCCACTGCAGGTCAGACTTGTACACGTTCTGGAAGGACAGGAAAGCAAACAAAGCAACTTAGCAAGTTCCTCACTCCAAGCAACCTCATCCCCTACCATGCAAAGTGGAACATGTTCCATTGGGTCGAACCAACAGCTTGTGCCACTTAAGTGACTCTGGATAAGTTCAGCTCCCAGAAACCTGTCTGCTGCTATCAAACAATCCACAAATCTCCTCCCTCTATCTTCTTGATATTGCCAGTAAAGACCTACCCCATTTCTCAATCTGCATCTGGCAGAACATTGGAGGAGCCTTTTACCCCATCTCCGAAGGCTCTACATACCATTCTCAGCTGCACAATTTTTTGCCTTTGCCAACTCTTGGTTCTCCATAAGACAAGGATTTTAATTCCCTTGACCTTCCCTTGCCACACAGAGCGCCTTAAACCAGTAGGACAGACAACCCAAGTCTGTCATTCAGCCAGTGAAGAACAACTCACATCACTCCTCTCCCTCTCCATCTTCTCAGTATCCCCAGCAAAGACCTGCCCCATTTGACATTCTGCAGGTGGCAGAGGCATGGGAGGTGCCTTACATCACCCAAGACCCTCTGTATCATGTATTATTGCACCCAGAGCTTGCCACTGCCATTGTTGGTCCTCCAAGGCAAATATTTTACTCTGTTGCCCTTCCCCTGCCTTACTGTAATAAAGGTCCCAGACACAACTCTCCCCATAAAATGTTCATGGCAAGAAAGCATTCTTCTGTGGCCGTGAAGCATGACCCTACACAAACATCATCGCTGACTGTCCATGTCAAGAACGGCCACAACACAATCTCAGTCCCTCAGAATCAGCAAAGAATTATTGTCCCCATAAGAACCAGTTCCAGCAGAGGAACAGAACACAAGAGAGACTTGTGGTTGAAACATAGCCAGTGAAGAACAACTCACATCACTCTGAAGGTCGTACACTGTCTTGGCATGGACAACATCGTTCTGGTCTGGCTCAAATCAACCCAAACTACTGAGAAAATAAAATGTAACTACACAGAGTGTTACAGGGAAGATTAAATAAAGACAGCAAACACATACAGGAATGCAATTTTGTATTAATGCCTAAGAATAAAAAAAATTATGCTATTTTATACAGCTTTAATTTTTAAAGGAAAACTTGGTTTGGGTTTTCTTTCCTCATGCACAGCTCAGCTGTGTAGCTGCAGAGTAGGGCCATGCAGACGGGCAGTGCTGAGGGCAGCCCAACACCTCAGAACTACAGGTGGATGCACGAGGAGATACACTCACAAACCCAGGAGGGACCCAGCTTTGGGCTACGGCCATCACCCAGCTCCCACAGCTACTCTTCCACACCACCTAGGCCTTCCCTTGCAACACTGCACACCCACAACTTGCACAGACAGTTACAGGTAGACAGTGTGAACAAAAACATTGATGGACGACTGAAGGGCACTGACAGGTAATGGATTTGTTGCCTCCATTTGGCTCAGTTGCAAACCCTGGGTTCAACTGCCAGTACGGGGCACCCATGTGACAATGTGTGCCATGAGGGCTGCTGTGCACTCACATCACTGGCGATGTCCCGGGAAGCTTTGGCAGACTTGATGGGAATGGCATCTGCCCGCATGTCGTAGCCCTTCTTCTTCTCCTCCTCCATCGCCTGCTTGTACAGTTTCTGGAACAGACACCACCAGGCCCTCAGACAACGCTGCTGCCCGGACAGCGCCCAGGGACACTCACTGCACCCTCAGCAACCACCCACCTCGCTGAAGTTCACTTTGTTCTGCTGGGCCAGCAGGATCCCAGGGGTGTCTGGCATGATGTGAATGCTGGTTTTGTCCTTCTCCCAGGCTGAGATGTACGAGCGCTGGGAAAGGAGGACAAGAGGAAACAAGAAAACATGAGTTTAGGGAAACAAACTCAATGAGAAAATCAGCTCTGTGAATCAAAGCAAGAGGTCTCCACTTTGCACTGACTCAGGAACTCTTGCCCTTTCCCCAAAGCTTTCCAATGCTTCACCCTTTTCTACTGCTCCAACCACAAAAAAAATAGAGTTTTATCTCAAACAAGAAGAAAAGGACACAAACAGCTCAGCAATCTCCTCACTCCAAGAAATCCCAACTCCCACCAATGGATGTTCTTAATGGAACATGTTCCACTGGGTCAACCCACCAGCTGCCCATTCAGTGTTTGGACCCAGCCCCTATGGCTCTCCACTGCCCTCAGCATTTGTCTTTCCCAGCTGCTGGTTCTCCATAAGAAAAAACTTGACTCCATTACCCTTTCCCTGCCACACAAACTCCTCCTTCAGAACCAGAACCGAACACTGGGCAGAAAACCCAAGGTTGTCACATAGCCAGTAAAGAACAACTCACATCACTCTGAAGGTCATACACTGTCTTGGCATGGACAACATCGTTCTGGTCTGGCAGGCAGGTCCAGCGGTGCAGAGGGTGCCGGTAATCGGCATCGCTCACCAGCTCCTGGCATTTCTTGGCCAACACAATGCCCAGCATGTCCACAGGGCTGCTGAAGTTGGTCTTGGACTTCTCAAAGGCTTTCTTGTACTCCCTGTCACTCTGGATCTTGGCCACGTGCATTGACCACATCATCTTGGGGTCGTCCTCGATGTTCCTGGCCCCAATGTGGTGGCCCAGCTGTTTTCTGTATGCAGTTTTGTATTTGTACTAATTGAACAACAGAAACAGAACAATAGAAACAATAATTACCACTTCTTTCCAAGCTGCAATTTCAGTTTCTCTGTTGTTAATACAGTAGTTAATCATTTTGAATCTAACATAGTTTAACTTGCTTCTCTTTTTGCCCAAAGTTTTTAGCATTTGTTATAACATCCAGGTGATATTATGGGATTCTTCATAGCAAAACACTATCATCTTTATATTATTGTATTTAATTTAATTAGCTGTACACCATTAAGAATTATACAAGCTTTGGGGTGGGCAGCAACACCACTGTGTTAGTATTTTACATATCTCCTCCTGTTACATAGAAACTATTTTTCTCCAAGATTATGTGCCCCCTCTGTGCCCCACTCTGATTTTCCCTCTGCAAGACCCACCTCGCTGGCTATGTCTCGAGATGCCTTGGCTGCCTGGAGAGGGATGGCATCAGGAGGGAGGTCGTAGCCTTTCTTCTTCAGCTCTTCATATCCTACCTTGTAACGTTTCTGTTAGAGAAGGAATCAAAGGAATTAATGCAGATGAAACTCTCTAGAGAGTTTTTCAGTGCTACAACTTTCCACCTCTGACTATTGAAAGGAAAGCATGGGTTTCACACAGTTTACTTAATTAAATTAAACTCCATACCTTGCTATTAATGACAGATATTTTATACCCTTGGATATTAAATATTTTCAAATTACAATTTAAATGTTTTCTGATTATTTCATTGAAGATCAAAATTTTCTTTTAGCAACTAGATTAATCTGAATTATTCCCAGAGCTTTCTGTAGAGGTGAGTAATACAACCCTGTGATTCTCTCTACCCAGTTTCAAATGCAAACTTACATCACTTGTGTTAATCAAGTTTGATTTAGCCAACAAAATTTCAGGTGTATCAGGCATGATGTGAACCTTAGTCTTGTCCTTGTTCCAAGCTTCCTTGTAGAGTATCTGAAAGAGACACAAACAAAAACCTGGTCTGATCCAAGGTTCACCTGCACAGTAGTAATTTCAGTTCACCTTTTCTCTAAATCAGCAAAGAAAAGATATACTGAGCAAGAATTAGGGATGTGTACAAAATAAGACAGTAAAATCAAATAATACAGTAACTTCTTACTGAAATGCAACCTTTTTTCTTCTTTACATCCATGTAATGCCAAGGAAACAGCATTGAAACAATGTATTTACATACTGCTTACTAAAGGTCTTATTTGCAGTTATACTGAGTAAATTATCAGCACTCAAGATTTTCATATTATGAACAAGGCACAAAAAGCAATGAGGCCCTGACTATAAACACCTGCTATCTGGATATTTTAAGTGCATGTTCTGAACCAGAGATCCTTTTTAAAACGTGTATTATTAATTTATTGAATCCTACATTCTGTCTCTAGAGGCAACTTACATCACTCCTATTTTTGGCATTAGATTTTGCCAAAACAACATCCATGGCATCTGGGATACTTGTGAACTTAATCGTGTCTGGGTGCTGCCGGTACTTCTTGTCACTCAGTATTTCAGAAGCTTTCTTGTTCTTTTCAGCTTCCAGAGATCCCAAAGGACTCCATCCAATGCCTCTGAGCCACTGCAGATCCGACTTATACAGGTTCTGTTAAGGGTTAAAATCAAAACCATAGCAGATTATTTCACTGTTCATTGGTTAAACCCTATGAAAAGTCTAACTGGCAGTTTAGCTCCAATCTGATCTATACTGATATCAAAAGTGAGCCATCAAAGATGCTTTCCAACCAGCAGTAATTATTTTACGTGGGAGTAAGTGAATTAAACCCAGAGGGAGCTTACATCACTCTGCAGCTCGTTGACCCTCTTTGCCTCGGTGACATCGACCTGGTCTGGCAGACAAGTCCAGCGGTGCAGAATTCGTTTGTAGTCCACATCACTGACCAGCTCCTGACACTTCTTGGCCAGAAGGAAGCCCAGCATGTCCACAGGCATATTAAACTTGGTCTTCCACTTTTCAAAGTCTTTCTTGTACTCCCTCTCACTCTGCATTTTAGCTACTTGCATGGACCACAACATCTTGGGGTCATCCTGCAGGCTGCGGAATCCGATGTGATGTCCCTGCTGCTTGCGGTATCCTTCTTTGTACTTGAACTGCAATGGCAAAGGTGGCACCACTCAAACCACAGTGACAAACATGGAAGTGACAAAACACCAATGGACTCGCTCATCTTAATGCTCCTCATGAAATTACCCCTGGAAGTGTCCAAGGCCAGGTTGGGTGGGGCTTGGAGCAACCTGGGATAGGGGAGTGTGTCCCTGCCCACAGAAAGGGTGGAACTGAATAATCCTTGCTGTGCCTTCCAACCCAAACCATTTTGTGATTGTATAAACAAGCAACTTGTTATGGGCTCTCATGTAAAGTTTTAGCAGCCCCTTGTCTAATGTGCATCACTTGGTGTCAGTGAATGCTCTCTCTGGGAAAGAAAGAGTCCTTGGAAAGGAAGGGCGTGTGGCAATAGGAATAGTCTCCTGTGCCCTCTGACTCAGAACTCCCTAATGCTGACACACTGAAATATTTTGATGAATAACATCATCAGCAATGAAAAATGATGAAATACAAAGATGCATGGGAAACATTTCCTAATGATTAATAAACTATCTTCTTTATTATATATGGTATTAGCTTTAAGAGAATTAATAAATTCTCCATCCCTAAAAATAAACAAATGCAGGAGTTGTGTTTGTACCAATTTATGGTAACAACAGTCCATGTGTCACCACATCTGTTTCAGAGTTGTAATGAGGATTTTTCTGGATAGGCACTGGGCTCAGTTAATTGGACCAAACTTGCTGCTGCTCTGAAAATGAAGCAGCCCAAAGAGCAGAAAACTCCTCCATTTTTATGACCAGACCAAACTTTGGACTTGGTAAGATGCCAGAGAAACCCTTGTTAAACTGGACAAAAACAGCTCAGGAAGGAGTTTTGTCAGTAATGTTGGTTTTGACTCCAAGCCACCTCTTAGCAGAGAGGTGTATCTCAAGTTGCTGTGATTCTAAGTTGTAACAACCAGGTCAGCATGCGTCACATTGAGTTAAAATGCTGCTTACATCACTTGCAATGTCCCTTGAAGCTTTGGCAGCTTTCACTGACATGGCTTCAGGTGTGAGGTCATAGCCTTTCTTTATCATTTCCTCCCAGCCAAGCTTGTAGAGTTTCTAAAATTGAAAACAATATTAATTAAAACCAGTAATATGTATGTCACCCGCTATTTAGATACACTAATGATCCAAATTCTGGTCACCTCACAGGCTTCAGTTATGAGAGAAGGTCTGCTAGAATGGAAACTGAGAAATGGGAAACTGATAAACAAGAAATGATGGTCTTCCAAAACTTAGGAGAGGGACTAAATAGTTTTTCACTATTCAGCAGCTTCCTACTGTAGTTTATCTTGATTTGAAACATATCTGGAGAATTTGAAACACATACATCAAGATAACTGAACACTTTTTGATTGCCTTAACAAACTTTTAATAAGGTTTTCACGAAGACATTTAACAGTCAAGTCAGTTTGTGCACAGTAGATTTTAAGTACAGGCATTCTTAAGTCAAAGGTTTGCCTCTGAGCAATGATGCAAAGCAAAACCTTGAGTGTTTTCTACTGGCACAATTGTCACTTTCTCCTATCTGAAAGATGAGAGAAAAGCTGGAATCACTGCATCTACTTCTTCCCATAGGTTAGGTTAAAAATATACACAATTAACTTGTAATTTTATAGTAAGGAATATTTAACATGACTGAATTCTATGCAAAGCATAGAGTATGGACTATATGCTTCCAGACTTCAAAAGCACAACTTATATTTTCCACACGTTATAATGCAATTCAGTCTGTTAGTTTGCTAGCCTGAAGCTGGTACTTATTTTACTCTGAAAATATTACCCACATGAAATTCTTGCCTGCGTTCTAAATCTCCAGTAGATATTAATTTAAAATGTTGATAAGATGTATCAAAACACTCTACCTGGCTGTAGTTTGTCTTGTTCTGTTTGGCCTGTAGAATATCTGGTGTGTCTGGCATCACATGGACCTGAGTTTTATCCTTCTCCCAGGCTTCGGTGTAAGCATGCTATGGACAGAAAGTCACATCAGATGTGTTAATATAAATGACAGGGTTTTCACCTTTCCATTTGAATATGGAAGAGTAAAAAGGTGAAGGTGCCGACTCAGATTTATTTCACTAATTAATGATCTAATCCAAAATCAGCTGAATTATTGTCCAGTCTTGCTTCTAATAAAACCAAACTGTTAAGATTTTCAGGACCAATTTTCAGGTCATTTCTATGAAAGAATGGGATGAATAGAGGTTGGAGAAAAATGAGAAAAGATTTCTTTAAGCAATGCTGTTTCATTGAGAAAAAAAAAGACAAAAAAAGAGGAGCCTGTGACAGTTGTTTTTCCCAGGGGAACGCTGCCACATAAAGGCGTGACAGAGATTTCCAGAGTGGTTATTGGAATGGATGAGATGTGAATGCCTGCCTGGCTTTTCCCCTAAATACTCACTTTGTTCATGATATTTGCATTCTGCTTTGCAAGGACCAGGTCCATGGCATCGTTCTGTTTGGTGAAGGGGAACATGCTGGGGTGCTGGCGGTACTTCCGATCGCTCGCAATCTCCGTGGCCTTCTTCGATTTCTCCACATCCAGAGAACCAATGGGACTCCAACCAATCCCCCTGAACCACTCCTTGTAATCCTGCTTGTACTCATTCTGCCAAACAGGACACAAAAGCAAGGCTGACAATGTACAAGCAGCTCATACGGAATAAAACAGTTATTTCCAAAATGCTGCCGTGATGGAAAAACAAAAGCCACAGAAAGAAGACAGCTCATAAAAAATAACCCTGTCCTTTCCAAACTGCAGCCACGGTGTGAAAACAAAAGTCACAAAAAGAAAACTTACATCACTTTGGATCTGATTCATGTTTCTGTACAGCTCCAGACTCATTGCATCTGGCAGGAGCATGTACTGGTGGATCAGGCGCTTGTAGTTGGTGTTGGTGACACGGTCCTGGGCCTCCTTGGCTGCCACCACGCTGAGGGCATCAGAAGGTGTCTGGTAATGAGTCTTGCTCGCCTCATAGGCCTTCTTGTACTCCCTGTCCGACTGCATCTTGGCCACTTGCATGCAATGGACAAGTTTGGGATCATCCTGGAGGCTGCGGAAGCCGACGAGTTTCCCCTTGTCTTGTTCATACCCTAATTTGTATTTATACTGGAAGAGAACAGAAGCAGAGACTTTGATTAATTTAGATTAGAAATTAAGGAAAAAATTCCTCCTTATGAGGGTGGGGAGGTCCTGGCACAGGGTGCCCAGAGAAGCTGGGGCTGCCCCTGGATCCCTGGAAGTGTCCAAGGGCAGTTGGAGCACCCTGGGATAGTGGAAGCTGTCCCTGCCCATTTTTTCTCCCAAGAACTTACATCACTGGCAATATCCCTGGAAGCTTTGGCAGCTTTGACAGGAATAGCATCAGCCCTGAGATCATATCCTTTCTTCCTGGTTTCTTCAAATGAAGATCTGTACATTTTCTGCAAAAAGAAAAAGAAACATCTTTTAAAAAAGCAAAACTTTACATGTTTTCCACATGCACTAGTATTGGTGAAAACTTACATCTATGAGGACGTCATCTTAAAAAATAAAAAGATATAAAAATGTCTATTTCTGCCCACGCTGCAGATGTGCATAATTACAAGCACTACTTTATTTAGCATAGGCGGATTTAACAAGCATTTAACAAAACCTGTCTATAATGTCATCTTTTACCAAAAATACAGGTCCTACCTACATTTTGAACCTTGTACAAAACTTTGTGCATGGGGAAATAAAACAACCAGTAATAAAATAATAAATACAGTAACAAACATGAACAGTACTCAAAGTCTACTGTATTTTGTTAGCAACTGTTATATTTTAATGGTCTGCATGAACACTTCACAACCTCACTATAAACATGGCTTTTTCTTGGCAATTCTGGGTATCTAATTTTGGGAAAGGAAGCAGGGAAAAGGAAAATTAATAGGTTTCGTAAAATTACTACAGGTTAGCAAGATGAGACTTTTGCATGCTCTCATCTCACGTATTCCTAATCAAAAAATAAGAGCAAGGTCACTGCCCTACAGACAATACTCACTTCACTTAAATTGAATGCATTTGCTTTTGCTAAAGCAATCTGTGGAATATCTGGGGTGATGTGAATTTTCTTTTTGTCTTCTTCCCAGGCTTGTTTGTATTTGTGCTGGAAGGATTAAAATAAATTAGAGACCTCAGCATCTGTTGTAATTATTAAATAAAACAATTTAAAATACTATTTTCCACTTGAAATCTAAACTGCCATGACAATGATGTGTTACTACCACAAGAGCAACATTTATCTTTTTATTTTAGCACTTACAGCACATTCATTAGCTACAAAATAAAATCCTGTTTTCTAAAGCTCTGCATACAATAGGGTTGACTGTTAAATCAGATGTAGATTGTTGCCTGCTTCTGAAATGAATTCTGATGAGCACTTTCTTACCTCATCCATGATTTTGGCATTATTTAAAGCCAAGACCATGTTCATGGAATCCATAGGAACAGAGTACTTCAACTTGTCTGGATGCTGGCGATATTTCTTCTCACTCAAAATTTCCATGGCTTTTTTGTTCTTCTCAGCTTCCAGGGAGCCCAGTGGGAGCCACCCAACACCCTTCATAGTTTCATCATACTCTGCTTTGTATTGATTCTGCAGGCAGAAAGTAGATAAAAACCAGTATGAAGCACAAAATAGCTCATAAATTTGGAAGTACAAGATAAAATGTATTAAGGAAAAGTGAAGCTTTTCCTGTCTTGGTCTGCACATAACTATTGCTCCTGAAGAGCCTGATGGAGTACATATTCATAAAATTGCTTATTTCTAAGCTCAAATTCATTAATGAAATATTTCAGAGTCTAGGAAAAATAAAACTGCAGTAATTGTTGAAAGACTTGTATAATTTACTACATTTTCATAGATACCTGGCCTAATTCCACTAACAAAATAATGCTATTTAACTTACAGTGTTTTTTCATAAACTAAGCACCTTTGTATTTACAATGCAGAGGCTGAAGAACTTCTTACTTACATCACTTTGTAACTGCATCATGTTTTTGGCCAATTCAATGCTCATAGCATCTGGCAGGACGTTGTAGGTGTGGATTAAGTTCTTGTAGTTTGCATTTGTAGCCACTTCCTGAGCTTTCTTAGCTGCCACCACACTGACCATGTCAACTGGAGTGTGGAAGTTAGTCTTGGCCTTCTCATAACCCTTTTTGTACTCTCTGTCAGATTGCATCTTGGCCACCTGCATGAAGTGGACCAGCTTGGGGTCGTCCTCCAGGCTGCGGAAGCCGATGTGCTTCCCTTTGGCCTTCTCGTAGGCCAGTTTGTATTTATACTGAGAGCAGGAAAGAGAAAGAACAGCAAAAAACCTCAATTAAAAAATGCAATATTAAGCTCTGCTTTATAACTGAAGAAACAGATCACAAGATCTCAGGTATAGTAATTTAATTTAATTAAGTCATGGAATGGTATCACACAACCAGACTCACATCGCTCGCGATGTCCCTGGAGCTCTTGGCTGCTTTTATGGGAATTGCATCTGGCTGCAAGTCATAACCCTTCTTCTTGTCCTCCTCCCATCCAGCTTTGTAAAGTTTCTAAGTTGTGAAAGAGAACAGGTGTCATGAAGGCAGAACTCTGAAGTTAAACATTTTCAAAGAAGGCATTAAAAGGACAGTGGGAGGCCCACTGTGAGCACAGCAACTCACATCACTCATGGTCATCTGGTTCACTTTGCACTGCAGGATTTCTGGGGTGTCTGGCATCACATGAATGCTGGTCTTCTCTTGGTTCCACTTATCTGTGTACAGCCTCTGCAATTACAAAGGAATTGTTAGCACTGAAAAGGCACTGAACTCATAAAAGAGTTTGCTTTTGTTCTGCTCGTTTGCGATAAATAATATTTCCTAGAAATATTGTACACCAGAAATAACCTTCACAGAGCTGCTGAGGAGCAATGTTATCTTCCTCCTTTCTTTAGTATTGTAAGAAATTTGCACAGTATGTTTTGATAATTATAAATATTGAAACTGGAAGTTTCCAATATGTGTTCTTCCCTGCATTAATGGGAAGCAGAATTTATTTTCACAGGTATTCCTTCCATGGAAAACAAGGAATAAAGACAGTGGTGTCCTGGATAACTAGAGATAAGTGTAAAGAACACCACTTTCCAGGATACTTGTACAAAACTAACAGAATTCCAGGTTTTCTGCAGCTCACTTATCGTGAATACGTCCTACAGAAAAAGCATTATCAAAGCATTATAAATCTGGAAAAGAAATCTTTAATCTTTAGAAACAGAAAACGAAACTCCCTTAATTATGAGCAGTCAGAGCCTCACCATGATCTCTCAGTGTCCAGTCTTACCTAAGGAACTACCACACCCACTGGAAATTTTAATAATTCCAGTGGGAATGCACCTTGCCCCACAACTTTGCAAGACAAAGACCCAAACTTTAGGTCAATTCAACAGCTCCCCACCTTGTTCATGGTCTTGGCATTTTGCTTTGCCAGCACTTGTTCCATGGCATCCATGGGGATGGAGAACTTGAGCTGGTCGGGATGCTGGCGGTATTTCTTCTCACTGAGAATCTCCGTGGCTTTCTTGGCCTTTTCTACATCCAGTGACTGAATTGGGACCCAGCCAACTCCTCTCAGCCAGTTATTGAAGTCAGATTTGTACAGATTCTATTCAAAAATAAACAAGAAAAACACAGTGAAGCAAGAAAAAATAGTGTCTATACACATAAAACAGGTAAAGCCTTAAAACTTCCCCTGGACATTCCTTTTTGGGGGGCAATTTAGATTTAAGTATAGATAAATACTGATAGAGTCAGTATTTAGGAGAAATAAAATCACAGCAATTACAATCTTACTACAAAAAACCACATAAATTAGTAAAACATGCTCATTTGCTGGGGATATGCCAAATATGGAGAGATGTAAAAAAAGTTGTTACTTGCTAGGTAAGTTTCCTAGAACTTAATAGCTGCACATAATTCTGATAATGTTTGGAAAATAAATGGTTCCAGACCAGCCACTTACATCCCTACCTACTGTTAATCCAATATAATACATACTGGATTATAGAAATTAATTTTTTAGCCTTAAAACATTAATGTTGTCATGAAGTCACGATGAGAATTAAAAATGGAGCTGATTCTTGATGACATACATCACTCTGAAGCTGCATCACATTTTTGGAGAGCTCCAGGTTCACAGAATCAGGCAGGAGGGTGTAATTGTGAATTGGCTGCTTATAGCCAGTGTTTGTCACCACTTCCTGGGCTTTCTTGGCAGCTGTCACGCTGAACATATCCAGAGGAGAGTGATATTTGGTCTTGGTGACTTCATAATCCTTCTTGTATTCCCGATCCGATTGGATTTTGGCCACGTTCATGTAGTGAACAAGTTTGGGATCATCCTGCAGGCTCCGGAACCCGACCTGTTTGCCTTTGTCTTTCTCGTAGGATTCCTTGTACTTGTACTAGAGACAAAGGAAAAACAGCTTTACCCACTTGGGAAAGGGAAAACACATTTTGGATGGATTTAGAACACTGAGTTTCAAAGCACTAATGCTGCAGTTCATTCTGGAACCTCATAAATGGTTTTTACGACAGCACAGGGTTATTTAGGTCAAAAAAAGGAAGAGGATTATTGGATTTTTCAGCTTGTCTTGGCACTTGGTACATATTTCAACCCACACCTGCAGCTACAAGCCCTCCCTCACCACTGTCATTGATGCAGGCTTGCAACTCCCAGGGATATTCAGCTTTTAATTAAGACTACGATAATAATAAATTACTGAACAGCTTCACCAAACAATCCAATATCCAATTAGAGATGTTTGAGTCGCTTGTGACCTTTTGCTAAAGCAGGAGTACAGGACTCCAGCACAGGTAAATAATAATAAATAATGAAATGCAGGAGGGGTAAGTGTTCTACTGGATGTAAATCCTACTTACATCACTTGCAATATTCCGAGAAGCTTTAGCAGCAATAATTGGAATGGCATCTGGTTTCAGATCATAGCCTTTGGCAAGGGTTTTCTTCCAGTCTGCTTTGTAGTTAGCCTTGGAGGGAAAAAAGGGAAGAGTTTGCAGTGTCAGGAATAGCAATTCTAATAAAGGGTTTAAGCCCATGTTCTTCTTAGAGGAGATTTTATTACAAGAATTAAAATACCCAGTTTTGTCCATGTAATCTCAAGGAAAAAATGTTAACCTGTACACAAACTACAGTTTTATTATAAAAAATAAATCTACTACAAATATAATAATGAATTTCACAAGCATTTTTACACTTTTTATTTAGAACAACTCTATCAGTGGCCTTTTTGGCCTTTCTTATGCAAAATCCTTTTTCATTTGACTGAACCTTCAGAGATTTTTTCCTGTTAGCTTCAAACTCAGCCTTCATGCTCTAAAGGAACTGGAGAAAGCAGCCTGGCTGTTTTTCTGGGTTTTTTTTTTTTATCAGTCCAGCCAGACTACTAAAATTCCAAGGCTATTAAGGGAGATGTCAGTTTTTATCTCATTCCTGGAAAGATGATAATGCCACCAAAAAATTTAACATCACAAAGGCAATAAAACTGATACCATCAGTGGAGAGCTTCATGGTGTTGAAATTCAAAATGTACTCACATCACTGATGTTGTAGGCATTAACTCTAGCCTGGATGAACTGGGGCACATCAGGAGGGAGGTGGTACTTGTGGATAATTTCTTCCCCTTTGGATTTATACAATATCTGCAAAGAAAAATAAAGGAAGATATTTAGCAGCCCAATTTCTAGACTGTGAATTGAAAAACTATTTTTAAAAATCTGATTTCCAGGGGATGTTCTGCTGGAAAAAAAATTGTAAATACACACAGCCACCTACACAATTATTGCAGGAGTGCTCTTAAAGCTGGAGGATGAAGTGAAGGTGGGCACAGGGCAGAAACTGGGAATGTCACAGGGTTTCCAAAGTTTACTTACATCACTCAGCTGTTTGCTGTTGATCTCTGCTTGCTTCTGTACTGGAGAGTCAGTCACTGAAGTGAATTTGGTTTGATCAGGATGCTTTTTTTTGTAGGTGTACTGAAAGAAGATAAAATATTTGTAGAAAACACATATAAAGTATTTTCCAAGTATTGATAAAACAAATAAAATTATTAATAAATTAAGTACTTTTAAAGCATTAATTTGAAAAAAATATTGATTTAAGCAGGTGAATGCTTGAGGTTCATTCTTCATTCTGGTTCTACTGCTCTCATTTTATGGGTTTACTTGTTATAAAAAGGATTGTGCTATATCTGTTTTGATCACTAGATGTCACAAAAGGCCCTAAAATAGAGATGAAGCTGTTTGTTTTTTTTAAAAAAAAGCCACGTATGGCAATGAGGCCAAACTCAGAATCATTGATGTTACCAGGGATCACTCAGTTAATTTTTCTGTGGTGAACAACTGCTGCCCTGTACTCACATCTTTACATTGCTCCAACTTCTTGATTGCTTCATACTCTTGAGTTATGGTCTGAGGGAAGTAGCACTTTGTCTTTTCCTCCTCATAATCTGCTTTGTAATTTTTCTAGGAACAAGAGCAACATTCAGTAAGGAACCACAACAAGTAAGCTTTGTCTGAGCTGCCAGAGTGAAGGGGAAAACAAAACGATTGCCACACTTACATCACTTTTCATAGCTTCAACCTTCATGCAGTGGATTTGATGTGGGTCCTCAAAGCTGCCCAAGTAGTGCCCCAAAATATTCTTCTGATATGCATCTTTATATTTAACCTGCCAAAATAACCATGAGTTGAGAGGCAAAAGGAATCAAGAGGGTCAGTAGTGAAGGATAAACCCCAAGTGAAATACCTACATCACTAAAGTTCTTCAGAGCAGCATCAGTCTGGAACTTGGGTGTCTCACAGTAATTCATCTTGTTTCCTCTGGACTGTTCATAGGCTTCTTTGTATAATTTCTGCAAATCAAATAATACCAGATCATGCAGGAGATTTCCCTGTAAGTCACCTCCACCACGTTAAAAATGACAAGAGTAAAACAGAGAAATGGTTCCAAAGAAAAGCTTTCCCACAGGACTGAGAAACAGATGGCACTGTTTTCCCACTGGTCTTTAAAAATAACTTTTTTTAGGTTTATAAGGAAAGACAGAAAGGTCGGGCTAATGATTTTTGGACTTCTGACACTGAGAAATATTCAATCTCTTTTCATACAAATAAAAGTGGAATTGAGAAGACCGTTACAGTGAATAACCAGAACATAATATAAAAATATTATATAAAAGCACCACATATATTATCATTATTAGCTGAAATTCCTTAAAACAGTAAGGGAAGAACTGTCCTTTTGTGATTCACTATCCACAAAGATCTAAATGAACTATCCACTAATTAACCATCCATGTGCCACTGCTGTTGCTACACCCATCTGTGGAGAATTCATTCTTTACCTGAATTGTTCTGGCTGGTGCTATCTCATTATAAATATGGGTCTACAAAACAAAAAATACTACAAAGGGGAAGCCTTGTGAAGAAATGGTGAGTGTGGTTTCTGGTACAAGACTGAAAATGATGTAGCTGCACACTGATAATACTCACATCACTCAGAATATTTCCTGCAGTTTTTAATTGCTTCAGCAATGGGTTCTCTGTAGCAGGGAGCACATTATAATCTGCAATAGCTTTCTTCTTTTCATAGTCTGCTTTGTATTTGAACTTGAAAGAATAAAAATTTAAAAAAAGAGGTTTTAAAAATCACTATTGAAAGCCAAATGCTCACTAACCTGTGCGGCTGCCCAGAGCAGCTGTGGCTGTCCTATCCCTGGAAATGTCCCAGGCCAGGCTGGATGGGACTTGGAGCAACCTGGGACAGGGAAAGTGTCCCTGCCCATGGCAGGGTGACACTGCGTGGTATTTAAGGTCCCTTCCCACCCAAACCATCCTGTGATATGAATCTATTATATAATCTTCAACTTTCCATGAAAAATGCTCCTGTTATTTAACTTATGGTGGCAAACGACCATGAAAGGTCTTGCCAAAAGAATTCCAGCACAAGCTTGTGTGAGTTCAGAACTGCCCCCAGGCTGAGCAGGTGGCATCAGCTCCCTCACCTTGCTGACGTTTTCTGAAGCTCGTTTGTTGGCTTCATATTCTGGAGTTTCAGTCTGCATGAAGTAGATTTGGTCTTTCATGTTTTCAAAGTCTTCCTGGTATTTCCTCTGTTAGGAACAGAGACAGACAGAAAACAACACATTAATTACATTTAATTGTAAATTAGACACCTACGGCAGGGATTATTTAGGAAATAAGCAATGCCACAAATGGAGCCTCAGTATTTTCCAAATGAACATAAACAGGGATAAAGCTGTTGAAGATTTTCTGCAGGATTCACTCACCATACTTAGATTTTCTGCATTCATTTTTGCAACTGCCACATCATAGCACGGAGTCTGACTCCACTTGCCTTTGACTTTGTTTTTATAGTCCTCATGGTAAATAACCTATAAGGAAACAAAACAATAAAACTGAATCACCAAGACACAGCTCCATTTTCACCTGACAGATTCATTTTCCTAAGCTGTCTTTTTAAAGCTGCTTCATAATTGATGCCTGCTTTATAACTATTTTAGCAGGTATGGTCAAAAACACCTTAAATATGATTTGGCCAAACCATTTCAGTGTTATTTCTCTTAGTACCTTCCCTGACCTAAAAAGGATAAATAAATAATCTCTAACATATCGTTTTAGTTCTGTTTTCTCCCTGGCCACATAATATTAGGATATTGCACATTAAGTCAGAATTTACTGGGATTGCTGCTGGAACTGGTTATAACCAAACCCTTCTAATTACCTGGTATTTATGATTTCCATTATTTATTCAAGCTCACAGAAATCAAGTATTAAAAGTTTAAAGACTTTTTCTAACAACAAAACACCTGCCTGAGTTTTGACTCAGGTGTTCCAGGGGCATTTTCAGCCACAGTTGCATTACTTTCCATAAAAAATAAAACTCCTCCAATACTTTTTTAACATTGCTGAAGAACACACATGCCAATTTGTTTTTAATTCTATATTTTATAGTTTTGAAGATACCTACAAAGCTTATTATTCTATTCATTTCAAAGAATTATGGTACTGGTCCTTTTTTTTTGCATGTTATAAAATTCTCTCGATGACAATTTAGCTTTTAAGCTATGGAAATATTAGATTAAAGAATTTTTCTCTAAATTAATTATTTTACCTTACAAAGAGGTTCAGTGCAATTTTCTTAGTGGTTTCTCCACCATGAGTGAATACTGCAACTCTCTAATCTTAAAATGCAGATAATTTTTAACACACAATAAAATAAATTCTAAAAAAAAAGAAATAGTTAAATTCGGAATGGAGTTAAAACATTACTTCCAAGATTATGCAACTTGGTTCCAATTTCTCCAGCAAAAATTGGTCTTCCTGTGTGTTATTCCTTTCCCTTAGGTACCTTTTTGCCTTTCTCCCTGCAGGAGAGGAGTTTGGGCAGAGGTTCTACTCACATCACTCAGCTGCCGTGTCACCTTCTTGGCTTGTTCCAAATCAGGGGGGTCTGGCAGAGAGGTGAATTTTGCTTTCCTTTCATCGTGCCCCTTTTTGTAGACAATCTGAAAGGATGGAAGAAATAAACATTTATTTGAGGATCACAGCATTGAACTCTGCTGCTACCACATTAATAAAAGGAGTTCTGCCCACAGCCCCTGCAGCAGGAATTCTTTGATCTGTGTATTACCAGGGAACTTCTGAACCTCTGCAAAATTCACTGAAATCTTCACATGAGAGCTGCAATCCCCTGTTGAAGAGTTCTGTGTATGTAAATATCAGCAAATCCCAGTCCCACCAATCCCTGACTTTTCTCATCACTGTTTCAGAGGCACATTTGCAGACCCACAAGAGTGAACTGGACTTGGAGACAGCCCTGAGAGTTTCTGCATTTGGGGAGTTACTCGAGGTCTTCTTGCTGATTTAACAAATTAATTATTTCATTCATTCCTAACCCAGCCTCAAACTACCAATGGCTTTATACTCCAATATGCTCTACTTTGTACTCTAGTATCAAATACATATTTTTCTGTGAAGTACCACTACTATCAGAGCTTCCTTAACACACTGTTATTTTCTGTTCCAGTGTGAAGCTTTTATGTCCAATCCAAGTCCGTGGCACGTCCCAGGTTACACCACAACCCACCAGCCTTTGGTACCCACATGCAAATCCCTGCTTTGATACTCACATCACTCAGAGTCTTCTGAGCCTGTGCCACCCTTCTGAGCTCTGGACTGTCATTGTAGGGATAAAACAATGTTTTGTCTGCATCCCAGTCTTCAGTATACAGTTTCTACAAGAAAAATTCCAGAATGCTCATTATTAATTAATTTCTGACATTGAAAGCTCAATTTACTTCAGCTGCTTAGATCTGTGGGTAGCTTTTCTTACCTTGCTGAACATTGCTGTGTTTTTTATTGCATTCACAAGCTCTGGAGCATCAGGGGGAAGCAGGTACTTGTCCTTATTCTCCTCCCAGTTCTGTTTATATAATACCTGGAAGGAAAGATCAGCAAGTTGGTCACTCTATCATTAAAAAATATTTACTTCTGTGAATAAACTACCTGCTTTAAGGATTTTTTTTTAATCAAAGTCTCAGAGCAGTAGCATCTGAAAAGAGTAACTGGAAATATTTAATATTATATTTACATTTGCCTTACCAACTTCTCTGCTATCCTTCCTGTGCTTCTAAACTGTTGTGTAAATGTTGCTTTAGCACCCTGAGCTCAAAACTTTGTTCTTGTCAGTAACCTCAGGATCCACCAGTGTTGGAAAGTCAGTCACTCACCTTGCTCACTTGCTGTGACACTTTCTTTGCATGTTCTATATCCATGGCCTTTTCATCCACGTGGCAAATGGTTCTGGCAACTTCCCCAGCCATGCGGTATTTAACCTGGAGCACAACAAAACTCATTGATTCCAGCAAAACTGACTGATTTTTTTAAAAAAACTCAGAATAATGACGTTTTCACCCTTCATATAAACACCCAGAACCTGGCTGAGCCTAGAAATGCACTTGTTACCCACCTCACTGAGCTGGTCCTGCACTTTCTTGATCCTCCGGATTTCTGGGGTATCGATTGTGGAAGCATACGGCTTTCCTTTTTCTTTTCTAAATTTTTCCTTGTACTTGTTCTGGGAAAAAATAATGATAAAAAATAAATAAGACATATCCCTGAGCTCTGGCAGAACCACATTAGCAATTATTGCCATATTTATCTGGTTAGGACAGGAATTTTGGACAGATTATTCAACAATATAAGCTAAAATTATACAACTATTACTTTAGCCAACTGAGTTTATTCCATCTGATTCAACAGGAAAAAATCCATCTCTAACTTGGATCACCTCTAAGTTATTATATTCTCCCCATGAGCTTAGTATTGATAAACCCAGACATTTCCAATATAACTATCAAACAACCCCTGAAAAACATTTTTAAAGCTGGTGTTCCTCAAGAAATAAGAGACATGGGACAACCTACCTCACTGAATAAGTCCTTCATTTTATTGCTGTGTTCCAGGTAAGGTGTCAGAAACTTGGATGGGTCCACTTTTGTCCGGATTGTCTTCTTCCTGATGGGAGGAGCTGCATCCTCCCCGGAGGGCTGGGTGTGCTCAGTTGTGTAGGTGGTGGTTGTGGTGGTCTCAGGGATTGAGTAGTCTGTGCTGATGGTCTCAGTGATCTCAGTGACCACCTGGAGATTAAAACAATTCAAAAACACTTGTTTTATAGCTGTAAAAGCCCATTAGGATAAGAATTTTCACTGCCCTGAGCTGGGTGTGCTCAGCTGTGTAGGTGGTTGTGGTGGTCTCAAGGCCTGAGTATCACCTGTGCTGATGGTCTCAGCGACCACCTGGAGATTTAAAAAAATTAAAAGCACTTGCTTTATAGCTGTAAAAATTCATTAGGATCCATGTTTTTCACTCCCCTGAGATGGTGAAAGGATGCTCTGCTCCATATGGAGACAGAAAATCAGGGACACTTTTCCTACTGGGATTACCATTGTGCTCCCTATATATCACCCACCCTAAAAATCCCATGAGGATTGAATTCTCTGGCTGGTTCCTGCATCAAACTCATGGAATTATTCTCCAGAGGGTCTGGGAGAGTGGGGCTCCAGCTGCCTCTGCTCTACATGCATTAATTTCCAATCAATTTAAATGCTTTATACACTTGCTTATCAATATAGTCATGCTGCAAGCAGTAATTTTAATACTAAGATTATAATGAAAAGCATCTAAAAATAATTAGCACAACTAAAAAAGCCGTCCAAAACCACCCAAATAAGTGTCAGGTTTTTTTTTGTATCAATTAGCTTTATAAAAAATTGTCTTTACAAAGGAATTCATGAAGGTCAGAGTTCTGAGAGTTATTTGCATCAATGAGACAGAGCTGAAAATGCACCAAGAATTAATAATTTCTATTTCTGCATAAACCCATGCATAAAGGATATTTCATGATAACCCAGCAGAGAGTTGGGTTATAGCTGTTTCAGAGGTAGAATTTCAAATTATGGCAATCACTCCTTGGTGACCCAAATATTTGTTACCAGTGACACAATGAAAAATCTGCAAAACTGTAATTTCTCAGTGAAATTACACAAGGTGAAGGGAACAGAAGTGATACATGTAAACTGATCTTAGACCATCACACAGCAGGGACTTGAAGCAAAAATAAATTATTAAGCAGCAATTGTTCACTGATATTTGTGTGCTTAACATGAAAAATTAAACCTCAGAATACAAAAGGCTGCTAATTTAGTGTTTCATGTTAATGACATGCATTTATGTGCTACACGCAGCATGACAGGGACCTTTACCTCGTGTGGCTCACCCTCCTCAATAATTGTCTCCTCAATGTAGTACTTTGGAAAAAAAAAAGAGAAAAAACATCATTGTTAGGCCAGATCAGCAAACTGTAGCTTCTGTGAAGCTGTTTTAAAACACATTTCTGGAGATAGAGGATTTTAGTTCACAGGTGCTTATGGAGTCATTTGGTAACTCTGAATATCTGTTCAAATTTTGCATTAATTATTGGATTTTTATTCCATACACTCCCCAACTAATAATCATCAAATAATTAATGGAAGATTGTTATCTAATTTTACCCACAAGAGGGAAGACGTTGATGACCACATTAAAAGAATCAGCATTTAAACCCAAGGATTTTCCTGATTTTTAATTGGTGATACTCATGACTGTTGTCCTCAGGGTTGCTCCTACAAGGACACCAACAATTTCTGGCTGCTGGTTAAACTTTGTTGCTGATCACAACTCTGAACCTGATGATTTTCCACCCATTTTACTGCCCATTATTCCCCCATAATTTATAATCTCATAAACTTGGGGATAAAACTACAAGGAGAGGTATCCCTAAAGCAGACCAGGTACACAACCTTCACTGGTCCCCCCTTGTCCAGCAGCTGTGATCTCATTACAAAAATTAATGAGGTTCATCAGCCATAGATTGCTCTTGGTAACTCAGTGTTCACTTCTCCACATGACCTTCATGTCTTTCATGTGTTTAAAAATAGCTTCTCAAAGGATTTGATCCACAGCCTTCCCAAAGAACAAAGGGAAGGTTTGAGGTTGACCAGCCTGTATCTTCCTTCTTGCCTTTCTTGAAGACCAAATGAAGCTGAACATTGCCCATGGATGTAGGAATGGAGCTTGTAATGTTTTAAATCTTTACATTTCTCCCAAGTTGTCTGCTCCTGCTTCCACCTTCAGTGGAAGCATATTTCTCTTTTTTTGTGTCATTTTCCTCAGTCAGGAGCTCCGTGTTCCTCTACTCCACCCTTCTGCTGTTTGATTTCTGCACTTTGGGCTGAGCTGTGTGCTCAGGGAAAATCATGCTGGAGGATCACCCAAGGATCCTGGCTGCCTTTGCTGTTTCCCACAGGATTTTCCTCTAGCATCCCCAATTCTGCTCTTCCAAAGTCTGGGATGATTCCACTCATTTTGCTCACTGCTCCCTGTATCTTCAGCTCCATTGTCCCACGGTCACTGCAGCCCTTGATCTGTGCATTTTCCACCAGTTCTACCTTGTTTGTGAGCACCACATCCAAAGGAGCATCTTTTCCAGCCGGGACAACAGAGTTGGGAAAGGATCTGGAGCCCCAGGATCGCCTGAGGGAGCTGGGAATGGGCTCAGCCTGGAGAAAAGGAGGCTCAGGGGGGCCCTTCCGGCTCTGCACAACTCCTGACAGGAGGTGCTGCCAGATCGGGCTTTGCTCCCAGGGAATAATCGACAGGACAATGGGAAACAGCCTCCGGTTGTGCCAGGGGAGGTTTTTGTTGAATTTTGGTGATTTTTTTTTAATTTATTCCCCGTCCGCCACTTCCCAGCGGCGGCCGCGAGGTGGCGCCGTCCCGCGGAAATGGCGGCGGCGCTGAGGGGGCGCCGGGGCCTGCGGCTCCCGCGCCTGCCCCGCTCAGAAATGACGGGAAAAAGCTTTTAAAAACATTGCTGCAGGATCGGCACCCGCTGTCTGCGGGGTGTGCTCCGCCTGCACTAAGAGAAAATGGAAAAATGCGGGTTTTATGGTGGAAAGTCTCCTCTAAGCGGTAATTGCTTGGGGTCGCTTGCCACAGCTGCGGGAACGGAAAACCCTTTGAAGCTAAAAAATTTCTCGTTAAAACTTAAGCCCCTTTCTGAGAGCTCTTCCTCAAAGTTAGTTCAAGGGACCAAGCCGTACTTCCCAAGCTGTGACATACTGGGTGTTCTGAGGTGATTTCCATTTTCCACAAACCTCCCACAAAACCTTCCTCAAACTTTCTACAAAACCTTTCACAAAACTTCCTACAAAATCTTCCATAAAAAAACCTCCCACAAACTTTCTACAAAACCTTCCACAAAATCCTCTGCGAAACCTTCCACAAGCTTTCCACAAAACCTTCCACAAACCCCCCTGCAAAATCTTCCACAAACTTTCTACAAAATCTTTGAAAAACCTCAGGTAACTCGGCAGCAAATGTTCGTATCACTCGCTGTGGATTTTTGCACATCCCAAGACAGCTACAACATCAAGTAATGGCTAGTAATTCCAGAGAAAGTTTAAAAATAGCATTTTAAAATCCTTGGTGATGCCTCAGCCACTCAATATTCAACGATCATGTCCTTCTCTTTCAGAAGGCGAATTTCTGATAAGTTTAAAATCTTGGATTGATACAGGAATTAAGAAAATTCTGGAAAGGCTTAAAATGGTATCAGATGCTGTTGTTCCTGTTTTATTTAGCATCTCACCAAGAGTATCCCAAGGGAAGTGGCTAAAGCAGTGCCTCGTCAGCCCAAGGGATGTGATTACAGCAAGGTGGTCATTGAAATTTAAAAACAAAGGATGAAATGGGGCTGTGTGAACAAAAAGCCCAAAATACCATAACTCCTGCTGGAATAAATGAACAATGAGAGCAAATAAATATCCATTACAATGCACACAAATGCACAGGAAACATAAAGGCGATTACAAGTAACGTGAGAATAAGAAATTTAATGAAGAGTTGATCTCATTGTAGCTACATAGTAAAATGTCTTTAAAATCGACTTTATGAGTGCTAACGCCTATTTTGCAAAATGCATTTAACTACTCAGACTGGCAAATCATTTGGCTTTACTTCATTCACTATTTGAAATATATAAAGCTGGCAATGCCCTCACACCACCTGAAATCAACAGCGCACTGAACACAGTGTGGTGGCAACGAGTTGTAAGCTGTTCACATTTATACCCTTCTTCTTTTCCTCAAACACTGAGTGATTTTTTACAAGACTTTGTGTATTTCATAGCACTTACGTCAATTTCTGAGTAGTAGCAATGCAACAAGACCACTCTGTTAATTTCGTGTACTGTTTCAATAGCAAAGTTGTTGTTCCCGTGGCTCTAGCTGTGGGTTGCCCAGTTCCTGGGGAATTTTTTATTCAGTTTCCTGAGTTTAAATGACCTACTGGTGAATTAATGGAGATGGAACCACAGAATTACAGAATGCCCTGGGTTGGAAGGGACCTTAAAGATCCTCTATTCCATGGGCAGGGATACCTCCCACTATCCTGGATTGCTCCAGCCTGGCCTTGGACACTGCCAGGGATCCAGAGGCAGCCACAGCTTCTCTGGGCAACCTCATGCCACGGCCTCCCCACCTCCACAGGGAAGGATTTCCTCCTGATGCCTAATTTAAATCTACCCGCTGTCAGTTTAAAGTCCTCCTCCCTTGTCCTGTCACTTAAGCCTGGCTCCATCTCTGCAATGTCTCAGGCTAAATTGGTTCGTGGTCCCCTGGTGGCACAAAGCTGCTGCATTTCTGCAGAGGCAGGGCTAGAAAGGGGCTTCCAAAGCCATCTTCTCCAGCATGGATTGGGTGACAGAGGGCAAGCCAGGAGAGAAAAGAGCTGGCCCGGTGCATCTATAATTACGCAGGGAGTAATCAGAAAACCTCGCACTGTGAGTGTGGGATGGTTCCAGTCCTTGTTTAAACTGAGAAACTATGACAGGAACCAGGAGACTTTGCTCCTCCGAGAGCAACTGTTGTTGTTGTTGTTGTTGTTTTAGTGTAAGCACCATTTAATAGATATCCAATCATCCCTAATCTTCTGAGAGCAAACAGCAGCCTCTGCTCCTGAGCAGCATCTCAGTAAGGTGATTAATGTATTCAGTCACAAGGCAGGAAACAAACATTTCCACTCTCACGTTTTCTTCTTACCTCCACAACTTCCTCATATTCTTCTTCCTCCATTCTGAGGGTTTGCTTCTGTCTCTCCCCCACTCACTGGTCACAGCAGGTGAAAATGTGAATAAACAGTATTAGCCCATGACTGAAAGTACCATGAGAAGTCAAGCTCATAAAGCTCATAAAGTATTTGGGGTGATGGTTAATAACTAGTCAGACCCTAAATAAAGTTGGGATCTGGCATTACTTGGACTGTTATGGAAAAATACTGGATTAAGTTTCAAACATACTGATATAAATTACAATTCTGGACAAATACCTCATTCCAGTTATAGCACCAATATCAAATGAAAATAAAATAAAATAAAAGAGATAAAGAAGAGATCTCTTGAAACATGATGTGTTATTTTCATTACCACAGAATTATTTGAAGTGTTTTTCTTTACTCTGTGACTCTTCTACATTATTTCATTATATCATTCAAGCTCCTGTTTGAGTGGGAGATTTATATTCTACTATATTCATTCATAAGAAAGAACATAATGTAGAAAAATATTTTAAATATTTTTTTAAGTGACCTTAGGTTAATGAGGCAATTTCTTTCTTCCCAGCATCAGCCTACAGAGATGCTCTGGGGTTGTTTTTTTTTTTAAGCTCTCGTGGGCTTTTTCTCTCTGTTTCTTCAGACCTGGAAAAGATGAAAATCCATAGAGTTGGCTGAAGTACAAAGCAGAGATTAGTGTCAGACCCTTTGAACTAATTAATTAACACACTGATTTTGCTGTGAGGCAAAGCTACAATTTTCCACCAAGGTCTGCAGCCCTGTTTCTAATGTTGGGAGGGGATGAGGCTTTGGAACAGCTGCTCCTGAGTCCAGGGATATTTGCCGTGTAAACTAATCCTGCCAACTGACGGGGCACTTGGGTTGAGCTGGCTAAACTGCAATTCCTTCTGAGGCAAGGGAAGTCAAGTCATGCAGGTTAAATATAGGAACACGGAATACTGGCCCTTTTTAGTCCCAACAGGCTGAGAAAAATGCCCAAAAATTAATTGGGAAAACCATGTTGTATTCTATTAAAATAAATTAAGAATTACTCAAATAACGAGGGACAAGTCGCATGAAGCAGTAGGCAGAGCTGTATGAGTAAACTCAAGAAGTGGGGTTTGCTTATAAACACAACCTCTTCAACCTGTCACTGTTACAACCTTCAGCCACACTTCCAAACCCCATTCCAGGTCTTTTCCTCCTCCTCCAACCCGCAGCCAGTTATTCAGCAGAAAAACTGACTTCCATGGGCAAAAAACAACAAGCATTCCCAAAAAACTACAGAATGGGGAAACAGCTCAAGATCCTCTTGTAAGGAAAAGAAGTGAATTGCATTTAAAATGTCCTTACCAGCGACATCCAGTAAATATCCTTTGGAGCAAAGGCTCTCCAGTCTTCCCTCCTGAGCAGCACTGGGTGAGAGCGAGGGGCTTTGGTGGCTCCGGGTGACGTGTGTGGCCCACACAGCCAATCTGGCTCCAGCCCACTCAAGTTTCAGCCCTAAATATATTCAGTGACCCCGAGGGAGGGCACCTGTTCTCAGCAGCATCAGGGAGAGGGAGCTGGGCACCTCCGTGCTCCTCAGGGAACCCAAAACACACCAGAGCTCACCAGGGGTCGGTGAGATGGAGCCCCAGGCAAAACCAAGGCAGTGCTCCAATGGAAAAAACATAATTAGCAGAGTTGATAAAAACATTGAATTTCGGTTGATGGAGGCAATTTCATTCCTGTGATGTGCCTGAATAAGCACCATCCAAATTCAAGAATCTCTGCACTTGAGGAGTCCACACTGCAAACTAAATTTTAGTATAAACAGGTCTTTAATTTCACCCTGTAAGTACACCTGAAGTGCTTTCTCACCTTGATGCAAATTGTGTGTCAATGTTTTTAGCACTTGTGAAAATGAAATTAGCTGAACACGCAGACCCAGGAACATGTGAAAAGCGACTGTTTGCAGGGAAGGAACCCAACAAAGAGCCAGCATCCCTGGTGAAGGAAGTCCAGGAGGAGTTGATAAACAGATTAAGTGACAGGGGAGCAACCCTGGTATTTTGGAAGGTCAGGAATGCCGTGATGTATGGAGCAGAACCAGGGTGATGATAACAGACGTGACTTCTTAGGGGATGACTCGGCTGACAAATAGAGTTGACTTTTGTTCTTCAAGGAGGTGCATTCAAAAGCCAATATCAACAATGATTCCTTTCCATGTGCTAGATTACATCATTCAATAAATGATTGTCAAGAGCCCTTGAGAGACATCTTTTTCTTTAACTCTTTCCAGAAGTTCATATTTATATCCAAATGAAATATCATATGTCATTCGTTTCTGCCAAGTATTTTAGACTCTGCGCAGAGCTGCAGACCCTCCCTGCCTCCTTTGGCCAAGCTGTTTTCAATTACTCTGCATTTTGCTTTACTAGGCAGTCCTTCCCCTTTTAATCTGATTTCTGTTTATTTAAATTTCTTAACCTCTTTTGAAATTGTCTAGAAATTAGCGCAGCGTGTTGTTGGAGTCTCTGGAGAGCAACCTCAACGTAACCTGCTGCTCTCTGCTCCTGATCCTCCAGGTGTGCACTCCAGAAATAACTCACAGGCCCCTTTTCCTCCCAAGAGCTGCTTCTCAATAAATTGGATGCCAAACGTGACAACTTCATCATCAATAACAAACCTTAATGGAGTGAAGGGCCAGCTTTCCTTATTGAACGTGTAATTCATTATTGTCATTCCAGCTCAATCCTGGAAGTTCCTGCAAAGAATTTCTCCCTCAGTGGTGATCTGCAAGCCCTGCGTTACTGGAACATCACCTTCAGACCATTTTACACTGCTGTTAGATGTTCTAAACATCTTGTTTAGAAAGACACTAAACAAGGCTGGCATTACACGCAGGACAGCAGCACCGCTTTTTCTGCCACTGAAATGCAGCTGTCTTTAGTGTGGCAGATCTTCAGCAGCACAGCTCAGGGCTGGAAAAAAGCATGGAGTAACCCATGGAAATTACAGAAGGGGGCTGAGAACAAAAGGATTATTGGTGAAATGAAAAGTCAGGCTGAACGTAAAGAGGGGAGGAGGGTGCTGTTGGGTCACTTGAGAAAGTATTTCAATTCCTGTGTTTTGTGGCTTTGCTCCTTCAGCTCCAAATCTCAAGGGGCAGCTCTGAGAAAACTATGGCCATTGTGTGGGCAAGGAGAATCTCAGGATCCCTGAGGCTGGAAAATCCCTCCCAGCCCATGGAGTCCCAGCTGTGCCCATCCCCACCCTGTCCCCAGCCCAGAGCACTGAGTGCCACCTCCAGGAATTCCTGGGACACCTCCAGGGATGGGCACTGCAAACCTCCCTGTTCCAAACATGTGTGAGGTAAAGGGAATACTAGGGGTTGATATTCCTTTTTACTTTTAAATTGCTTTGTTGTGAAAATTTATGTCTGACTCTGATTTTTGACTGAATAGTCACAAAACCATAGAATCATTAAGGCTGGAAAAGGCCTCCAAGATCATCAAGTCCAGCTTTTGACTTTGTTGTGAAAATACTTGACTTTCTAGGGGACAAATATTTCAAAAGCATTAACTGTGCCCTAGGTGGAGCCTGGCAGCTCTGCCCCAGGTTAACACACCGGCCAGATTTATCCATGGCACATAAATGAGCACGTGCTCAGCAGTTCTGAGCTAAAGACAGCAAGCTGCAAAACTACTCAGGCAGAAGAAGAGGTTGTTTTGCATTTCAGTCACAGAGATTTAAAGCAAAAAATATTTTCTTGTGCTCAACATATTTAAATATTGAGTTCAGTTAGTCCTGCTTATCCAACAGGAGCCACTCAGGGCATGATGGATAAATGTCCTGACATCCCAGGTGCTATATTTAACCTCCTGACATACCTGGACTTAACAAACGCTGTATCATTGGAAAAGGACATTTAAATATGTATTTGTGCCACCGTTTTTATTTTTAATCTACCACCAGTGAGTTCCTTCTCATTCTTTTCACCATTCCCCACAGCAAGGCTCCTCTGCCCCAGCACCTTTTGGTTTAATGCATAGAAATGCTGTGGAAAGAATTTTTACCAAAAAAAAAAAAAATTTAAGGTTTGGTTGGACAAATGCAAAGGATAGTCTCCAAATTAAATATCCATCTATTTGTCCAACCCCTCTGTTTTTACAGCTGGCCAATCTTTTTTCTTCTGGATGAAACCAGGCTAAGAGCACAGGCCTTGTCAGGGATTGCCTCTTGCCTTACAAACAAAAAGGTTTTTAGGAAAGAATACATGCTCTAACAAGAATTCCACTTTTACTTCAGAGCTGCTCATCCTGTTTCTCAGAGTACTAATAGAAAGTGTTAGATCACACCAAATAATATTCTTGGGGGCAGTGAATCAGGGTGCTGTGAGTAGATCTCTCCAGTGTCTTGTCTTCAGGTTTATTTTTGATGCTGGTGGGCTGACATGGGGTGAGCAGCAGCACCACAGGGTAGTGTGGCTGTGCTCACGGTGCTGCTGTGACTCAAAAAGATTTTGCTGGAACAGGAGGAATAAAGGAACATTGATATGATTGATATGGAACCAAAATTCATTTTATGCTTCCCAATGTTCCTGGACAGAGAAGGAACTGTGGCCTCACCAATCAAATTGTTTGGGTATAGGCCCAGCTTTTTAATATTGAAGGTTCCCACCAGAACACTTCAAAGACTGAATCAAAAGATAATTCAAAGTGGGGAAAATATACAAACAAACCTAAACTTAAAAGACGAAGAACAACATGCCAAATATTGGTTCACTTTTTTCATTGTAAGATTTGATAAAGCAAAGAGAAATTACCTGAACAAATGCATGTCCAGCTGGTTGTAGAAATTTTAAAATTTGGTTAATATTTAAACCCCCCAACACAGAGGACACAAAATCAGAGTGTAAAAGATCCTGTATATCGACACAAGATATTCACTGGGGCCATTGGCACAAGGAGAGTTCTCCTCACATGACAGAATCTGTCACAGCCTCCCCTGTTCTTTACTTAGGGCCTTTGAGAATCCTAAAAGAAAATATTTATCCACAAGATGATGTCAAACAGCCTAATTTATCTCCCCTGCTAATGTTCCCAAGACAGCCACAGGGTCTTAGACATGGGTGCTCATCAGAAAGAAGATACAGCAAAGGCAAAGGTCCTCGAGAATTCAAAGCCAGCTCTGATTGTATTGATCAGATTTTCTACAGGAGGTGGTGAGGGAAGCTGAGATTCAGCACCCAACTCAACATATTCAGGTTTTGGAATATTAATATCAGTTACTATAAACTAGGAAAGGAAGGTGAGGTTCTTCTCCAACCTTTTCTTCTTCCTGCTGTTTCTAAGGCAAATAAACTTTTATATTTTTAGAACAGAGGTACAAATATCAGCTGTAAATACCAGTGAAAAGCCCTGATTGGCAGCCAGAGTTTCAGCTCTTACCCTGCCTCCCACATTTGTCCCTTTGGACAAGCCTCTGCCTCACTACCCTTCAATACAATAACACAGCTCTTTTATCTTTTAAAGACAAACTTTTTCATTATTAGCAGCATTTTGCAAATCATTGCAGCAGCTGCAGTGGCAGCTGTTTCTGTATAAGCAGATTGATCTGTTTAGGACTGTCCCATCCATGGGGATGTCAAGGCCAGGTTGGATGGGGCTGGGAGCAGCCTGCTTTGCTGCATCTGCTGCACTGATGGTGCTTTCCCCTCCCCAGGTGGGTTATTGCTGAGGAAACACAATTCCTCCTTGGAGTATTCCTTCTTGGAAGGAATTTCTTCTTGGTGCTCCCCTCAGGTGCCCGCACACGACTGTCCCACCCCAGCGCCCCGAGTGCTGCTGCCATGAGGACACGTTCCGGTTTTCTCACAACGTGCCAGCCTCAGATGTCAAACCTGCTGCTTTCCATATCCTGCCTCCTTCCCCCAGCTCCTCACTGAACTCCTTGCAGTGAATTTGGAGCAGAGTTGTTGTTTCTCACAGAACCAAGCTGAAACAATTTATGAAGAAACCATAACCCAGGCCAGGTTCGTTTCTATCCCAGAGCACACTCAGATTTTTTCATATGTCTTCACATTTCTACCAAAGCAGGAAGGTTTCACGTGGGGTTCTACAGCCCTGCCAACTTTCCACATCACCAACAAAGGGGTGGATTAACAAGCCACAACACAGAGGCATTTCCTGCTGTAAATCCTCTGGGTGGAGGGACAGAGCTGAGCACTCCCTTTGAAACTGTGAGCAGAGCATCACCTTCATTCTGCAATCACCTCTGCTGCTTTTCCAGTTCAACCATTGCCCTGATACTGCTGACAGATGTTCGTGCCCTGTGTGAGAACAGAGGGAAGAAATCCAGGATTTGCTTCCTTGGCCTCCATGCCTTTTTTTCACCCAGGACATGCTTCCATTCCAAGAGGGAACAAACTCTGATCACAAAGGTGTGATTGAGGTAAAATTGTGACTGAGTCCTTTGCACCTT